TTCACGATCAAGCTTGCCAATCCCAGATTTCGCAATGTCGCCACCAGCCAAACTGGATCTGGGGGTCGACCTCTTCGACGACGACGACCAAAAAATATTTTTGGGCTAGTTGCGAGATTGAACGTGAAACTTGCACCCAAGGTGCAGTTGGCCAAGCCGAGCCCATTGCTCTATTCAAAACCCCACGTTTCATTGTAACGTTCGGAGATACAGGCACCTTTATGTTTGTAAGCGTGATGCTATATGAAGAGTGGTCTTTGTTCATTGTCAAGTAGGTGGACCCTGACAGAGCAAAAGATGGAGAGGGATGTGTTTGTGTAACACAGCTACTTTGCATGACTGGAAGGATTGATGGATTATACTTTATGGTCTATCCACAGTAGTCCATATATTGCGCGCTATCAGCCATTTCCTCACAATCAGCGTTGTTGCAAAATCCACTGCATGTGAACGATTCTCCTGCTCCAGCCGAGCATTTCCATCATTCAAGTTTCTTGATCCGAGCCGATTTGACTGAGCTACGCTAGAACAGCAAACATGAAAATTAATGAATCGCAGGGTCTGCGAATGTCTCCGTCTTTCAAACTTTTGGACGCTCGCATTCAAAACTTTCAAATGAAGTGTGAGGTATCTATTATGAAAAAGTTGATCAGCATGCTCGAGAGCGCCCTTCTGACCAATTTTCAAGTTGGAGGTAGGCAACTTCGGGGCGGTGGCCCGTCCGCTCTTTTGATCCCATCATCCACCATTTGGATCGCCCCCGCATATTAAATCTTCACAATGACGTCTGCGACTTTTAAATGAATGAAGTTGATCAGCATGTCCCAGCGAACCTTCTGACAAAGTTTCATGTTCGAGATGGGGAATCCCAAGGTAATACATACTATTTCCATAGATCATGAATCCGGCGCTGACCTGCATTCCGATCTCCATAGTAAATCCCACATTGTACCCTCCCATTCAATATTTTTAAATGAACATGAGGTCTTTTTTAACACAATATTGATCAGCATGTCCGAGAGCACCTTGTGTGAAAGTTTCAGGTTCGAGAGGGACAATCTCAAGATCAAGGTTCGAATGTACAGTGTGCATGCATTTATACAAGAGGTGTCGCCTATTTAATTTCCACTTCTTCCACTCACACTTTATTCCCTCTTCCTCCCATTCTCAACTGTTGACCCATTCAAGTATACAACTACCACCTGCGAACGATTGTCCTGCTTCAACCCATCATGTCAACCCTACGATTGTCTTGATCCGAATGTCTTTGACTGAATGGCAAGTTCATGGCGTGTACACAGCCTTCTTGTCACTCTTCTACAACACACGAGTCTTATATCCTACACGTTGTCATGCACTCTCCTCTGCCACGATCAAGCGTAACAGCATTCATTCCAGCAGTTGCTATTCGCTCCATTGTCTCATACAGCGTTCACAACCTTGTCATTCTACTACGACTCGCGCTCTTGCACGTTCCTCTGCCACAACCAAACGTAACAGCAATTGCCATTACCATTGTCTCAAGTTACTTGCAGCAACCTGCATTGTGGCCTTTATTATGTGAACAGCAGCTAGCCATTGTATAGAAGCAACTTTATTTACGTGTAACAACTTGATTTGGTACATACGGATCCCTATGGATGATGCCATACCAGCTATCAAGTACGCCACAATACAAGCAATCTTCTTCACCTGGCTGAGCTGCGATAGAGAACGGCCAAGAAAGAGATGGATCAACAGCAGGATGGAAAAGCAATCATACCAGCAGCGATCACATGGTTCTTTTCAACCAACATATTGGATTTGATGGATGGATGCAATCAAGTGCAGTGATGAGATATCATGGAATGTTGCTTTGGTTACTTGTCGCGTTGTCTACAGGAAGGATGGATCATGTCACATGGGTACGGCTGAGGATGATGGATTGGATGGGATTGACGAGAAGGACTTGTATCTTTGCCGAAAGAAGGTGTCTTACAGCCATGGATGATATTGGAAGACTCAAGTCAATGCATGCAGCAGTTATTTTACAATCATGGATGAAGGATGTTTATGACAGCAGCAACCAATTACACAATCACCCCTATTGCCTCTATGATTCACCCGTATCTCATTCAATTTACATTACTGTTCCTTTACCATATTTACGTGATAAAAACATCTACATTACCATGTTTTATTCTTCGACTTATGCATTGAATGAAAATTGGATGCAACACGATGTTTAGGAGGGTATCGTACTATAAGCTTATACGTGCAAGATGTGGATCACTTGGTTGCTTCCGGATTGAGAGAGGGGGAAAACCACCCATTGTTCATGATGCATTCTTCATTGGGAATGGATATTGCTGTTTGAGAGCTACATGACATTGATGAATAAAAGTGGGATCAAAAGCAGTAGCAGAGGATGATGTTGTAAACTGAATGTCATTATTCTTGAATATAAACCAAGCTATCGTAAGATGAGGATACTCGAAGGTGGACACGTGAGATGTACATGGATCAGCGTATGCTGGTTAGTAGTGAGGATTGCATCTGGTCATTAACACGTAGTACGTTTTGTTCTAGTGAAACAGTACAGTGATAGTAAGAATGCATAGAAGCACACACACATGCATCAAACGGATGATTACCCTTTCTTCCCATTCCAAACCATGTATCATTATGCATACATCCAAACCCAAATATCAGGCAACTAAAAAGTTTTTTGTATTTTGAAGCAAAATGGGATAATGATGTGGGGGGTAATGAATATGAAGCAAACAACAATAAAGAAAGATGTGAAGAAAAATAACAACAAGGATGGGGACACTCATACATAATCTACCAGTCATCTTCATCAGAGAACACCTCTTCACCACGCTTGCGACGTTCCATACGCTCCTTCTTCTTCTTGCGCAATTCACGGGAAGACAACTTCTCCTTCTTCTTGACAGCCTTGATAGTGTTGCCTTGAGCATCAACCATGTCTTCTTGTTCTTCCTCCTTGATGGCTGTGGTACCATTGCCAGAGACCCAGTTGTGACCTGATGCGACAAGCTCACCATTATCGACCTTCCAGACTTCACCACAAAGTGCTTCAGAGAATTGGCGGTTGTGGGTAACAATGACAACGCCACCACCGTATTGCTTGATGGCACCAGCAAGAGCACCGAGAGAGTCACGATCGAGATAATTGGTAGGTTCGTCAAGCACCAACATATGAGGACGATTCCACATGGCAGCACCAATAACCAACTTGACCTTTTGACCACCAGAGAGACCACGAATGCGAGAATGGGTAGCAAATTCAGGTTCCAAGCCAACTTCATCCAAATGCTTCTCGATTTCCTTGGCAGTGAGAGGGCGATTGAGACCGGACTTTGCAGCTTCTTGTGAGTCGACTTCAGCAATCTTCTTTCCAAAGCCCATTTGTTCAAGCTTTTGACGAGAGATCCAGGTGTTGTCCACAGATGACTTGCCAACCCATGAGACTTCGTATTCATAAGACTGCTTGAGCTTGCGACGAGCAACAATATCCTCAACAATGCGCTTCTCGCCCTCAATCACAAAGGTTTGGCTCATTTGCTTCTCCTCTTCTTCAGTGACTTGACGATCCACCTTGTCGAGTTCTTCACGATCTTCACCAGTAGCATAACGCCATTGGATGTATTCGTTGGGAGTCTTGTCAAGATGCTTCTCAATGTGATGGAAAGCGTGTTGGGCAACATAGGCAATACGCAAATTGGGATGCTTCCAAACAGTACCAGTGTTGGCCTCCATTTCACCCGTCAAGAGTCGAATCAAAGTGGACTTGCCAGCACCATTGGGACCAATGACGGCCACACGAGAAGAAAGAGAGCATTGCATGCTGATGTTCTTGAGCTGCTTGCGAGCCGTGCCAGGATATTGGAAGTCGACATTCTTCATCTTGAGGATAGCACGTTCCTTGGTCTTGATACCTTCGAGATAGCCAGGTTCAGGGAACTTGAAGTTGATTTGCGATGCCTCCAATGAATAGTAAGATGCTGCGGCAGGAACCTTCTTGACGAATTCGGAGAGATTACCCTTGTAGCGCTTGAGCTTGTAATTCTTCTCATAGTGGATGATGTCCGAACACACGTGATCCAAAAAGCCTGAGTCGTGGGACACAATGATGGAAGTGACACTCTTCAAACCAAGCAAGTAGTTTTCGAGCCAAGCGACATTGACAACGTCCAAGTGATTGGTAGGTTCGTCAAGAAGCAAGATATCGGCATTCATGAGCATGGCACGAGCAAGAGCAAGCTTCATCTTCCAACCACCAGACAATGAGCTGATTGTGTGTGAAGTCACCATTTCTTCAGAGAAGCCGTAATCACGCAAGATTTGAGCCACCTTTTCACGTTCCTTTGTCTCAACACCTTCAGATGCAATGATGAAATCAACCAAAGGCGTATCAGACTCGGAACCATCAATGTCATGTTCCACGTAAACGGTCTTGAGCTCGGACTTTGGAGGGAAGCCTTCGACTTGTTCATTGGCAATAGCACGCATCAAAGTGGATTTACCACAGCCATTGTGACCACACAAGCCATAACGACGACCACGCTTGAGACGAAGAGAAGTGCGATTGAGCAAGATCTTGGCACCATAGGCAAGAGAGAATTCACAGTTGCAAAGATCTTCACCTTCTTCATCGTCTTCTTCAGGATCCTTGGGAGTCACAGCTTCTTCACACTTGTCGAGAGCCTTGCTTGCCAAAGCTTCAGCGTCACCAGCTGAGAGGAAAGCCTTGATGTAGGGTGGCAACGCCTGCACCCACGTGTCCTTGAAAAAGTTCTTGGCCACACACAAAGCAAGAGCCACATCACAAAGGTACTTTACAGAGACACCATAAAAGTCATCGACCTTGGCAGGCAATAATTCATGGACCACGTTGGTGACCTTGTCAGCCTTATCAGCCTTGGTGAAGATCTCAACATTGGAAGTGCCAACACGTTGCAAGGTAGCAAGTGCTTTTTGAACGACACCACGGCACTCTGGATCAGCGACGACATCTTGGATCTTTTCCAAGGCTGGGAGCAAGAGTGGCAAGAATGGGGCAGCGACTTCGGGATCATCCACAAGCTTGCACATATTGTCAATGATCAAAGCCGACTTTCGCTTGATGGGAGTGGCACGTTCAGCCAAGCCACGGCTCAACAAGGGCACCATGATGGATAAGGTGGCAGCATCGACTTCTTGGACAAAGGTGGTGGCACCAAGCAAATGGATGGTTTCAGGTACATTCTCCGGCTTGTTGATGCAAGCAATGACAGCAGGAATGAAACGCTCGATATCCTTGTTCTCAACGAGACCACAAATGTTGCCCATGGTAGCAGTAGCAGCCTTCTTGACATCGGCCTTGGTATCCCACATGCAATCAGAGACGACAGGGATCACATCAGGAATGGTATGGAAAAAGGCCTTCGCTTTGAGCTTGACGAGGTCATCCAAAAGAGACAAAGCCAATGTCTTTGTTTGCCACTTGCACGAGTTGCCTAATCCCTGCAACAAATAGGGGACAATGACAGCTGTTGCATGTTCGTTGACTTGCACCACAAGGTTCTTGGCTGCTTCTGCTGCGGCTTGCTTGGTGGCGGCTTGCTTGTCGGCTTGCAACTCCAACAAGGATGTCAAGAAAGGAACAAGATAGGGTTCAAGTTGACCACCCAAGCTCTTGTTGGTCAAAGCCTTGATCGCTGCAATAGCACCTTGACGAGCACCAGCATTCTTCTTGTTGCTAAGATTTTTGTTCACGCTATCGATAATGTTGAATTGCTTTAGAGATTGAACGCCATGAGAGGAGACGAAATCAGCGAGTTCTTCGGCGACAGAATCGCGATCGGAATCGGATGCGGATGAGAGAGAGGAAAGCAAATCCTTTGCCTTCTTGGTCTCAACCTCGCTGAGCGGGCCACTCACGGCAGCCAGCTTCTTGGCTTCAATGTCGCTCTTGTTGTTGTTGTTGACGGCAGTTGCTGCTGCTGGCATGATGGAGATGTTGCAGTTGTATATAGAGAATGGATGAGCGATACGATGCAAAGAGATAGAGAGGGAGCCTCCAGAAATGACAAAGGAGAGAGGGGTTGAGATGGGAGTAAAGAAAAAAAGGTGAAGGAAAACAAACAAAATGCAGCCTGTTCATCCCGTTTATATATGCAATCTCCCATTCCCTATCTATAATACTCAGCTCTAGACACACTGTTGCCTTACCTGGGAACGCCCGTTGCCCAAAGGGAGTTTGTTTCACTTTTGGTCATATCATCATCAGTGTCTGATGCTGCTGCTGCTGCTGTTTGCTGCGACACATAACATAATACTGCGTCATGACGTTTTCCCCTTCCATCCACCACCACCCCCTTGGTTGACTCTTTTATGCCAAACCATATCACACACACACACACATACACAACATAACGCATCATCCCCTTTTGTAAAGGAGATACGTACAACATTCATAACATAATTAACTTGCGTCTACTTGTTTCTTGTAATCGTCGTTGCAGCAGCAGCAAGGGAAGGTTGCTGGTGTTGTGCAACCAAGCCGGTTGCTGCATTAATACGTGTGGTCGGGGCTAACAATATTTCCACCTCCACCATCCAACCACATTTGCATACGCACTTGCCACCTTAAGCCCATTAGCTTGAGAGAGAAAAAAGAAAAACAAACCGCTCCCTTTTTTCATCTGTGCAAAATAGATCTCTCGTTGATGCCCTCCTTGATTTCATGTGCATTGCATAGCATGATAGATATACATTCACACACACACACACACACCTTCTCCTCCCTTTACAACAACGGATGAATGAATAGCGTGGTAGTATAGTGACATGTGTGAATCACGCACAAGATTGCTGAAGATGAAAGCATTATCTTTATGGCATAGCTCGGAGTCTGTTGTACATTCGTAGTAGTGTTACGATAAATATGGATTGAATTCCTCTGTTTATTACCCGTTTCCAAACATGGGAGCGTACGTATAAACGACCAATGATAGTGGTAATCAATGGAAAGTATGGAGCATTTTGGGCGTTTTTCATTAATGCCATCATAATAACGATCATCGATGGTGGCAAAAAAGTGTGATCATGAAAGTATGGTAAGAACCTTACTTTTTTCCATCATTCGATGTGAAGAATGAGATTGCTGTGGAACCTGACGATCCATACTCAGATGTCACGAGATGACTGATTTGCTCAAATAAACCATCATCATCATCAACATGCAAGCACCAACAATGAAATGAAATGAATAATGAGACAAGAGTATATTATAAATGACATTTTGCATTATGGCAGGAGATATTATATATACACATTCATACATGGATGGGGGGAAAATGGTTGTGTGTGTGTGTGGTTGGGGGGAGATACATAGTAGTAGAACAATTTAGCGAAGGTAAACAAAGGAGGGGCCGTATGCAGCAAAAGCGAAAAGCAAGCCTGATACCAAACCAGCAATGGGAAGAGTAGCAATCCAGCCAAACATGACAAAGGCAAGCATTTTCCAGTTAACGGCACGCCAGTTGCCGTTGCAAAGACCGACAGCAGTAATGGCACCTGTGATACAATGGGTGGTTGATACAGGAAGACCCAATTGGGATGCAGTAAGCACAGTGAGAGAGGCGCCCAATTCAGCCGAGAAACCACGTGATGGGGTCACATAGGTAATGTTGTTACCCATCGATCGCATCAAACGATAACCCATAGTAGCAAGACCAACATCAATAGCAGCACCACCATAAGCGAGAATCCAAATAGGTACAGGCGACTTGCTGTTCACCGAAGCAGTTTGCCAAATGTCAAAGACGGCAGCCAAAGGACCAACAGCATTGGATACATCATTGGAACCATGAGCAAAAGAGGCGACAATGGCAGTGAGGACTTGAAGATAGGAGAACATGTACTCGGTATCATCTTCATAAAGCTGAGCATGGGCATGGATCTTTTTGATGCGGTCATTGTTGAGGTTACGAACGTCTTGGTTGATACCATGAAGCAACACAGCCAACACCTTCTTCTTGATACGTTGCAAAGTCCACTTGTTGTCCTCGGCTTGTTCAGCGGGTTGACTTGCCTCAACAACATCATCGTCATCTTGCAGCTTCTTGTTGGATGTAGTAGCATCAGCATCAGTGGCAGTAGCAGCAGCCGATTTTTCATTGTCAACATCATCTTCAAGGGCTTCACGGGTTTCGGTGGTGACTGAATCCTTGCGTTCAAGATCCTCCTTTGGCATAGGGCGCTTGGGAACACACCAAATGATAGGGATGTGATAGTATCGCAAATCTTCGTGCTCAATGACCACACGACGCAACCAAGGCATAAGCAAAACGTAGGCAAGGATCGTCACACCAGCAGCACAGCCAAGAGCAATACCAATAACATGCTCAATAAGGAGACCTGAAGACTTGGCACCGGGAGCCTTGAAGCAAATGTACAATACGGCAATGAATACAGTGACGAAAAAGTACAAAGGCACCAAACGGAAAGCCCATTTGACGCTGTCGACTTGACGCAAGATGGCATACTTGGTGATCATATAAATGATGGATGCAATCACACCAGCAAGCACAGGAGAAAGGAACCAAGATACAACGATTTGAATGACACCATCCCAGGACCAGTCAACGGATTCACCACCATAGCCAGCAATACCCATACCAATGACGGCGCCAATGATGGAGTGTGTTGTGCTAACGGGCCAGCCGAATCGAGTAGCAGCTAATCATGCATGTTAGCGATCATGGATTAATCAATCAATATAGGATAGTGAAGTAATACGTACTCAACACCCAAGTAAAGGAGCCAACAAGGGCACACATCATGCCCATCATGAGCATCTCTGGCGTTTCGGAAAAGTTTTCGATTTGGATGATACCGTCCTTGATAGTATCGGCAACACCAGAACCCAACAAAAGTGCACCCAAGAATTCGGTAAAGCAAGCGACAATGCAAGCTTGTCCAAGGGTCAAAGATCCGGATGACACTGAAGTAGCAAAGGAATTGGCTACGTCGTTCGCACCAATGCCGTATGCATCAATAAAGGCGGCCACCATGGTGACACCGAACATCCATGTGAAATCATAAGGCAACATCATCTTGGGCTATGTATTGAGTGATGCTGGCTGATCAAGAGATGTGAGCAAGGAAAAGATGACCGAGAAAGAAAAAGAAAACGATGGTGGAGGATTCAAAGGTGTGTGTGGAGTGAATCATTTTTATATGACATGCCCTCGGGTGGCATCCAAGGAAAGGCTCGCCCAATCGTGTTTTGCATTGGAGCCACGCTCCTTTCGACGGAAAGGAATGGATTTCAGATAGAATCCCAGGAAAGCAATTTGGTGATCTTGGTAGAAGCTATTACCTTCACTCTAAAGCTCAACCAATCATTGCCAAGATTTCAAACAATGACCGATTCTTAAACTTCTGTCATCCTATTACTACACATACAATCTCGGGAGACGCATCCACATACATGAAAACATCAATGTAGGCATTGTGTGTGTACGCATCATGATCTGGATCCGGTGGTGGTTTTGGTAGTCGTTGTGAGGAATGATGGTGTCACGCATACACAAGAGACATTGATGTGATCCAGCCAATTAGAAAGGGAACGTGCACCCACATGCACCAGTGGCACTGGCTGTCTTTTTTTTGAAACCAGGCTGTGTAGCTTGAAACCATTGATTTCCGCAAAACCTTCAACGAATCAGATCACTTACCAAATTTTGTCGGTCTTGTGCTTGCTCCAATCTTTGGAACCATCATCATCACTCCCCTTGACTTGCTCACGTTTACAATACTATCCTATCCCGATGATTTAAGACACTATATAAAAAAGTCTAAAACTGGTTTTAGCATCTTTTGTATTTGCTGATCACCGATTGTCCACGTGCCTTGTTATGTCTGTTAATGGTATTAATGATCTATACTACCAAGGGGTGATGATGGTGGTGTAAAAAAACGGCTGATACCAAAGATGCTCCCATCCAATCATGTTGCAATCGTAAGGAAGGGTGCCATTCAATCATGCATAGCATTCTTATTGATCATGTTGTTGTTTGACAAGGAGCTTATTGTCCTACAAACCAGCTCCAATGGATTCCAAAGCATACACAGCATGGCATGGTAGGAGTTTGTATGGATCTTTAGATTTCCTATCTCGCGTGTTGCATGTCTCGACCAATCATGCTTGAACGATTGAGAAGGGGGTTTTTTTTTTTCTTTTTCGATGACACATGTACCAACGACCGTCATCTGAGCTGGATCTCGATTATCTCAATTACAAATGAATGAGAGGATACATCTCATCACGTGGTAGGGCATGCTTCCCCCATTGCAGCATATGTAATTTGTATGCAGCCATTGCCCGGGATGTATAGCTTGGAGCCAAACACGGCCATCAAAGGTAGATTGCTTTTTCCCTATTAGTGAAGATGTGATGCTTAATGGAGGCAAATGATAAAAAGGATCTTATTAGATGATGATGACCGGCCTTACAAGATGCATCTGGAAAAGTGGATTTCCAATCAAGGGATCATAATCAAAGTAGTAGGTGGGGGGTAGCAATAGGCTAGTGAAGCAATTGAATGCTTGTACCTCCATTGAGAAAATTGACTTCTTGGCAGCCGATCATCTAGATTGAGGCTGCCAGATACTACTTTACAAAGTACGTTTCTAGTAAGGTACGCTACATGTCATTAATGATCCTCCAAACAAGATGTTCTTTATTGCATATGATTGCCAAGAAGGGTGATTGCCAAGAAGCATTCGGGGATTACGCGGTTGGCATACATATCAAATAAGGGGGTGGGACCCATTCTCTAGAGAGAGAGAGCATCAATCAAAAGGATGATCCCTTTCTTTCCCATATACAGGAATGGGGCGATCCTTAACTTGCATGCATTCACTCTTTGGCCAAGCCAAACGTTTATCCATTGCTGATGATGTCGATCCTTTTCCTTATATGAAAATTGGATGATTCTTGGAACGTTCTTGTAAATACGTAACAACTTGATCAAGTCAAAGGTGATTTATTATCAAGGTTTGATGTATTAAGCGTGTATGTGTATACGTTGTTGCTATGGGATTCTTCTAAAATCTTTATCCTCGGCAGAGTATAGCCGATTTGCATGAAAAATCAAATTTTCGGATCGGTGCAAAAGACGGTGTGGTTGCCAGTGTAACATAATCTGTCTTTGGCATCAAATATCTTTACGTAAAAATTGGCCAACGTTTTCCCCACTCGTTCAGTAGTGACCTCCACTCTAGCTGTTTCTCCGCCTGGGATACCTCGTAGATAGGATGCTGAAATGTTGACTGATACGCCAAAGTTCTTCCATTGGTTGCGTCCTACGATACAATCATATCATGTAAGGATGTTGATGATGAATGACATGTGATTGATTGTAGTAGTACCTTGGTGAGTGAAAGCTGCAAATCCACTGCATTCGTCAACAAGGGATGCAACGCATCCACCATGAACATTGCCGGTCCTAGTATTTGTATGAATGCGTTACTCATGATGTTGTTGACAAGGCTAATGGATGTTGTATTTACATGTTGCAGTGTTGCTTTTCGACCTTAAATTCCCACACAAGTTTGCTAGATGAAGCGTGTTTTAAAGTCAATGATGGGTATAATGAATACTCCCAGGAACTACGGTCATCACGGCATCCAACGAATTGATCAAGCATCTCCTTGAGCTTAGGATGGTCTTCGAGAACACCAGGATCGATTTTCATGTTGAAGGTAGGTGTGGGGTATGTGTGGGGGATAAGTGAAAGAAAGGAGCTAAAAGGTGTCTGCAGCCAAAGTCGGGTTTTGCATTCAAAAAGTCTGTGTCACCAGCTCACACCGAAATGAAGGCTGTATGTGGGCATGCGTGTGTGTGCGTGTGTGTGTGTGTTTCCAAGAGCGGGAACATGCATGAATATTATACGTTTTACGAATACTCTTATACCCCGTTCTACATGTTGTATCTTTCAATCATTATCGTATGTATATGCACGATAGAAATAGTAGCAGTAGTAGATAGCAAGTAGCATTGTCTTTATATGCTTTATTAGGATATGGAAGAGAGAAGAATGACGTTGATAAGTGTGAGAAAGCATGGACAAGCCAATGATCATGAGGACGTTATCGTTGTTATGTGAGGACCATCCTAGTATGAGGAAGAGGGTCAGCGTGTGTATGCTGTGTGCATGTGCGTGTGTGTGCGGTACTCAAACCTGCATCGACGTAAAAAGGTTGTTCCTCCTCCCTTTACTCTTTACACGCACTTCTTTTCCAGCACTTGAGCCCATACTCGAGACACCCACACCCACACACATACATTCATACGCTTATACAACACCCACCACTTGATTGACACTTTTTGAATCTGCATTCAGGACCTGTTGCAGATTCTCATTCGTTTATCCACTGGAACCCAATTTCAAGACGCCCAACACGAACAGGGATTCGTTATCGCCACCACCCGCAGCCGACCCGTCAGCTGCTCAATCGTCATCTCGTCCGTCTTCCTCCTTACCCGATAACAGACCAAGGCGAAAACGAGCTCGTCTGGACTATACCCATTCTCCTTGTTCTTCCTCTTCTTCCTCCTCCTCAATGCAAATTACAAACGCTTCCACAACTCTTTCTTCCTCTGCCACTCAGCAGCATAACGGCACTACTACTACCAACAACAACAACGACAACAGCGATAGCAGCAATAGTAGTAGTAGTAGTAGTAATAATGGTGGTGGCAGTGGCAATAACAACAACAACAACAAAGCTATATCACAACAAGGGAATGGATCTATACACAACAACAACAATGAACCAGAAATGCTTGGACGAGTCAATAAGCAAGAACTTATTCGCCTGATATTACAATCACTGAATGATCTCGGATATCAGTAAGTAGTCGTGTGTGTGTGTGTGTCATGCTGCGCCTCTTCGTCTCATGCATTATCTCTCTTTCTCTTTCTCTAGAAATGCAGCCAAAACCCTTGAACAAGACTCTGGCATTGCACTCGAATCCGATACCGTTACTCGCTTCCGTGCAGCTATCCTTGCAGGCGACTGGTCGTTGGCTGAAAGTCTATTGACAATGCTCCCAGGAAGTGATGATCCAGCGACCATGAATATCTTACAAGCTCAATTTTTGATCCGACAGCAAAAGTTTCTGGAATTGCTCGAGGCTCAAAAAACCATGAAGGCCTTGCATGTATTACGGAATGAATTGACACCCCTGGGTCAAAGTATTGATCGTTTACATCATTTGTCAAGGTATGTAAGGGGACGGGATTGAGACAATGAATGATGTATACTCAACAAGGACGTTTAGTTTAATATTTTGTTCATCCGTTCAAGATGTTCGAGCACAAGCACAATGGGATGGCGTGGATGGATCGTCACGACAACAACTCCTCGTGGATCTGCAAGGTAAGGATTTGATAGCAGCTGGATACAATTCATGCTAATGTCATGTCCTACTCTAAAGAATACATTCCACCATCGACCATGATACCAAAGGAACGACTATTGACACTTATCAACCAAGCATTCGAATATCAACAACGTCATTGCTTGTATCACAGTAACAGCGTTGCCGAGTATTCCCTGTTTGAAAATCATCTTTGTGACAAGTAAGAGAGAGAAAGCTTATCTTTCCCCCACTTTTTTTCTGATGAATGGTAAAATATAGAACCCATTTCCCATCAACGACTATACGTGTACTGGAAGGACATGAAGATGAGGTGTGGCATGTATCATTTTCGCATAATGGACGCTATTTGTCTTCAGCATCAAAAGATAAGACTTGTATTATTTGGGATTTGGAGGCAAGTAATGGCATGAAAACGGAAGAAAGAGAAAGGGATGGCTAATGTGACACGATAGACATTTGAAAAGGTCCAAGTGCTTTCTGGACAAGATGCCGCTTCTTATTCTGCATGGTCGCCCGATGATTCAAAGTTACTTGTGTGTGGCACCGAAAAGAATTGCTTTTATTTGTGGGATCCCATGGTAAGAGGAAAATGCTGCATCTGATGAGATTCCCTTGATTGATTCATGACCATCATCATCAATAGAGTGGGGAAAAGCTACATACCTACGATGAGCACAAGGATCAAGTAACAGGCTGCGTGTGGTTACCTGATGGAGAGCATTTTATATCGAGTGGATGCGACAAGTGCATATGTTTATGGGTACGTGTATTCCTTATCTCTTGCATCTTGCAGGGGAAAAAAGTGCTCACTGCCGTTGTGATAGAATATTGATGGTGAGATCAAGAGCCGATGGCAAACACCACGTACAATGGAAATGAAAGTCACCAAGGATGGCAAGCGACTGGTGACCATGACCTATGACCAGGCCATTGAGATTTACAACATTGAAAACTTTAGGTTAAATGACGTTGGGTAAGTAAGGTTTGGATGGAATCACGCAGCATGAAAGGGGATATACTCATATGGCTATATGGCATATAGCAAAATTGAAGAAAGCGGCACCATCACTTCTCTCAGTATTACTCAGGATGGCCGATATGCCTTGACCAACATCACAGAGACGCAAGAACTTCATTTGTGGGATCTTGAGGAACGCCAGCTTATCCGGAAATACATTGGCCAGAAACAAAAGTCCTTTGTTATTCGTTCAACGTTTGGTGGTGATGATGAATCCTTCATTATCAGTGGAAGTGAAGGTAAAAAGGAATACAGGTCCATGTCGTGAGGATGATGATGATGATGACGATTGACACGTGGCGTTTTTCTTAGACAATTGCGTCTACATTTGGAGTCGAGACTACCAAACGTTACTAGAGGTGCTTGAAGGTCATACAGGCATTGTTAACTGCACAAGCTGGTGTCCAGTAGGCCCTCCTATGTTTGCTTCAGCCAGCGATGACAAGACCGTTCGAATGTAAGTTTTACAAAAGAGAAGGGATTTGGCAGTGTACTTACATGATTGAATAGTTGGGGCGTTGATGATGGAATCGACAAGGAAGACGCCATCCTTGTATAACATCTTATTCATTTACCACGACCACCACGCATACACACCAGGCCTTTGCTATTCTCTCCCCGCCTTTGTACAGAGATGATCCACCCTTCGCCACCCTTTGCTCTCTTACTCCTCAACAAGCACATCAATACACGTACACAATGATTGGGCTTTATTCACATTCGTACATAAGACGTTTTCTTTTTCCCTTTTGTTTTAAACTTTGGAATAAACCACACTCCCTTGTATATCGAACAAATGGCATATAGTATTATACATTAAACTTTTTATACAACAACAATCTATAGACGTGCGACACCATCCTCGTCAAGTTTCCAAGCATTTTTGCCAGCGTGAATGAGAGGACGAATATAATCATCGTAGCCATCAGCAACGGGTGTTTGATTGAGTGGTTCCAGCTCAGCCATTTGAGTCATGCGTTCATAAGCACGGCCATCCTTGGCACCCAATGCGGACTGGAGTACAAAATCAGGGAAATCAAAAGCATCCACAAGGGAGACGACTTCAGGGCGAATATCCTTGAGGACTTGGATCAGTTTTTCCTTGACCAGCAAGGATTGCTGAGGCGACACATAACCCGATGCCAAAAAGTCGGCCATTTCTTGCTCGAGTGCCGACAATGAAAAGAGGATAGCCACCTTTTGCAAAACAGGATGCTTGTAATTGGGAGCAAAGACGGCATTTATAAAGTTGGAGACCATCATGAGTTGGCAGTGAGCACGTGAAATACGATAGATTTCTACAAGCATGTCGTTCCATGAACGCTGTTCCACATCAATCGCATGCACTGCCTTGTCCACCAAAAAGGCGGCACGGAATTTGAATGCTGAAAGAAGGATCTCAGGGTTCGATAAATCGGCCTTATCAGTGATAGGACAACGTGCATTTGGATTGCCAAGGTATTCGAGCATGTATTGGGATGAGAAGTTGTCAGCCTTGCCACTAGCACGCACTGCACGGAATGTCTTGCATAGATAGCGGGTCGTTTGTTGTGTCAGCAAGTAGTTATCACCTTCCCACTATACATAATAAAAGATATAAGCATCTAGGATAAAAGGGGATGTTATTATAGAGCACTTACCGTAACCTTGGGCAAATAATCTTGATAGAATTGACCAAGGCCAGAGAATAGAGAATAACCATGACCACCGCATGCACGTCGGCATTCTTCAATACCAGCAACACCAAGTGTCGTTGTCAAACTTTTCAATCCGGAGGAGGAAGCGTGTAAATCAGCAAGGTTCGAAAAGTCGCCTTGAGCCATCTTTTCTTGGTTCTCGTAATACATGCGATGCATCTCGATAGCGGTAAAGTGACAAGCATAGGCCTGTGCAATGATGGGGAATAAGCGATATTGTTGCATTCTATAATCCAATACGGGAGTTTCGACCGTCTTGGAGTCCACCTTTTTGGGATTGGCTTCATCCACAAATTGTGCACGAACGGCCGAGTATCGGATAGCCACTGTAGCGGCACGTGCAAGCACCAAACGTGACTCGAGGACAATGTTGGCACGTACAAAGACCATTGTACCATAGGATAACTTGGAATTGGGAGGTTGGATATAGTTGCCAGTCGCCTTGTCGATCTTTGAGAAGCGGGCCATCATAGCATCGTGAGGAACACGCACGCGATCAAAGAGGATAAAGCCATTATCGACCGTATTGAAACCAAACTTGGGACCAATATCACCGACTGTGACACCAGGAACCGGATGATGGGTTTTCAAATCACGGATTTGGACAATGAAAGGATGGGGTCCGTAATCTTTGCCGTTGCTAATAAGACGTGCCATCACCATCGCATGCGTTGCTGCCACACCCAATCCACCAATCCACCATTTGGAGGCTGTCAATGTAGGCGAATGAATCACAAATGTTTGCGTTGCTACATCATAGGTTGCTGTTGTCTCCAATCCACGCACATTCGATCCATGGCCAAGCTATTATTATCAATTTAGATATATATTCTCCCTTTTGTATCCATGCAAACTTGCCTCGGTTTGTGCATAGCAACCAATGATCTCATATCGCTTTGCAGGCTCCAAATACTTTTTCTTTTGTTCCTCAGTGCCTTGATTCTCAATCGTGGGTTGGAACATGGATCGGTGTAACCGAAACTAGTGGTAGCATAGACCCTATTGTGTCAGCACAACACACCCTTCTCCACTGTTGCCATGGCTACTACTACTTACAGGTCCTGATTCGTCAAACAGAAAATCGGCAATAGCAAGTTCCTCGGGAGTCCATTGGTGAATTCTACATTACCAAAAAGTGTCAACCCATGTCGTCGCTTATTGAATCTCCCTTGCATAGTGTATATACCTAGTGAGCTCTACCAAACGATTCGCCGCGGCCAATGCCTTTTTGAATCGGACATCGCGACCCGTGTAATAGCGATGGGATTTGTCGCCGAGAATAGGGTCATTTTGGATAATGTTGAGAATACGTTCACGCTTTTGAAGATAGTCTTGACCATATAAAGTGAGAGTGACATCCTTTGGATCAAAAGAAGCCCGCTTGCGTTCTTGTTCTAGCAGATAGCTGCCTTGAGGTTCAATGGGTTTAAGGTGACGAGGAAATTGAGTGGGTGACATGGATGGAAGCGCGTGTGTGTTTCGTGGTTGGAGAAGAGGGGAAAAGAGAAAGGGAAGCTTGGGTTATAAAGGATCCATTTATGCTGGAATTATGCTTACCTTATACAAATCACCGGGAGTACCTTTTTACGGAAAAATTGTGGGGCAATATTTCTACTCAGAGAACGAGAGTGACTCTACGCTGACAGATAGCAAACCGGGAGATTGCATTGCCTTTAAATATATCATCACATAATCCATTTCTACTTTGGGCCGGCTCTTGTACACGCTCTTTGCTGTAGCAGATATCCTTCAATGATATACATGATGTCGATTATCAATGTTGTGCCACCATTTGGTTGTGACACAGCCTGTCATTTATGATGTGCACTTGGCTATCTGATGTTGATTTTGACAACGACAAGTCATCTATCTCTGGAGTGGTGTTGATGATAGTGAGCTTCTAGATTGCCCCAATTGCTCCCAAAACACAATGAGAAGTCCGTTGTCAGGAGAATGAGAAGGATGAAAAAGGGGCGAGTGGATCGTGAATTATTTATGAATGAATACCAACGTACATACATAATCGCCAAGGATCAAAAATGTTAACGCATTCAGTATCCTTACATGTGAAGAGGAGTGCTTCTTGATGCCCAATGCTTACGCCAATGTTTTCACAAGGTTTCATGTATCGACATAAATAAGAGTGCCGGAATCAACCATTCACTTCTTTCTCATTTGTTGCATACATCCCCTATATACACATTCGAACAATGAAAATCACCATTGCTTCCATCCTGGCAATGCTAATGATAGCCATTACCGCTATTATGGCTGATACAACAACTCCTCGCCAAAAACGAATCAATGATGATAGTAGCGTGCATCAAGCTTCCCCCGAAGAAATGTCCATCCAAAAGCACTATCTGCTATTGGCGTACTCGACATATTGCTCATCCGTCATTCTTGATGGTGACTTGACGAGTTGTCCAATTTGTGATGTCTTTGATGGCATCACCTTGATAAAAACATTCAAGTCAAGCTTTTATGACACCAACGCTATGGTGATCAGGGACGACAAACGTAAAGAAGTGGTAGCCGTCTTTCAAGGCACATTCACACTCAGAGGTTGGATAGCAGTGAGTTGGCTAATATAAAAGAGGGATACATACACAATGTTTGACAATGAATGATACTCTATTGTAGGACTTGGGTGCTCTTCAAATACCATATCCTGCAATGAAAGGTGCACAAGTCCACAAAGGTGTGTAGTCTCTCCTGATAGTTTGTATGGCCCACACACAGCTAACCACCTCGTCAATACATAGGCTTTTATGAAAACTATATGGAAGTGGCCAATGATCTCACAGCGGTTGTATTGGATCAAGCGGAAAAGTATCCCGATTATACCATCGCTACCACCGGGTAAGTGTTGCCTGGCAACAAAAAAAAAGTGCCATATATGTATGCTTGCTCACATAGCAACAGACACTCACTTGGTGGTGCTTCATCCATGTTTTGTGCCATGGATCTTTTTCAGCGTGGAGTGCCAGCTGAGAAATTAAGGCTGTATACTCAGGGTGGCCCTCGCATTGGTAACAAGGCTTTTGCAGAATACGTTCTCAGTACCAAGGTGCCTGTAACAAGGCTCATTAACAAGCTGGATGGTAGCTTTATTATGCCTAATAGCAATGGATGTGCGATGGTGTGTGATGGCTCACAATACGTGCCGTTTTTTCTATAGGTGGTCCTCACATTTCATCTCCTGATTTTGTGCATCCCGGTCAAGAGTATTGGATTCAATCAGACAGCTTCACGCGTAAGTATACACGTTGTCCAAAGGATCGTTTACGTATAAATGAATGTCAACATGAACGGTACTTTTTTTTGTAGGAGTGTGCGCTAATGGCTTGGAAAGCGAAAAGTGCTCGGATTCAATGGAGCCTTTGGCTCTTAGCGCTTATGATCATATCAGGTAAATATTTGCAGACCTATATACTGTATCTTTATTCAGATCCATATTGATGATTGCTATGTACTCTACAGCTACTTCCATTTGGAGACCAAAATAGTTTCTTGTTTGAATGTTGCCACGCTCGTAGATTTCCTTCTTTAAAAGCGGTAGACGCCGTACGCGCACATAGATCAGTGTATGCAATCGCATCAATAATATATACCTTGCTTCATCTTCTACGTGATTATAATTCCTTCAAGATCCAGCCACGTTTATACATCTAACAACGCTTGAAAAGGATTCAACAACGAAAAACAACGAGTTTTATTTTCAAAAGATGTATTTTAGAACTTGAATTCCTTTCTCTTGTCCTTTTTGTTCTCTTGAGCAGTCTTGAGCTTTTTAGCTTGTCGATTTGCGTGTTCAACGTACATATCCGACAAGTCTTCACCACCTGCGCCTGCTGGTAACTTTGATCGCATTTGTGCATCGTATTTAGCACGCAAGGTAGATTCATCCAAACCGGCTTCCAACTCGCTAGGATCGATAGCGACATCCACATTGCCACCCATTTTACGCTTAGAGCTCCTTGCAGTCGATGACGCCGCTTCGGCTCCTTTTTCAACCGTTGATAGATCGTATCCATGCTGAGATCCCATGAAACCACTAATGTTCTTTTGCACCTCTGGAAGTACTTGATACAATTGACGAGGCTGTTCATCCTCCTCCTGTTGTCTCCTCACATCCTTGCGCAATTCAATAAAATCGGGTGTCTCCAAGCCTGATGCAACGGATGCCATACCCGAAGGCGTCACCAATCCATCCTTCATAGCTTCCTCAGTAGGCTGTGCTTGTTCTTCCTCAGGTGCAGCTTCGGCTTCCTCTTCCTCTTCCTCAGCTTCAGATTCCTCCTCCTCTTCCTCTTCCTCTTCTTCGAATTCTAATACAAAAGATATGAGTCAATGGAGAGACCCTTTGGATATCACTTTTGTCTACTAACCTTCTTCAGATTCTAATTCACCCCAAAGATTCTTGTCAACCGGTTCAATGATCTAATTCAAAAGACCCATCAGCCTCTTTCTTCTTCCATCCATTAGATAACGAATAACATACCTCAGGTGGAACCACTTCCTTTTGTGTGACACCAAACACATCACCATACAAAGGTCGATTAAACTATTATCGGAATCATCCATTAGTACAAGAAGATCAAGGTAGGTGAATGGATTGACGTACCTCGTCTACAGGAGGTCTACCCCAACCACCAGGATGATAACCCCATTGTGCGCCATCAGGAATGGGTGAATTGAGACCAGGGATAGTAAGATTGGGATAACTTGGGGGAGGACCATAACGTTGCATATTGATGAGCCATGGTGGTGGTGCCAAGGGTGGCATGTTCAATGCGCTTTTGAGCTCTTCGGATAATTGACCAGGCTTCTTTTCCTTGAGCTTGGTTTCAAATTCCTTGCCTTCATAGTATCTATATATGAAACGTGATTTCCATCAGTCACCTTGGATACTTTTTTTGACAGCCGTTATACTCACAGTTCGCCATGGATGGTGAATTTTGGCTTTGTTTGGAAACGGAAGAAAGCATCGTGTAGCTTTTGATAGTCAATGTCCAGCTTGCCCATCTTGGGTGCCACACGCTCTCGAGTCTTGGTTTTCAACTTCATGGAATCTTCTTTTTCCTTGACAGCATCACGCATCTCCATGATACCAGTATCCTTGATGAAATCTATAGCGAGAAAAGAGGGTCAATCCCAAGCTCCCTTTTATCAAATCAAAACTTACCAGGCAATTCCCATGGAGGTTTCTCGATACCACGTTTGCCTTGAAGGTATTTGCGTTTTTGACTCCAATGTGCTGGAACAGGTACTGTGTTGCGGTATGATTTCAAGTTGACGAGTAACTTTGGATCTGATGCTGTCACATCCCACCACTAAATAAACAAATATCAGCATTAAATGATCATCACACAACTTGAATCGAAATTTACCTCTACAACTTCAGGCTTTTTGACCAATTGTTTTAACTCGGCTACTGTCAATCGCTGTAACTTCTTCAACTTCTTCTTGGACAATGGCTGATCCGAATCCTCCATATCTTCTTCATCCTCATTCTCCTCATCGCCCGCGCCTGCATCTTCTTCAGTTCCCTCGTCGATCTTAACCTTGGGCTCATTATCCTAAACACAAAAAGTATGAGTTGAATCATGTCATCCCCCCTTTGGATGATATAAAAAAGTACCTCATCCTCATCACGATTATTGATCTGATAGTATTGAAATACTTGAGACATTTGGGCGAGGATGTCTTCGTCCACACCTTGCATCCCTTGCATGTTTTTCAGAGCGTCCGTGTCGACAGGCTGCGTGACATATTCGATCTCCACATTGTCGAGTGAATCGTCCTTTGTATCTTTGAAGCCGAGTTCCTATAGACAAGATCAGTGTTAATTGGGAGCCTTGGATGCAATAAAGAAGCCATGTATTCTCACCTCACGTCGTTTGGCATCTTCTTGTGCACGTTGCTTTTTCGATTTCTTTCGTCCACGTTGTCGAGACTTGACTTTCTTTTGTGTGTTGTTCGATACAGCCGTCGAATCGGTTGCTGGAGATTGGCTGGCTGTGCTGTTCACTGCTACCTCGGCAACCATAATGTGTAAAAGGTAAAGAGAGAGAGAGAGAGACAGCTGAGTGTATTGAGCAGCAGCAAAAGATGAGTTCTGAGTTTTGGGGCTCCTCTGCTTTTGACCTCCTCCAATGTCAGTCGTTGTTCGCTTTGGTTATCTTTCTTTTACAAACACACGCTCTCTTGCATAATGTCACCGAGTGCTTTAGAGTCGGTCCTTCGTTACGCTTATATCCATGGATACACGTGTCGAGAAGTGAGTAGCCGTAGCAATGTCTACCCACCCGATCTCCTTTTCACTCATTCCAACCTAGTGGGCAGAACCTGTACGAGATTACAAGGATCAGGTCGATGGCGATATTAGCACTGAACTTTGTGGTAGTTACACATTCTATTATCTATCCATATGAATGCTAACATGCGATGGATGTGTGTAGAGCTCTTACTGGGTCGATTCTTTGCACAAACACGCGTAGCCGAGCCATTATTAGAACGCTACATTGCCTATGCTGCCACGGGGGACGACGAACAGCATTATCCATTGACGTTGAATCAACAAGAGTGCTTGATCCCTCCCATCACTTTTCTTTCATGCCTTGTCAAGTTTGTCGATACAACAGCTATCCGCAATCCACATCAATGGTCGCATCTTTTAAAGTGCCTTCCAACATTGTTATCTGTCATTGATACCGACCAAGTGATTTCTGATCTATTACAACAAAAAGACCAGCAACCATGGCCACGGTTACTATGCAACGTATTCATCATGTTATCACGGCTTGTGGCAGTCGGCTTGTATTATGATTATTACGCTCGTGATATCCTTCGCAATAAGCAAGACACGACCATCGTAGCATCCGATGAAGCAGCAGCAGGATCAGGATCGCCACTACCATCATCATCACAGCAATTCAACAATACACAAACATCATCTTCATACCCATTCAATTTTCCTTTATCACAACCATCAGGCACATTCGACCCTGATGCTACCCTTGATTTGGAATCATTTGCAGCAGCCGAACCACCCACCAGTTTTGAGGCTTCAGCCGCTAGTACAGATGGTCATACAGCACGTGATTCGACTCAAGGAACAACCACAGACACCAATCGTATCGAAACAGCAAATGCTATTTTGGCAGCACAAGTCATGGAAGAGCTTGTTGAGAAAAAGGGTGCCAAACGGATATTTGAAATCATGAATACTCAAAACAAACGAGAAGCTGGCAAAGCGGGTACGATGTCATAGTGGAGTGAGATTGTGTCATGGTGATGATATTCATATTGATGTTGTTGATCATAGAGGAACCATGGGCTACTTGTCAAGCCATCTTGGCACCCCCTTCAGCAAACACACAAACCACCACCGATGTAGCACAAAACACCCACATTCAAAAGTTGCTATTGTTGATCAATCGATTGACGGATCGTGATTTGGATCGGCGCATGGCAGTGCATCTCAAGTATCAGGAATTGGAGGATGAAGGCACTGCAAGAGCTTTGCCTAGTGCAGGCTTAATGGGTTTCCTATATCATTTGGTAAGTATCATCCCTTTGGTATCTATGTTAGCGGTAAGATTGACACAGCATCATCTTAGGTACAAATTCGACCAGGATTAAGCGATGAATACATCCTTGATTATCTCACAAAGATGCAAACCATCAAGGTGAGTGGAAAGGGATTTGGATGGCATAGATAGACATAGAGTACCAACCATATTTCTTTTCTAGGGGTCTTTTGATGAATCGTTTTATTTGGAGATCTGGTTTGCTGCATTGACGGGTTTACGAGAAGCATCCGAATTGGGCCATCAGCACACTATGCAAGGGGATGATGGTATGACTCAACCAGCGGATATTACCATCAATGCGAATCGTCTTCTTTGGCGAAGTATGGTATTGGTCAAGGTATGTGGGTGACACACTATGCCATATGACATGACAACTAATAACATGGTAGGTTCCTTTTATCATCGAGCAATTGTATACGAGGAAGCAAAGCCAATCTCGACATTACTCGTTCCTGAAACGTGAAAATGACGACCCTGATACGACTGAGGTATGATGGATGGATCACACACCAAAAAAAAAGAATCCCTATTGACATCGTTTGATAGATGAACCCATTAGAAGCGTCCTTAAGAGAACTCAAGTCATTCACGGGTTTATTGAAAGGATGCAGCCCATCACTTGCAGCATTGGATATGTTCGAGCCTGGAGCATCTAAATTACTCGATCAGCTCAACAATGGGAACAGCAAAGCAGAGAAAGATGATGGCGATGATTTCATGAATCTCATCAACGACATGAGCAATACGGTCGATTTTAATACCCCAGCCGTTGCCAAAGCCATTCGACAAGTAGCCAGTGAGGATATCTTCACCCAAATCGTTCGCGTTTGCCAGCAATATGGACTTGTACAGGATAGCGTGGCTGATGTACTGGTGACAGTTCCCAAAACAACCGAGATCAAGAGCGAGCAAAATGATGATGGAGGAATGGATATCATTGATGACTCCATGATGCTTGACTTTGGTGATGATAATCAAAATGCTAGCAAGAGCAACGATTTGGAGGTTGTCGCACAGGTAAATCGATACCAACAAGAGACACTGCCACCTTTATTTACATAATGTGATAGAACGTAGACCAACGCATCAACGCTTTGAGAGAGACCATTTCGATGACAGGCATCACTGAACTTTTGCATATTGCCTTTGTATCCATGGCTCATACAAAAAAGATTGTGGATTTCGTTGTTGAGGTAGGAGAACAATAATTTTCGTGTATTCTCGATTCTAATCCCGGTACTTTTAGTTGCTACGAGACAAGGCAGATTCACGTGACATTTATGGCCTGGCCAAGATATGCGATGCCCTCAACAAGTGTCCATGTGCTATTGATCTTATTGGACAGCTTCATCATCCATTTATCTTACTTGAACCCTTGGAGCAATTTTGCAACGAGTGGAAACCATCCGACAGCGAAATGGACGTCGACAATCGATCCAGTAGTGAAAGCGACACTGATGATGACATGGATGGTGTTCGCGTGCTCTATGGCAAGTTTGGAAAAGTATGGACGTTGGTGGTACTCATTGTAAGAAAATTCAATGTAAGTGGTAGTATATACCGAACGATGCTATCTTTGGGATCATGAATAACATGGATATGATGAACAGCTTTATCGCGATATACCGAGCGTATTCAGGAACGAGGATGGGTTCCTTTATCGTTTCTTTACACAAGGACCTTTGATTTATGGCGTGGATGCAACCGATGAAACCATTGAGGAATTTGCACGTGAATGGCAAACGGCTTTATTGGGCAATGGTGGCATTTCCGATGATTTATTAAGGTAAGTTTCAATCTACGAGAAAGAGGGATAGAGCAAGAGTAGCACTGACAATGCTGTCAAAAAACAGGTTTTCTACGCCACAGCAATTACTACAAGCTGCTCCTACACTCTTTGCACGTTCCATTTTGGTGTACGAGAATGGTCATCTTGGGGAAGATACACTGATGGGCATTGTTTCCTATTTCCAAGAGAGCTTCCTCAACTTTACATTGTGCCCTGTGACGATCATGTACTTGTGCGATGATGTCTTGATGCGCAATCCATCCGTGGGTGTAAAGTGTCTACACCAGCTGCTGATGAAAGGTCGACCACCGCATGCATTGATGCAAATTTGTGGCAGCAACATCCTTGGTGCATTGATGGGATTATCTGAACAATTAAAGCAAGAGCGTATGGTGCGACCTGCCTCTGTAGCCGAAAAGGGTCAAGAAGCTGTGATGGCATTGGATGAACTTGTTACGCAATTGCAAGCCCATATCAAGAATAAGCTTGGCATTGAAGAAAAGAGTGACCAAAAGCAACATCACACGGAGACTGTATCGACGGGCGTCACATGCGACAACCTTGCACACAAGGCCCAAGAAATGTTCCGTTACATTGTCAAGAGCGGTCGATCCATGTTTATGCGGGATGTGGATGCGGATGTGGTGGCGTTGTGGGATCCTTGCAAAGCACCCAAGAGTGTGATTGTACATTACTTGGATATGGTCATGTTCCAAATGGCATTGGATATGGGTGGTCCTCATTGGTTTGTCAACATGATTGTGGAACAAGTCCTGGAAGCCGGTAAAAGTGGTGGCGCTGTTCGTGCAGGTAACACGATCATCATCATGCATACACCCAACATACAACTTATAAAGACCTTTGTATATCTAGCTGAACTTGGCTCATGCCTTATCACCACCCCCTTGACGACGGACATGGATTCGGATGGTTCCTGCTTTAATCTTTTACGTTGTTTACTACAAGATGTGGTGCCCTCTTTTCTCGAAAAATGTGCATCCGCCAATGCATCGTTTTTCCAAGGACAAACCCTCGGTGTGTTCACAGGCAATTGTTTGGTACTGATGCATGATCGTGGCGACCAACCCAAGGAACGACAATTTGTGGATGAGTTTGGGCGTCAGTTTTTCGAAACGCTGGTCGTTGACAATGAAAATGCACCCCAGATGATTCATCAGACTCATGGTAGTGCCATCAAAAAGGAAGAAGGAGGAGGAAGTGGAGGAGACAATGGCATGGATCAGAGTATACGCTTGGGTGTCTTTGGTTCATGGCCTGATACCGTCACGGAAAGTCCCATATGGCGTGGTTTCTTGAAAGGATTGATGAGTAATCCACTTGTCAATGAAGCATGGCCCAACACGTTTATATACTAGATGTAAATATACAAAAAGCAAAATTCATCATATTTTCGGGAACAATGTATACATAAATGAATGGTAGTGATGGGGTCATTATCCTTTGGTTTGATTCAAAGTGTGTATGTAGAAGACATGGGTTGTATTCAGATACATGAAGCTCATCTCGTTCAGAATGTGATCACACAATCCTAGCCCTAACCAAAAATCGATTATGTTTTCGAAATACAATTGTATGGAAAGTTTTCTTTATTATACACAGCGAAGCAAAGCCGCTACACAAGTGTCATGCTTAAGGGAAGGGTGAAGGAGCACTTGTAATAAGATTGGTATGGTATGAGTGTTTACACATTTTATGTACGCCTCGCCTTGCATTTAGTTTTCGTTTTCGGTTACTTGGTTGTCATTTTCATTTGCTCCTTCGGCTTCTCCTGATGCTGCTGCTGGGACACTATCTTCTTGTCCTTCGCCTGCCTCTTCTTGGCCATTTTCTTGTGGTGCTTGGCCTCCTTCTCCTTCGCCTTGTTGTTGTTCACCATTTTCTTGTTGTTGGTCGCCACCTTGCTGTTGTTGATCACCACCTTGCTGTTGGTCGCCACCACCTTGCTGTTGTTGATCACCACCTTGTTCTTGTTGTTGGTCATCACCACCAGAGCCAGCAGCGCCAATCTTGAATTGAGGAGAGTAGGCAACGTTGGGAGAAGTGCCAAAGATGAGAGCATCTGATAGCAATGAAAAATTAGTCATCCATTGGCAGTAAAGAGTTCAATTTCAGACTACTTACAAGTACCAGCAGTGGTGTTGTCAGGAATGTGCCAGGCATAAGTACCGGACTTGGCATCAACATCATTGGCAATCACATAAAGATGGTTGAGGTTGTTGGAGTCTCCATTGGCCAATTCAATTTGGACCTTATCAACAGAGGGATTTTGCCTGATAATATGTAACGATGAATATCTTGCGCATCATGACGAAGATCCAATTCAACTTACCAGGTAATGTTGGCTACTCTGCCAGCAGTGAATTCGGTGTTTTGAGTAGGGTTAGTGACTTGAAGGACACCAGGGGTGCCTTGAGCCGATACAACGGTGAGAAGAGCAGAGGCAATAGCAGCAATAGTAAACTTCATGATGATTGATTGAGTAGTTGTTGAGGATGGTGTTTGGTCAGGATTCCAAAACGATGCCCTATTTATACACAAAAGCGGGGCGGTGTTTTGATGAGCCCATATGCATAAAGATCACACAAGATCTTCGCCGCGAATGCAATCGAACATCCCTTTCAAAAATAATTCCTCATTTTTCTATTCTTGTATACGGATCCCCTTCAACATTTTTTTGCATCATTTGATCTTCGGATTTTGCTATACGCACTTTACCACTTTCGTAGAGTACACTAACACTACTGTTGTACCATTGATTACGACGTATCCAAGCATTTGCATCACACACACAGTATTGCAGCTGTCATTTATTCACCACCAGAAGCATTGTGTGTGTGCTACGTTATCAATAGGATCGACGAGTGAGTTGTATTCCTTGGCGTGATGGTGAATTTGGGGGACGGAGTGCTGTTTTGAGTGGACAAAGGATTGGTGGGGTGCTGGTATCCATATGGTATGGGCTATTTTGCTGTTGTTGTTATTATTGTGGATTGAATTATGTCATTGGAGAAGCAGCGGCTTGGCAAAGAAAGAGGAGAGCTGCGACTCCTCTCTCTTTCTTGTTGGTATCTGGATCCACCATTCCATATAGGTTTTAGTGACAAAAACAAAGACAAATGGATTTGCATTGTTTACGAATTCCTATTTTTATATGACGAAAAGATCGCCGGGTCCTCTTCCGTCTTTAGGCCTTGGCACTGTAAAAAGTCATCAGAATGGGTGGTTATGTCACATGAAAGAGTGGGCTTTGAAGCTTCACTCGCGTGTTTAAGAGAATGAATGCATACATTTTGCAGAAATGGACTGCATCATGCACATCGGGGACAAAACAAACAACGATGAGACATTCAAACACGCTCTCGGACAACCGGTAGATCCTTTTCTCTTTGTGTATATGTGTGGCGTCGAGACCATTCGCGTTCGACCATGACAACGACCTAGCCTTTCCTTCATTCATTCCTTCATTTATTTGAAAATGATTACTCATTAACTCCATATACAATGATTTCTGTATACACGATTGAAGTATCTGGATCTCATGGTAAGGGATGATAAGGGGGTCCATTTATTAAAGCCAAGCCCGAGTAGCACCATGCAAGTGGGGTCGTGACATTGCAGACATAACCTTACTGGAGGTAAGCGTTTTGCCGCCGCTTAAAAATTCATGTCGCGTAATCGACAAGATCATGTTGGTTATTTGGTACATCTTATCGATGATTCTCTCCTCCTCCTTGTAGCTTGATAAGATAATGAAAACATCAAATGACACGATTCCTTAAGCCATTGATAGCAACCAAACCCATCCTATCACATGAGCATTCCAAGAGCTTCCTTTCACATAAAGTGCATATCCACCACTTCCCCCCCATGCACATCACACATAGCCTGTCTTCATTCCATAGAACAGTAATGGCAGTACCAAGTATATTAATATGGATCATAATCAAGCATAAATGATATTACTGTGCTGGAATGTAAGGATCTACCAGGTCATCCAAAATAGGTCTCTTGTTGTTGCTAGGGCGATGAGAGTCGTTGGACTTGCAAGCAAGCAAGGGAAAGCATGTACTTCCTCCATCCTCGATGAATTGATTCAACCTCTCCTTGATGATGCGAGATGCATGTCGCCTTCTTCTTTTCTTGCTGTAGAACCTCTTGACCCTGTCATGATATGCCTGTTCCAAAGTTCATCCTGTCAAGTAGCGAGACACGCGCAAGACGGCTCCATCAGGTACATTCCACTGCCTTGCCTCGCCTAAAGCCATCCATATCACATCTGCTACCTTGGTGACAGCTGCTTTCATTGTATAAACGATGTTCGGCTAACCGGGTTATGGCATGGTCCAGGATAAAAGTGTTGCTCGACATGCTGACAGGTGTGGTGGTCAACAAGGAATTGCAATCGGTGAAGGCCATAATGTTGGAGCTCATTGAGACCAAGACAACAATGTGGAGTGCTCGACATTGGGCTGATGCTGCTTACTTATGCAAAGTGTGCAATGGACTTGAATGCGAATGTAGTGTTGAAGTGGGTGAGCGAACGTCAAAGGAAAGATGAAAAAGGTCTCAGCCTTGCATGGTTGCCAGGGAATAATCCCCATCAGTCAACTGTCACACAAACGTTTATGCAGCATCAAGAGCGATATTCCTTAGCTATGAATGAGATAGCCTGCTATACTTGAGCAACCAATAAACATGAACCAACACTTTTATATACTTTCTGTGAACATACAAAAGCAAAATCCATCATTGTTTTGGGAACAATGAATACATGAATGAATAGTAGTGAGAGTCATCATCTTTCAGCTCTATGAATTGGTTTGATTCGAGAAGGTATGTATGTAGATGTGATGTGTATTTGGATCGCAATGCCAGCCCCACGCCATTATCGATTATGTTTTCTTGAAATACAATGTATGGAATGTTCTCTTTATTATACACAGCGAAGCAAAGCCGCTATACAAGTGTTATGCTAAGGGGGAGGGATGAAGGAGCGCTTGTAATAATGTATGGTATAAGTGGTAACACATTTTACACCTGATCATCAGTGTTGCCTTCTCCACCTTGTTGTTGTTGGTCGCCACCACCTTGTTGTTGATCGCCACTACCTTGTTGTTGATCATCACCACCAGAGCCAGCAGCGTTAATCTGGAATTGAGGAGAGTAGGCAACGTTGGGAGAAGTACCAAAGATGAGAGCATCTGAGAACAATGAAAATTAGTCATCCATTGGCATTAAAGAATTGAATTGCAGGCTACTTACAAGTACCAGCAGTGGTGTTGTCAGGAATGTGCCAGGCGTAAGTACCGGACTTGGCGTCAACGTCATTGGCAATCACATAAAGATGGTTGAGATTGTTGGAGTCTCCATTGGCCAATTCAATTTGGACCTTGTCAACAGTGGCCTTTTGCCTGATAATAACAATGAATGTCTTGCACATCATGACGAAGGTCCAATTCAACTTACCAGGTGATGTTGGCAACTCTGCCAGCAGTGAATTCGGTGTTTTGAACAGGGTTAGTGACTTGGAGAACACCAGGGGTGCCTTGAGCAGAGACAACGGTGAGAAGAGCAGAGGCAAGAGCAACGATGGTAAACTTCATGATGACTGATTGAGTGGTTGTTGAGGATGATGTTTGGTCAAGATGCCAAAAGATACCCTATTTATATATACAAAGAGGTCCGGTGGTGATGAGCCCATATGCATAAAGATTACACAAGATCTTCGCCGCAAATACATACACAGCAGGGTCACGTTGGGAAAGCAAAAGAACATCCCTCTCAAAAATAATTCCTCATTTCTATTCTTGTATGGATTTCCTTCAACCTTTTTTTTTGCACCATTTGACCTTCGGATTTTGTTATACGCACTTTACCGCTTTTGTGATTACACCATGGCTGCTGTTGTTGTACCATTGACGACGACGTGCCCAACCATTTGCATTACACACACAGCACAGAGCATTGTAGTGGCTGTCATTCATTCACAAGAAGCAATTGCGTGTGTACAACATTATCAAAGGGATCGACGAGTTCGTTGTTATCACCTGGTTACCTGCTCAGTACAGTATTCCTTGGCGTGATGGTGATGATGTTGGGGGGTGCTGTTTTGGGTGGACAATGAATTTTGGTGGGTGTTGTTGATATCCATATGGTATAGGCTATTTCGTTGTTGTGGTGATGGGTGGGCCGCATTATGTCATTGGGAGCAGCAATGGCTTGGCAAAGGAGAGCCGCTCCCTCTTTCTTTCTTGTTGGTATCTGGATCCGCCATGCCATTTGAGTTTTAGTGTGGCCACAAACAACAACAACAGACAAATGGATTTGCATTGTTTACGCATTACTATTTTTATTTGACGAAAAGGTCGTCGGGTCATCTTCCGTCTTTAGGCTTTGACACCGTAAAAAGTCATCAGAGTGGGCATAAAAGGTGGCTATGTCACATGAAAGAGTGGGCTTTGATGCTTCAATCGCGTATGTAAATGAATGAATGCATGCATTTTGCAGAAATGAACTGCATCATGCACATCGGAGAGAAATAAACAACGAAGATGAGACATTCAAACACGCTCGGACAACCGGCAGATCCTTTTTTCTTTGTGTGTATGTGTGTGTATGTGTGTGTGTGTACATGTGGCGTCGATAACGTTCGCATCCAACCCATGACAATGCCCCGCCCTTTCATTCTAACATTCAATTGGAAATGATTGCTCATTCACTCTACATACAATGATTTCTGTATACATGATGTAAGTATCTGAATTTCATGGTTGTTGAGTAAGGGATGAGGAAACAAAGGGAGGTACCATTTAAAGCCAAGCCCGAGTAGCATCATGCAAGTGGATTTGTTGTGACATGGTGGGCATAAACCTTGCTGTAAGTAAGCGTTTTGCCGCTGAAAATTCATGTCGTGTAATCGTCAGTGGAAGATCGTGTTGATTATTTGGTGCATGTTAGATGTCATACGACAGGAATGTTTTCATGGTCCTCTCTTCTTGAGCAAAATAAGATACAATCAAAACATCCATTTGCTTGGTATTCCCTAATTCAAATGACACGATCCTCGAGCTATTGATAGAAAGCAATTCCACCACATCACATGAGCATTCGATGAGTTTTCATTCATATCCATCACTTTATTGTCATATCTACAATACATGCACATAGCCTCTCTCCATTACAACGGCAATCGCAATATCAAGTATAGCACTGGGATCTACCAGGTCACCCAAAATAAACCTCTTGTTGTCAGGGTCGTGAGGGTCGTTCGACTTGTAGACAAGTAAAGAAAAGCGTGCAATGTTGAAAGGTGAGCGAAAAGCCAAAGGGAAGGTGATGGAATTATCTCAACCTTGCATAGCTGCTAGCCCATCAGTCAAAGGTCACACAAATGTTTATGCAGCATCAAGCGGTCATTCCTTTACTATGAACGAGATAGCTTGCTATACTTGAGTCAATAGTGGAAGAGCTATGTATAATAACATGGTATGGAGGAAATGGGGTCTGTGTCAATGTCATCATCACTTATAGCCTCGCAACCAAAATTAAGGTACACACGACGACGGGTCAACACATTCTTTATTCCCAGCATAGGCCGATTATTAGCAACGATGTTGTGGGGGCGGGAATGAGGCTATATGTAGTACACGGGCGCAGTCCTTGTTTCGTATACCCGTGCGTCAAACATGAAGGCCGCAGCAAAATCACAGCGAACGATAATGGAGAGAATTGATATAACGCTGCTGCTGCTGCTGCGGTAGGTTGGTTGGTTGAATCATAGTAGTTTGTATTTTTTGACATGCCGATAGACTCTTATCTCTCTCTCTCTCTTGACTCGTTCAACCCCCCAAAAGTCACTTGTTTTCTTATGCCAAAACGATCAGGTGGAAATCGACGTGGATCGCATCGTGGACGTGGTCGTGGACGCGGAGGCCATAATAGAGGTGGAGGACGTGGTCGTGGTGGAGGCGGCCATGGTCGTAATCGTCACTTGATCCCTTCCAGTTATGGCTTCGTTTATGAACCTGGCAAGCACAATACCTTTAGCGACGACGATTACGAAGACGACTTTCCAGTGTTTGCTCAGTTTGGTGCAGTGGACGATCCCAATGACGATGGTATTGTAGTGAATGCATAAGGGCCGACAAGGGACACTAAAGTGGTTGGTTGAGAATAGGTTTCTCCAAGAGACGTAAACGTAAAGGTGCTACCAACACACAACGTGCACCTCTTTTGGGAGATGATGGATTGGAATTTCAACCTTCGAGAGGCAATCGTGGATATGGCAGATCTGTTGCATTTACTCGTGCGACCACCTTTGTTCAACAAGAGGATGACAACAATGGAATGATGGATAACGACGAAGATCATGTTGTCAGCACCACCACTACCACCACTAACACCAACGATAATAGCAATGTCCCATCGACCAGCAATGACAGCAATATTATTGTATCATCATCGGGCGAAGAGGAGAATAATGTCGAAGCTACAGGATCATCATTGGGATTCTATTTCGATTCGACTCCTAGCAAAGTGGTCTTGAATGATGACGACGATGATGATGAGAATCTTTATGACTATAATGATTCGATACCTTTCAACAATATCTCCACCACATCCAACAGCAAGGTGTTTATCAGAGAGACTCGCAATGGTGTTACAGTGGATACGCCAGTGGATGGACCCGATCGTAATCACAACAACAACGGCAACAACAAACGCAACAATCGAAAGCAAAAGCGACAAAAGAAAAAGATCATTCCTGGCGATGACATTTACATTGGATCCGATTCTGATAGCAGTGACAATGGCGAATACGAACATCTCTTTACTTCCAAGCAGGATGATGATATTGCCGCCATGCGTGATTACATTGAAAATATTCAGTTGGATGAGGACGATGAAGCTGCCATGCGTGCATTTGCCAATGGTGACGTGAATAGCAACTATGACAACTTGCCATACGACGATGAATCGGATGATCAAGATAGCATTCGTAATGGAGGATTCCACTATATCAGCTCTGATGAATCACTTGAGGAGATTGACGAGGATGCTTTCAACCGCACTGCTCCACATCACCGTATGATGGACACTGACGATGACGATTTCTTGGAAGAGATTGATGAAGAAACTTTCAGAACCTCGCTCTTGAATGCTATGGATGATGTGCCACCAAGCCTTCATGCAGGTACAGCAACTGTAACTGGATCATGGATGAAGAGAGTAGATATTGATCATGGTGATTTAGGAATGAGGAATCGGATTCATTATAATGAGAAGCGTGCGAAGAAGATCTCAAAGAAGGAAAAGCGATTGGAAAAGCAAAACCAAAAGGGCAAAAAGAAGGATCAGCAGCAGACGATCTCTATTGACATGCGCAAAATTGACCAGTATGTCGTTGTAACATGGCGTTGACTTCACGCATTACTCACCTGCGTCATTTATGATAGGCGGATACAACAATTTATCAAGGATGAGTCGTTATCAAGGTGAGAAGAAGCAAGTTTGCATGGTAATGTGTTACTCACACGCATACATAGTTATCAATTTGCACCCATGTCCAAGATGTGTCGTCGACAAATCCATCTTCTTGCATCGGCATACAATATTAAGACAGAAAGCTATGGTACAGGAGCACAACGGTAAGAAGATTTTAAGGTGGTTGTCATACAAGGTATTGACATTTATTTTGCTCTGTAGAATGCCCCTTTTGCAAAAGACCACCAATACACAATTACTTGATGATCGGCGATCGATTGAACGCTTCCTGCAAGAGGCACAGGCAACGATTGATGCACGTTCATCTATATTACGGAAGAATCGACAAATGGATCCTGAACCAGTTGGCAAAGGCAAAAAGAAGGGCGGCAAGAAAGGAAAGCAAAAGGGCAAAAAAGAGAGGCAACAAGATCCCGATCGACCAAGTTCAAAGCCTGCACACAATTCGGTTGTTGGCGCTGGAGCGGATCCTATTAACGAAAGCAACATTGGTCATCGGATGCTGGCTGCTATGGGGTAATTAATGGAGGAAGGCTGTTTATTGTATCCAATTTGCTTATTGTGATTTTTATAGTTGGAAGCATGGTGATTCGCTTGGTACAAACAATGAAGGCATTGCAGCCCCGATCGAAGTGGTCATCCGCAAAAAGCGTGTGGGCCTCGGATCCTAAAACAGTCTACAATACTTACCTCGTTAATTTGTGCACTATACCTTCATTCTCCTCTTGCTAGTAGACCCATCACTCCATCCAATAAAACATTTACGTCGCTTTTTGGATATATTCCAAAGGTTTTTACCAAAAGCGTGCATGGCAAAAACAACCTTGAAAAGACCGGGGTAGTTAAATTTATACCACCATGGTTTATTTCTCCATTAGCTAAAAAGTGCTTGGACTCATCAAAAGACATTTTAACTAGTTTTAGCGAGGCATGTGCTGGAATCTTTGATATGTGGTTGGCCAATCAATGTGCAATAGCCGTGCTGCTGCTACTGCTGCTACTGCATGTGTGATCGACAAGCACACTAAGTTTTTAGTCGGCGTTTCCCCAAATGGATAATCTCGTCTCATTTTCTCTTCCTTCCACCTCCTGATCCCTTTTCTTTCGTTTCTTTTCTCACCCTCGTCATTTTTTGCTCATATGCGTCACAAAGAAAACCAACAAATCGACAATGATACTCGTTTACAGCTGATGGATGACAACAATAGCGAAGATTGGGTCGATGGCTCCACACGACCACCACGAGCACTGGTTAGCAACAACAAAAACGTGAAACACACTCTTTGAGACAAACGATACTCATACACCTCTTTAGGCGTTTTGCCGCAAATCGCTATTGGGAGGATTAGTATGCGCTCTCGTACTTTTGGGCATGGCTATCGGTGCATGGGTCACTCCTCCTATCGCAATAAATGGGAGACTAGGCAAGTGTGCTATTTCTTTTACCTTGCAATAATACCGACAATTAACCCCACCCCCCCCCCACCCCGGACTTTTTTTATGCAGCAGAACAAGCCAAATCATCCATCTCCTCCACTAGTGGGCCGGCACCACGCAATATTATCATGATGATTAGTGATGGCATGGGACCAGCCTCTGTCTCATTTTCCCGTACATTTTACCAGTATATCCACGGCTTGCCGTATGACCATGAAATGCCCCTGGATACAGTATGTTGTTGTTTTTAGTGAATGAGTGTGTGTGTGTACAACACACCTTAGTGGCACGTGCGTTTCCGCTCAAACCCAATTTTATGGATCTCTAGATTCATGTTGGCCAGTCTCGAACAAGAAGCTCATCCACGTTGGTTACAGACAGTGCTGCGGGTGCCACAGCATTCAGCTGTGGTCTCAAGACATACAATGGAGCCATCGGAGGTAATACACAATTCCTTTTGTTTGCCACTTGCAGCTATGTATGCTCATTCATAATCCTGTTATTCAGTGGATCCCAAAAAGAATCCTTGTGGTACGGTCCTTGAGTCAGCCAAATATCACCGTGGCATGCGCACTGGTTTAGTAGCGACTTCACGCATCACACACGCAACACCTGCTTCATTTTCAGCACACGTTACTGATCGCGATAACGAGAATGCTATTGCCATACAACAAATTGGTGATTATCGATTGGGCCGCTCATTGGATCTCATGTTTGGAGGAGGCTACTGCCACTTTTTACCCAAGTCAGATCGCCGCAGCTGCCGCAAAGATGAACGTGATCTTTTTAAAGAAGCGAATGAAAAGTTTGGATGGGAACATGTTCTCTCAATTGATCACAATCGTACTGAATTCGATGCATTACCCGATGACGCAAGTGTGCTACCAGTCTTTGGTTTGTTTCATCCTGATGTAAGTGTGTGTGTGCCTCTTTAGAGTGATTCATGTAGAAAAGGCTGACGAGGCAATGGTGTCTCTTTTTGTATATAGCACATGAATTACGAGATTGACCGAGATCCAGCACTTGAACCGAGTCTCACAGAAATGACCGATAAAGCACTCAAGATTCTCTCGTCATCGGCTGAGAAAGATGAGGAGGAGGATAAAGGATTCTTTTTAATGGTGGAAGGGAGCCGTATTGACATGGCAGCTCATTCGTAAGTATCATGGTAACCATAGCAACGTCATGTAACTTTCTGACTTGCCATGTTCCATTTTCAGCAATGACCCTGTTGCCCATTTGCATGATATCCTAGAATACCAAAACACTATTGAGCTCGTCAAACGATTTGTGGACGAGCATCCCGATACATTATTGATTTCCACAAGCGATCATGAAACGGGAGGTCTTTCGCTGGCACGACAAGTCACTAGCGCTTATCCCAAATACTTGTGGTATGTGTATTGCGATTCCTATTTAAAGCAACGCATTGTGGTTGTCATGCTAACAATAGATAATAAGGTATCCCGATGTGCTTATTAAAGCAACCCAATCCACGGTCGCATTGGCCAACAAGATTAAGGCACAAGCATCGGTGTCACAAGATTTCTTGATCAAGGAGATTTTGCAAAAAGGTTTAGGCATTGGTGATCCCACTAAAGATGAGCTCGATCGCTTACTCAAGATTGGCTCCAAAAAGCGGTTGGATCAATACCTTGCTGAAATGATATCCATCCGTGCACAGCTTGGGGTAAGCTTTTTGTTTAAGAAAAAAAAGGACCCGTAGAATCGAAAAGCAATTGCTAACATGAGAACACTACTAGTGGGCAACGCATGGTCACAGCGGTGTGGATGTGAACTTGTATGCATACGGTGCTCAAGCCGACAGCTTACGAGGAAGCCATGAGAACATTGAAATCGGTGAATTCATTGCCCGTATGCTGAATCTTGATTTAAACGAGTTGACCACGATGTTGAATGAGTAAGCAATGTTGCAACTTTGGCTTGATGCGTTTGCTCATCCCCTTTTCAAAATATAGGGATAACGATGGCTTTTCCTTGGAAACGCTGAGCGATAATGACAAGAAGGAATACACTAATATGTTGGATACGTATCATTCCAATCCCAAAAACCTGCATCACCCATCCTACTAGACACATACATACGAACAGAAAAGAACAAGCGAGAACAAAATAAAAAGATCACGCACACGTTGCATATTTGTACATAGGCCAATACTAAGATGTCTAATTACCGGAAATGTGTAACAACGACATGTGGGTTGTCAAAAAGAAAAACATCCCGCGCCTTCATTTTGATCCGGATACGCGCGGGTAACTCATGCTGCGGACCGAAATCATTTGTTACATGTTGTGATGTACCGACCCCACGTCAGATGAGAGACCAGAATCCCTTCGCATGAGTACTTTTAAGCGTACTACAATCATCTCGCTTTTAGCTTTTTCTTCCATTCTTCTTTCTCCTCTCTTTCTTTCACATTCTTCTTTTTCTTTTACGTACGCTTCATAACAACAACATGACTGCAAGCCCTAGAGATAAGCCTGAGGTGAGCGAGAGAGCCTATTGCATGCCACAATCATTACCACGCAATCCACACACCCACACGCAAACACACCCACACAGGGGAAAAAGGGGTCCTACATGAGCTGATACTGACATACGACAACATGATCCACCCTACATCAGCAAACGAGCTCCTATGAAGAATCCGCGGATGATAAGGACTGGGACCCTGATGACTTGATTGACACGGCGACCTTTGACCAGCTCTTGGATATGGATGACGAGGATGATCATGAATTTTCATACGGCATTGTAGTCAATTACTTTGAGCAAGCGGAGTCGACGTTCAAGGACATGGATACGGCACTGTAAGTGATGATGACCTTTCCATTGTATTCATGTAACTTATGTATACATTTGAAACAGTGAAAAGCGAGATTTGTCAAAGTTGTCAGACTTGGGTCATTTTCTCAAGGGAAGTTCAGCAGCCATTGGATTGAAAAAGGTCAAGGCAACGTGTGAAAAGATTCAAAATATTGGCAACTGCCAAGATGAGGTCGGGACCAGTGCATTGGACGAGGGCGAAGCATTGAAAATGATCACCCAAATCCTACCGCGTGTCAAGGAAGAATATTCTGAAGCTGAACAGTACTTGAGAAGCTTTTATGAAGAACAAGATACTCGATAAAGGGAATTGCATGGTGAAACGCTAATGCAAAAAATAACCGGTTTGATCTTCCATTTCATAGCAGTAGTGCTGTTGGCTGTCATACACACACACACACACAAATCCCCTTCCTTCTTTTGTTACACCGTATTAATCTCCCACCCCCAACATACAATGATATCATCGTTCCCCCCAAACCCACCATCATTCATACATCGAGATCAGCAGACATCGGATGTGGTCTCGAACGTATGCACCGTTGTACGAATGGCTTCTTTGAGTTAACCACACGATCAAAAGGGATCCAAGGGATTAAACGTATTGGACCAGCCATTGAACCCAGCAGATGATAGGCGATTCTACAACATGGAATGTTGTTGACAAATGGGAGGGATCGTTCTTTGATAGCATGTTGGCCAAGACATGGCTTTGTTTATGTTGTATTGCGGCTATTTTGTACGCTACATAGGGTCTATGTGTGTTTGCAAATCCAAGACGACTAGCTTGATATTTAGCATAAAACCACAATGCTGCAACGGCAATGCATTTACCTTGTTTCAACCACTACACAACAAACTACCAAAAACAGGTGCTAGCCGATATCCAAAGTATGTGGCATCATGACATGTGCCAATGATCCTAGCCTAGTAGAGTACAGGTTCACAACAACAAGCTTATTTTGATACCACCACTTTATCACGTACATAGACTTGATGGGTACCCATTTTTATGGTGGTCAACAAACAAGAGACATCTACACTATGTACACCTTACAATGGCAAGGATCATGAATCAAGAAGGGGACATACGAGAGGTGCACAGGATTCTTTGTTCTCCCACGTTTTATATCTGGATCTTCCATCATGCGGACTTTTGGTCCATCTAGAAGCCGAAAAATCCTGGTCGGACGCTCATGATGTTAGAGGATCATGCGTTCGTGTCTACCCAAGGCAAACCTTTAGACGATTAAGAACGAACAAAGATCTCTTTTCATATACCACGGTACTCTAACAATTATGTTGAATATAGAGTTTATTCAATTGAAGTTGAAAAGAAGAAAAAGACATTGTATGTATGATGAATCCAAAGCAACAACATCATTGCCAAATGAATCAGATATGAAGGAATCACATAGAGCCAATGGGTACATCTCATTGTGTCGTCATTGTGATACTGGTTGCTGCCACCATAAGCGTTATCATCCATAATTCCAAAACATCTGCTGTGTGGTTTGACTCGAGCATGCCAACATCATCAATCCATGGCGATCAATCATCCTTCGTCAAAGATAAAAAAAGGCCTCTCTTCAAAAGCAATCCAATCCACCACCATCGTCAGCCATATTACCTACCCATCCTTCCCTGCTGGCTGCACTTGAATGCGTCCACCCATCATGACCATTGCAAATCCAATACGTTGATGGAAAGAACATCAATGATGGCTGCTCACCCAGGTGAGGATTGCTTGTATTGTGGTGTAGTTGATATGGAATCATCCAAGCTAAGCATCGCCAACCCAATCAATATCCAATGCCTTCCATCCCATGTACCAAATCATTATCCAGATCCATATCCGTATCCCCAGCAAGTCGAATGTATTGAAAGCAAGTTGCTACACGTAAATAAAGCTGCTTCTATATGATGGCTATCTGCTGTTCACGTAAAAAAGGTTGCATATAGCTTGAGACAATGGAGTAAAGACCTCGCTAATGGCAAATGCTGTTACGTTTGTGGTCGCGGCAGAGGCGCGTACAAGAGAAGTTGTAGTGTCAAGAGACTCGTGTGTTGTAGTAGTGGGGGTGCACACGCCATGGAGTTGCCATTCAGTCAAGGCAATCGGATCAAGGCAGCTGTAGGATTGACATTGATGGGTTGAAGCAGGACAATCGTTCGAAGTTCGTAGTCGTACTCGAATGGGGCTAAGAGTTGAGAATGGGAGGAAGAGGGAATAAAGTGTGAGTGGAAGAGTTGGAAATTAAAGCTTGTTGTTGAGCTGCCCTACAAATGCATGAACGTTTGTACATCATTGAGATTACCCTCCTCGAACGTGAAACTTTCACACATGATGCTCTCAGACACGCTGACCAACATTGTTCTTAAAGATCACATGCTTCATGATGAAGACTTTGAGTGGGAGGGTGTAATCGATGATACTCATCATTTATTGTTCCAGCTTTGCCCATCGAATCAAGGCAACTACAACTGATCTTTTGGGTATGTGCACGTCCCTGTAGTTGAAGAACAACATGTTTTATTGATTATAGTGATTCATGATATGATGATGGAGGATGCATTGTATGCTATGAAGGTGATGCTCACGTGACCCATTCACGGTGATGGGTGGATGGATGTAAGATGCACCACGAGGTAAGTAGGGGAACACGCGTCTTGCCTTACTGGTTTCCAATTTTGGCGGGGACCATTGCTGCTGTTGGCTGTTGCTGCTGGCTGCTCTTTCCTTGGTTCCTAACCAGACATTGTATACCATGGTGAGTAATGGATGAGTGTTTGCCATCTGCCTAATCCAGTACTTGACAGCTTACTTATATGCTAATAGGATTTACCACCAAACTGGGTGACTCGCCATTCGCGTACTTACAACAAAGAATACTACTTTAACACGGTGACCAAGGAATCACGATGGGATCCTCCTGCTGCCGACAACGAGCGTGTGAGAGCCAGCCATTTGCTCGTCAAGCACAAAGACTCCAGAAGACCTTCCTCGTGGCGAGAGGTAAATGAATGGGTGATTGTGTGTGTGTGTGGCTCTTTTATGCTAACATACCACTATGAATATAGGAAAACATCACGCGTTCCAAAGAAGAAGCGTTAGAGATCCTTGAAGAATATCAAAGAAAGATTGAAGATGGTGAAGAGACCTTGTCAGCCTTGGCAACCAACTTTTCGGATTGTTCGAGCGCCAAGCGTGGTGGTGATTTGGGCTACTTCGAACGAGGACAAATGCAGAAACCCTTTGAGGAGGCAGCTTTTGCACTTCAAGTCGGTGAATTGAGCAAGCCTGTTTGGACCGATAGTGGCGTACATCTTATCCTTAGAACCGCCTAGAAAGAGAGAGTGTATCCATAACACAAAACACATTTTTCAATTCCATTTTCGTTCTTTCATGTTGTTGCGCATTAAAATCCATCATGTATTTTCTCTCTCTTGATTGTCGTGGTCATCTTTGTTGAGGCAAAAGGGAGCAGGAGGGCATCACACCATGTGCAATAATGATGCCATATTCATACAACCAGGAGTAGTGTAGATAATTGGTGTCTGGACCCCCCCCCACCCCCATCACATCATGCATGATCATTATTACACATCGCTCTCATCTCCTCCTCCACCACCACCACCACCAAATGCCCTCGTGCTAGATTAAATGATGCAGGGTTTTCCTTGTTGGACAAGAGCAATTGAGTGCATACCGCTATGACGCATGACTCTCTCTTTTAGTTACGCTGCAACAAGATGATGTCGTCAAGGGTTACAAATGAGACATGCAGAAAATGATTAATGGGAATTGGATGTCCGTTATCAAAGTGGTGTAAGCTTTGCCAAGTAGAGCACCACCCATCATCATCAATCATTCTTCAGGGCCATTCTACTACGACGTAGTATACGTTTTCTAAAAGGCCGCATTCAATGAAGAAAAGAATCCTCCGGTGATGGTGACAAGTATTACTACAATGATTGAAATCATACAATCAAGGAAAAATTACCACAAGGATCAGCGGCTGATCATTAGAAAAAAGAAAAACCCTGTGCATGCAGGGCAAACGTGTCATTGTCGGCTGCGGCGGTGTTGAAAATATGGTATCCATCCTCGCCTACTTTTTTTTTTGGTCTCCCCCATCAGCCCATCATGAAAAAGTTGTACTTTTCCTTTCATGGTATCTATTATGCGGATCATCCACACACACACACGCATGGACTCGCTGATCATTGTGTCTCAAGATGTATGTTTGTGTAGCACGCACGATATATCCTTTTCAAGAGGGAGAGAGATGACCGTCATTACTGCAATGGCATATTAGATGAATGAAAAAAGGGGGGGTTACTGTTTATCATGGATCGACCCGACGACGACGACGACGTAATGAACACAATGACATGTGGGTTTCGTGATCCGAAAGTAGCACATTGGATTATTGCTGCTACTACTGCTGCCATGCGACAACTCGTGTCAAGGTGGGATAACCCAAAATGGGAAACCACGGGCGAACGACGACATGTGTGTGCTGCATAAGGTACCACAACGAGGATCATTCTACATTATGTATGCATCTCCTATCTTTTAGCCACACACACATAGATGCACACAGACATTATTGTATGTACACAAGCACACACATATCAAAGGATGATCACGCCATCATGAAAAAGGGTTAATGTGAAAATAGAATGGCTTTGTTTATTAAGAGGGTCGGGTTCATACATGAAAAATGGTGAAATAAAAAGAGAGAGAGTGATAATAACTCTCTTGCACGTACACAGTTGACATATAGAAAAAAAGGTGTTGGGGGGGTAAAAAGATGAAAAACTATGTACACACATCCTTAAATGAAGAAAATAGTTGCAGTGTTCAATGACAGCTGCAAGAAAGGCAATGGAAGATAGAGGTGAAATTATAGAAGAAATGGTGAGTTGGTGGAAAAGATTTGAGAAACGCATGCAAAGGGAGATAATGCAGAAAGAAAAAGTGATGCAAATAAAAAAGCAAGAAACAAGAATAAGCTTTTGGGGAAGCAAATAAAAAAAGGGGAAGAGCAAAAATGGGATTGTTGGATGATAGAGAGAAAGAGATGATGATAATGATGTAGAACCTTAGGAGAGAATAGAAGAGAAGAGCGCTTGTTGATGATGATGGGGATTGCTCTCTTTTTACAAGAAGTTTTGCATATAAGTGTTGACGGTACGAGAGTTAGAGTTGGCACCAGTGGATGGAGATAGCTTATCCTTGGTGGTATGACGATGAATGCGGATGTGTTGGTTGAGATTATCAGAGCGAGAGAAGCGCTTGGAGCATGAATGATAGGGGCATTCAAAAGGCTTTTCAAGGGTATGGATGGAGCGAATGTGTCGCTTGAGATGTTCAGAGCGCTTGAACACCTTGCCGCAATCATCATGTTGACAAGTGAACATCTTTTGGCCCGCAGCACCAGGGTTGCTGGAAACACGACGACCACGAGAACGAGCAGCAGGTTTCTTGGCTCCTTGTTTTTTAGTAGTAGGTGAGGATTGCTTTTGAGCAACCATGTTGTTGTTGTTGTCATTAGGGTTGTTGTTGTTGATGTTGCTATGGGTGCTGGCATTATCCGAAGAAGGAAGAGAAAGTAATGGCGGCGAGCCTGCGACCGCAGAAGGCATCACAGCTGTGGGAGCTGCCGTCAAGGCAGCTGCATCCACAAGCGAAGCACCAGTGTAATCAAACATGGTGGGTGGGATGTATTGTTGCTGCTGCTGCTGCTGTTGAGTAGTAGTAAATAGCCATTGTGCAGGAGTCGTAGTAGTAGTAGTGGCTGCTGGATGTTGAGGCGTACCAGAAGCATACATATCCAGGTAGCTTGGCACAAAACGCTTATCGTCAAAAGAGGTACAATGTTGCATGTTGTAAACGTAATCCTCATAGTCGTTGCTAGGAGATGGTGTTTGTTGCTCGGTATCAGAAAAGCTAGCTTCACTGTGGTTGGAAAGAAGTTCGGCGTAGCTGAAACGACGCATGTAGTCTTGTGGCTCGGTGTACATGTTGCCAAGAGGAAAACCACAATCGCCAACCGGGGCGGCAGGGTTATCAAAAGTAGTAGGTTGTTGAGGAGCGACGTATGTTGGAGAGTACATGATGGATGTATATAAGTAGACTACTATGGGTTGTCTAGATGAAGATGTATGTGTAAGTATCATGTATGTGTGTGCGATTGTAAATGATGATAATTACTCAACAATGTAAGAGCAGGCTCTATCACGCAAGAGAGACTAGTAGAAAGAGGATTACTTTTTTTGAGTGATGAAAAAAAGAAAAGAGATGGATCGAATGGATGGGTTTTATGTATTCGAGGATTGATGGGATGTGCGTAAGAAAAGGGGAGGATGCAATAAATGAAAAGTAAATCAGATCAGGGATGAAGGAGCAAGGAACAAGGCGAAAGAGAGAAAAGAGAAATGATGGAGCAGAAAGAGTAAATAGTAAAAGGTGGAGTAACAGTGCGTGCACGCAAATGGTGGGATGCACGCACACTCCTGGTGGTGTATAGCAAACATATTATTTTTAACCATCATCATCGATCAAAAAGAAAACGAGCATGGCAGAAGACCACGGGGCCAGTGTTGATACCTGCCATTCTAAGCCATGCTAAACCTGTTTGTCGCAATCAACAGGCAGACATGATGTTAATTGCCAAATCGGATCCGATTGACAGCGGCAAGGGGTGCACACACACACGCACACATGTCGCTTACGATTGTCAATAATAAACAATTGCACCGTGCACACACATACAAACACACGTATCACATGGGGGGGGGGGAAGAGGGGAGGAGAAGAAAAGAAAATCGAGCGAGAGAGAGAGAGAAAAAGGCAGCTTAGCCAAACCGAATTTTGGGTTTGACGACCCTGCAAGTCGATGATCGACGGAAGCACCAAAATAGGAGATGGATAGCAGGGGTTGATGCAATGCCATCTTTCCAATGTATGAAAATGTCAATACACAACGTGCCACGGACTCCACGCTCGAGTTGGGCTGCATGGTAATCACTTTAGATTGTTGACCTTTACCCCCCTCCCGTGTATGTACTTTTGGATCTCCCTTTGTTAACCAACTGTCACGCTTTATTGCATATACGTTTTTTTAATCTACTTTTTTTTCATCAATTCTGAAAACATTTCCATTAATTCTTGATGGTTTGGATTAGGATCCTCACTGCTGGTCAAAAACATGCTTCCAAATCTATCTTTATCATCTTCGGATTGGGAAGGTGATGATGATGATGATGGTGATGATGACGATGGTGATTGTGAGGAGGAGGTAGAGGTGGTAGTAGTAGTAGTTGAAGTAGCGATAGGGGTGACGGATGCTGCTGCTGCTGAGGATGATAATGGCTGTGTGTTGTTGCTGCTAATTATGGATGATGCAGTGATAGGTTGATGCAATCGTACAATAACGCGTGGACGACCATGAGCATCGAATCCAGTGCTATCCACGTAGAACGTGCGTACGCTCTTGTCGCCACTACGACGTAAATTGACAGCTGATGATTTTGGAAGGAATGCAACGACACCGCCTATACCGACAGCGTATCCACCATCGACTGCATTAAGGATACGACCCTGCACCGGATATCCATGTGGCATGGTATGATCGCTGTAGGTAGGTCCCACCACCACACGCTGCTGTCGATTGCCATCCATGTCAAAGGTGGCACCCACATAGTCGAATACTTGATCCTCCACCAATTCCTTGCTTGCAATCTTGGCTTGAAAGTCACCAGCGCGTTTAGTCATACGTTTGACATAGTGCTTAAATTCTCCAGCTGTCATGGCTGCCACGTTGTATTCCACATGCTCCTTGCGTGCTACAGGTCGCTTCGATCCACCAAAGTTCTCTTTCCACCGTCTCACGAAATACACCTGGCTGGTGCCTGATTGCCATGGTGTTTGATGTTCAGTTGTATCGAGATCGCTGACTGTAATGTAAGGTGTGCGTACAACGGTAGGCAAACTGCGTTTAAGGCCCCATTCGCCCGAGCGCTTGCAGTTTTTCGATGTCGTATACACTTGTGCAAGCTTGCGATCAAAGCTGGCAAGTCGTGAATGACGAAGCGCACTGGCGAAGGTTTTGTCCATTACAGCTGGCTGACACACAAGGGCTAACGATATATCCGACAAACAAGAGGGAAAAAGAAAATATTTGCTAGGGCCTTGTTGCTACAACACCACAACATTCACTCATATCCATTCAAATTCCCGCTCAATCAATCGTGCCTGATACTTAAGACATCCACCCATCTTTTACTACTATCACCCTTCGTCTTATTATTATCACTACTACTACTACTACTACTACTACTACTAGTACTATCACTACCGCTTCTTCCAGAAACTAAATAAATCTTGTTGTGCTCCTCCACTCTTCTTTTTGCCTCCAAAGCTCTTCTTTTTAGGTTCTTCAGGGGTCCGCTTGGGTGAATTCATTGTTGTTGTTGTTGTTGCTGCTGCTTCAGGTGCATCCACCTCTTCCCATTCCCATACATCTTCAGTCACTAGATCATGTAATATACATATAAGTGATCCCATTCTTTTATACCAATCCATCATTCCTTCCTCACTTACCCATAAATCCACGCTCATTGGTATACTGTTTCTTCTTAAGAACCTTACGCTTTGTCTTGCCTGGAGTAGTACTGGTAGTAGCAGGTGATGATGGTGCTGCCTCTTCCTCTTGTACCGGAGCTATAGTCAATCTTAGATACAATGCATTTCTTTCATCACCCTTATGCATATTACCTTTGTCTGGTGTGTTTGCTTTATCATCTGTTTGCATTGGATCATCACGTACAGGTGTTCCAGCATCCTTCATATCCTCATCACCATCATCGAAAAAGATGTCATCAGCTGAAACCGATGGTGGTGGTGGTGATTGTTTCTTTGGAGCTGAGCTTGTAGATGGGACATTCTTGTTTTTGGATGTAGACTTTTCCTCCTCACGTTCCTGCCGTTTACCAAGGGTGGTAGATGTTGTGTTTTTCTAATAGCTTTGTGAGTACAAGGAATACTTTTCTACCAAATGAATGTCTGTACTTCTCCAAATATTGATGCTGTAGTCGATTTCTTGGGTGCAGGTTCAGGCTTCTTTTCTGATGATGCTGGCTTGGTTGTTGCAGGTTCCGGTTGCTTGGCAAAAGTCGAGGTAGTCGTCGTAGAGGCTGTGGTGGATGTTTTGGATGGTTGATATGTATCATCAGCAGTCGAGCATTTGAACACGCCGCATCTATGCAATAACATTAGCCTTACTCATTCTACGATGCTCCTCCATTGACCACCTACTTTATACGATCTGCAAGTGCAAGATGTGGGATATCTCTGCTAGCAGTGACAAGCACAGATAAATCCTATTTGGCAAATGATGATGAGACACACGTGGCTCTCTCCATATGCTCCATCCATCACTCACCTTGGGTTCATACGGTAATACGCTGTATACATGCATTCCAGTAATGGTTTTGAATAGCTTCTTGGTCTCTGAATACCACCTGTCAACATACAACGTCGAGAGAAACGATGAAAAATAGGCATACCTTCCAACTCGTTATCCTTGACAAGTCGCATTGTATATCGATCTTCGCCAATCAGCTCGCCACCGATATAATACACGGATCGCACTTGTTCATTGGCTTGTGCAAACGTCCACAGTGCTCTACGTATTCGAATGTTTAGCTGCGATGCTCGAATGGGAGGTGTGTGTGTCTCTTTTTTTTTGTTGCTTACTGTTTGGCCTTGTTGACGTGTAGCCCAAGTTGTCTCGCCAGTAGCTTGTACGTGACCTTTGTTCAAGAGCAACGTTAACGACAATGTGTGAATGGAAAGGAGTAATTATGCCATACGGGTCGTTTTTCTTGTAGCACGGTGACAGTGAGATATTCGTCCATGGTTAACCTGCATCCAAGACGCGAACGCGACCACTTTATTACGCGACTCTCAAAATTCGAAGCAGCTGGTGCAACATCACCACCATTCACCGCCACCGAGATTGCCATGGATACCACCATCCTCCTCAACACCTTTAATGGAATAAGACTTACTGCTATGAACCTTTAGAAAGAGCCTTCCATACTTGAACACACATGTCCCACGTGGTTCCTATCACTAGAGAACATCATCGTTTGTCTATATCAAAAGCCTTCATTCATCAATAAACCCCATGAGAATGCATGTTGGTCTTTATTTAGCAACTGCTTCCTTGTGTTAATCCCATAATCCTCAACAATGAAACGCGTATAACAAAGAAGGAAGCAACACAATGATAAAAGTGCAACTGAATTGGGTGTGGATGGATTCATTGTATACTACCGGAACAACAACAGCGAATACTATCACGTATGGAATCATAAGAAAAAAGGACTTCTTGTGGGACCAAAAGATAACGTAGTCTACGGGGATGCATCTTGCATGATTTTGAATGTTGGTAACAAAAGCCACTATAAGAGCCAAGTGTGCGGGGGGTGGGGCATAATGGGGCTATCAGTGTATCCTTCCTTTTTCTACCGCCTCCTGTCAAAGACTTTATACATTTTTGTTTATGAAGACCTCTTCCACCCCAGGCTCGGATGACGAAGGTGCTGTCGTGAGCGATAACGATTTGGCTCAGTACATGCCACAGCCTGATGCTGATGGTTTTATCTTTCCGGAGCGCATTCTCAGCAGCAGCAACAACAACAGCAGCAAAAAGGAAAAGAGCACCACACCCGTTAGCAGAAATGTCCCTTCATGGCCCGATTCGACGTGTATCGATCTCACAGATGACGATCCGTTACCGATATCCGCAGCAGCCGTTGTTCCCGTTGTTGACTCGAGTGAAGACGAGCAAGAACAAGAGCCTACAACACGTCAACACCAACAACCAAGAGTCGAATCGGCGTTCATATCATCATCATCAGCAGCATCCTCATCACGCGAAACGACACCTACTCCCAATACCGTTGAAAAGAGTGACTCGGGTTATCTTGATTTTGATGAACTTATGGAGGATGTGGAAGAAGAAGAAGAAGAAGAGATTGATGTTACTGGCATGGCAACAAGTGATGAGATGGACATTCAGCAAGAGCAGCACGACATGTTGACAGAAGAGGAATATCAATTGGAGGAGGAGACAGCATTAGAAGGTAGCCGTGTGAAGCAGCCGCGTCCTGTTCCCACCGAACCAACGACAACATCAAACTTTGATCCAGGGATGGAAGATGACACTTTTGACGATTTTGATATCAGTGCCGAATTGTCTGATGTCAATTCAAGCATATTTGAAAGCCCAGCACCAGCACTACCACCATCCAAGGCGCATCATCGATCATCATTGAAAATACCCCACCACCACCACCACCAGCCATCAACAACAACAACCAAAGTCAATGACACTACAATGATTAAAACAACGGCACGTCGAATACATCTTGGAAAGGACATGATGGTGCGACCCAAACCGAAAAAGAGAAGATGCAACAAGTTACCCACTGGCTATGTATACGACATTTGCATGTTTTTCCATGCTGAATTGGAACCGCTCGATGGTGATGCACCTCATCCTGAATCACCTTACCGGATCTATGAGATTTATAAGCGTTTGAGGAATGAAGGGTTATTGGATCAATGCGTACGTATCAAGAGTCGCTATGCAAATCGACAAGAGATTTTAAACGTGCATGAATTTGAGCATTACGATAAAATGCGCGCTCTCGAAGGTAAAGTCACACACACACACACACACATGCATCATGTCCTCATCATCATCATTCTACATTAGATATGGACCGAAATCAATTGATTGATCTTGCAAGAGAGTATGATTCTTTATATCTCAATGCCGAATCCTTCAATTGTGCCCTTTTATCAGCTGGATCGGTCATTGAAGCATGTGTGGCGGTGGTCAAGGATCAAGTCAAGAACGCATTTGCTATTGTACGGCCTCCAGGACATCATGCGGAACAAAGTGAACCTATGGGATTTTGTCTTTTCAACAATGTGGCCGTGGCGATTTCCTACTTGCGAGAACATCATCCTGAAATCGGGCGGATAATGGTTTTGGATTGGTAAGTGTGTGTGTCATTATCGATCGCTTGGGACAAAGGATTGACATTGGAAACGTTAGGGATATTCATTTTGGTATGGTTTATGCATAAAAGAAAGGAGGAAGAGGAGAAGGACGAGGATTAACGATGGCTACCACCACCTAATAGGCAATGGTACACAACGTTTGACAAACGATGATCGAGATGTGTTGTACGTATCCCTTCACCGGTACGACAATCAAGATTTCTATCCTTGCGATTCTCGTGGTAGTGAGATTTATTGTGGCAGTGGCAATGGAAAAGGGAGGTGAGTAAGTGGAAAAAGGGAGATGACGACGATCGATCTGATGATGGGTGTTGGCATAGAACGGTGAATATACCCTGGTCATGGGAGGAGGTGACCGATGGCGACTACATTTACGCCTTTCAACAAGTGGTGATGCCGATCGCCATGGAATTTGCTCCGTCTTTGGTCATTGGTAAGTCAAGAGAAAGAGAGAGAGAGCAAAAGGAGGAGGACTCTTGTGTTGATCATTGACATGTTTGTCGTGCAGTATCAGCAGGGTTTGATGCAGCCCTTGGTGATCATATTGGACAATGTTGTGTCACACCAGCAGGATATGGACAAATGACACATTTGTTGAAAAGTTTGGCTGATGGTCGATTGATGTTGGCGTTGGAAGGCGGATACAATCTTGAGGCAATCTCCAAATCGGCAGCGGCGTGTATGGAAGTCCTCGTAGGGGATGCACCCCAACTTCCTGAAATCGTTCAACCCACAAGTCAATGTATCAAATTAATCAAACGCATTAAACGTATACAGCAAGAATATTGGAGATGTTTTTAATCTCTTGTAAATACATTCATCTTTTTCGTCTCTGTTGCCGTTTGCGTAAGATTCATGTGTAATTAGCAACTTTTGTCTCCTTTCATGCAAGACCTCGTGTGTGACAAGAGGTTTTAGAAAAAGAGAGAGAGAGAAAATGAGAACTTTCCTTTTTGTCCTTTGATGACAACGACGACGATAGTAATAGAGTATCATTGTTCTCCCTCTTTTTCCCCATTCATTGATTGCGTATGTTGTGTGTGTGTGTGCGTGTGTGAGGGAAAGCGAATGTGCGTGTGTGTATGTTTTCCTTTTCCATCGTGTGGCAGTGACATTAATATGCAAGTGTGTGATAGGCTTGGCACACCAATAAAGAGTGACTATCGCACAACATCGGCAAGAGCCGCATTTTATGTACCCAATGATATCAGCTGAGCGGTGAGTGTATAGCTGATACGGCAATTACCGGTAATTGGAATCACAGCTCAGTTTTACAGTGATGGTGGTGGTGGTGGTGGTGAGTGGGTAGTGGTCATTTGAGAATGATGAGTGGGTGGTGTTAAATGGCCGTATGAGCCTGGTTATTGCTTACTGTAGAGGAGAGAATGATGATTTTAAGTATGGTGCTAATCCAAATTCAATACAGGAGCAGCTGGTAAAGACCCTGCTATGGGGCAATCCGGAGCAAAAAAAAATCAATTTGAGGGGGCGGTTACGCGTGTCTAGTGTGAGTAATGTGTGCGTGTGTGTGTGTGTGATGTAGGCCTGTGTCACCCAATAATGTTTCATGACCCGCACTCTGCGGCGGTTTTTTTTTGCTGGGCCAAAGTGAGAGGCCACGCACTCACCGCTTGCACTCGCACAGCTCACACAACTACTCTCCACCCACCACCACACACTTCACACACACACACACACCACCCACTGCTTTCTTACTGAGGTGAGTACTTCCTCCCCTCCCCTCTCCGCAGGCTTAAGAAAAATTTCATTATGCTACTCAAGCAACTCTCTCCAACCCTGATCCTCATCGCCCTCATCACCTCCCTCATCGCGTTTTTTCGAACTTTGCGTTTGATACAAACTGTATGGCTTTTTCTCACTTTGTTTTTCTTCTACCTCTTTAGAACCATGCCCAAAGAAGCCGTTAGCAAGCGTTCTGCCAAGTCTGAGAATGGCAAGCGTACTAAGAAGGACAAGACTGGTCCCAAGCGTGGTTTGTCTGCCTACATGTTTTTCTCCCAGGAGATGCGTCCCAAGGTCAAGGAAGAGAACCCTGATGCTAGCTTTGGTATGGCTGTTTTTTGACATCATTTTTTTTATCTTTACATGAATAAGCTGCTAACCCAATGTTGATAAAAAGGTACCCTTGGCAAGATCTTGGGTGAAAAGTGGAAGGCCATGAGTGACGAAGAAAAGGCTGTAAGTATAGCGTAACGCGCGCGCACACGCATACACGCGATGGGAGAGTGGAGGAAGCAATCCATTTTTTTTTTACTTTTTTGACTAATTGAGCCCGCGAACGCGCGCGTGTGCATTTTTTTATAGCCCTACACTGCCAAGGCTGAGGAAGACAAGAAGCGTTATGAGGCTGAAAAGGCTGCTGTGAGTATACTCATCCCCATCCTTGTTTCTTTTTTCTTCCTTGCTGACAAACAACTATTATAAATAGCTCGAGAAGTCTGGTTAAGAAAACAAACATTCCTTGGAATTACACGCATTTTCATTACCACACATACACAACACACAACTCACGCACCCATTTTCATGTTTCTCTCTTGCAGACAAACAGGCCCCCATATATGCAAACCCACTATCACACACATCCGTTATCTGAATGCAGTCAACATAGTTTCTTCAATTTTGATTTTTCTTTTATTCTATCGATTTATGGAAGCATTGCTTCAAATAAACTACTTGGTTGTTGAAAATCATTATGGACCACGTTGATTAACCAATATCGCTCAGCAATGTCACGTAAAAGTTGGGCTGTCTTGCTATCTGCAGGGTATTGTTGCTCCCATTCTTTCCACAACTGATATGCTTCATCACGCCATGCTTCAAAACTGACACGCTCAATAATGGTTGGCTGTACAATTTCTTTGCCAGGGAATACGCCCCATGTTACCGCGTTTTGATCCTCGGTGTTTTCTACATTGGTTGAAAGATCACCCTTTTTTACAAAAATGAAAAAAGCTGTCAGTCAAACGGCATCCATCATCATCATCCGGTTGTGGGCTGGATCAACAACACCTACCTTGCGATTGGTAGCATAGTACGTAACATGAGGATCCTTCTTGAGTCTTTCCAAAAGCTTGTGAAGTTGTTCATCCGACACAAAGCATTCGATAAATGCCTACAAATCCCATCCCCCTTGTCGTCAGCATTGGATCAACATGACAGCATCAACATTTAGCATTCATTACATTACCTTTTGATATACGTAGCCACCTTTGGGACCCCATCCATATACCGGATCTTCACTCCTTGCACCATTGACTGCAGGTTGCGAACCCACCGTCCAGTAACCTTGTCGGTTGAATTGTGTCAAATGTTGCTGGATTGTATCCGATTCAGTCTGCAACGGTTCATCACACCATGGTAAGCTGCTCAAATCACCCGTAATGTAACGCTCAAAGAGACGAGTGATATCTTGGACAGTCGTTGGATGGCCCCATTTTTTGGCAGCTTCGGATGTTGGCGCTAATTGTGTGGCAATGTATGTGTTTTCACCAAAGGCAGGTGATCTTGCATCACCATAACGACCATTAGGAAATTCATCCCAATTTTCCACTAGAGAAGCGTCACTTGCCAAGGCAGCCAAGACACGATTCTTTAAAGTCATGGCGTTAGTTACTATCATTGAAGGATTTAGCCTACTACTAGTACGCATACCTTGGGTTGTTCTTTCTTGCTAGGTGCAAGCTCCAATTGTTCCAAAATCAAACGGCTTGATCGTTCCAGGTTGAGTGTTGACAAGTGAATGCCATCAATTAAACCAGAGGCTCTCAAGTCACTAATCATATCCACGGCCAATTCCACACCATAATCCTTGACTTTTTGATCATCGCTCTACTCTCCCAATACAATACAATCAATAAAAGCTGTTGTTGTCATGGTGATGATTTCGCTTTTTACCTTGATTTCCTCCAACTTGTCCAAAACGGTCTTTGGCACCTGTATCCGGCACAAATTGATGATACGACGGAAGCTCTGATGTGTGGGAATCGGCAAAATGCTCGGGATGATAGGTACAGTAATACCTAAAATGTGGTAGTAACCATGAGCACCTCTATTGTGTACATTGATTTCAAACATACCAAGATCTCTGCACTTTTTGACCCAATTCTTGAATACGTCGACATCATAAAAGAGTTGTGATAGAATGAAATCGGCACCACAATCGACCTTGTCTTTGAGATATTGCAAATCCTGAGCCTTGTCAGGGGTATCCATGTGGCCCTCTGGGTATCCAGCAACACCAATGCAAAAGTAATCACCGTAATGCTGTCGGATATACTTTACTAAATCAGCCGCATGTTGGAATTGGTCGTCGCAAGGTGTCCAATACTCTTGTCCCCTTGGAGGATCGCCACGAAGTGCAAGGATGTTTTGAATACCAGCTGCTTTGGCATCCTAAAGAACAACCGAATGAGGATACACCACGCGTGAATGAATCCAACACAACCTACTTCAAGTGCACGATCGATCTTTTCTTTCTCCATGTTGGTGCATGTCAAATGCATAAGCGTCTCGAGACCGTATACGCTTTGAGCTGTCGAGCAAACTTCCAGAGTGCGTTGCTGTGTCGACCCACCAGCACCCCAAGTACATGCGACAAAGTAAGGTTCCAATGTGGCCATGCGACCCATACGATCGAACAAGTTGGCAAGACCCTTTCATATAAAAGAGAATGTGCGTGTGCGTGTGTCAATGTACAGACAAGGTTGGTTTCGTGTTGTTGCTTACAGCATCGGTTTTTGGAGGGAAGAATTCAAACGAGTAGCTGATATGGCCCTTTTGTTTGGCTTGTTCCAACTTGTCAGTTATCTTCATGGTGTTACGGATATACAAAAGGATGGAAAGCGGTAAAGAAAGCGGGGATGCTTTATTTCCAAGATCTGATCTATGGATTTGACGGGCCGACAACCCGCATCATCTTCTCTATTATCTACTACTTTTTGTTGTTCAGGTCAACATCCACCACACGTCGACTCAGCACGATAGCCATGATAGCCATCATTCCACCAAATCGAAGAACCCATGGCACACCCCAATTGCCTCGTTGATCCTCATCATCATCATCATCCACAGGGGGTCCCTCTGCTTGTTGCATCGCCTTGGCAACCGAAAAGATAAGAGCTGCAATGATAGCAACCGCAAATTGGGGAAACACCACATACATATTGTGAACACCAAGCACCATACCAGCGTCCATTGTATCATCGTCTGCTGCCACCAGCAATTGACCTCTTTCTTCATCGTCTTCTTCTTCTCCCACTTGAGTACGTGATGAGGATGATACACCCGAGGAGGAGGATGTTTCATCTTCCATAGTAGCATAGGAGGATCTTTGTTGTAATAAATGACTTTTTCTTTGTTGTTCAATCACCAGATATTCGCCAATCAATGCAAATGGAATCCACATGGTGGTTGCCCATGATACTCCCACAAGCCCAAGTAGTAATGTTGCTCCCACAACTGAATGAATAAAAAAGGTCAAAAGCATCGCCGTAGCAAACACCGTGTGCGATAATGTATATGTGTTTTTGAGTGAAAGGAACCCATGGTTGGTAAGCATGGGCAAGATGGTACCCGCCACAGCGGACACAATAGCATACATCAATAATGCAAACGACCCTGCACGTGTTCCTTCATCCCATCGTTCCGGTTGATGTGCTTCAAAGTAGATCTCAGACACCCACGTTGTACTAATCCATGCATAAATGAATCGAACATGTAAAAAAAGAGAGCATGTTACCTGTAAAAGAGAAAGGGGAACCAACCCATCCATGCAAAGAATTGAGCATTACATAGCGTTTGCACCGAAGGTGGCAAGCGACGCAAGGCGTACCAGATGTAAACAAACACTTGGTACCATGGCCTAATAACATGTATGTATACACATAAACACCCCATCCCATTCTTTTGTTTCAGCATACATAGATGTACTCACTCATCCGTTTTGACTACAGCATCAGCTGAAAGGGGGATTTCTTGAACCGAGAGACACGTTATCGTCATGGATAGAGCAAACACGAGGATACCAGCAATACACAAGGCACCCATTTGTGAATGACCAAGCATGGGAAGATACTTTACGAGATCAAGGTATCCAATAAAGTAGCCAAAAACGTTTGTAAGGTTCCCGAGGTTGCTACCAAAAGCATTCGCCGTGTCCTGCTGAGAGATGGGAAATACGTCGAGAAACAAGGATCGACAACAAGCTTGTACCGCGTTTAAGCAAAAATCCAAAAAGTAAAAGGATGATACTGCAATGGCAATGGCCAGCTTATTGTTCCTTGCCTATGTATGTACGTGCATCTTTCGTCAACAATGAACCCTTTATCATAAAAGAATGACCCCCTTACATACTTCATTGTCCTCATCACTTGTTAGCAACCGAGAAATCTCCTTTGCATAACCCACACAAAAAAGTGAGATGCAGACAAGCACGCTTCCAATGATGATAAAGGGTCGTCGACGGCCGAGTTTGGATGTACACTTGTCGCTCCATGCACCAATAAGCTTATGATCCAGTACATACGTACGTATCAGCCTCTGATTTGTATTAACATGGTGGTGCTTGTTGTAGTACTTACAGGTTGGACAATGAGACCTGAGATTCTTAGTATCACACACTTAAATCATAGCACCATCCACCAATGCAATTGCGTCACTCACCCGAAAGAGGACCAGCAAGCCATACTAACGCTGTCAATTCCTTGGACAAGTTGAGTGAGAGTAGGTAGGGTGTGCCATATCTAATGATGTAGGAGGAGGTCATGACATTGGTCTCGCTCTCCCTTTCATACACCACCTACGATAATTCCACCGTCCCTGAAGTAATAAAAGTGACACTTTAACATGGTGTTATTGGAGCTGACACATTTTGTGGTTGTATCGTACATGTGAATTGGATGCCCACCATACAACATGTAATCAATCCAACTTGTAAAAGAGATCGCTTGGGTCGGGTATCCACTTGTTGTTGTGATAACACCATAGCACCAACAAAAGAAAAGGAAGCGGAAAAAAAGATCCGTAGTATAAAAGGAAGTCTGCGTTAGGTTTTATACAACTTGAGAGGTGACACGAAACCATGCACACACATGGGCTGTGTCACTGCCATGTTGCTATCGTGCTTTATGTTGTTGTATATCCTTCCGTGATAGATCTCTTTTGGTTTATGGGATGGGATTTGCTCTTGCAATCATAAAGTGAAGTATTTAGATGCCGGCGGGTGGAACCATACTACTACAGGTCTTTATAGACGGCGAATCAGAGCTTATTTATTATCACCAAAAGTACATCATGCAGGAGGATTGATAGTAATAACAAGAACCTTTTTACATTGTCATGATCCATGGTAGCTTATATGAATACCATGGTGATGGCATTGCAACATGTGCATCTTTGAGGCGGTTGGTTGCGCAATGGCATGCATTGAACATGCTCCACTTAATGATACCATCTACAACTTGGTGATCTTTCTTGTATTCTGCCACTGACAAACATAATAAAGTAACCATGATTCCAAAATTTATACTCTTTTAGCTACACTAATGCATGTAAGATGATGTTCTATCTATATTAAAGGGTGGTGTTGCTGGGGTATCAACGTGTATCTTTTCAGCTGTGTTGTGGCTAATCGACGTCCACCATGCTTCTACTGACAAGAGCAGCAACGATGGCCATCACTCCGCAAGATTGTAGTACCCAAGATACGCCTTGGTTGTCATCGGGGTTTTGTTCTTCTAGTGAATGGGCCATTGAAAAGATGATCGAGGTAAGGGCGATGCCGATGAATTGTGGTAGCGTCATGTAGATATTGTGAATGCCAAGGACGATACCAGAATCCATACTTTTTTCTTCTACCGATAGCAATGGCGTTGATTCTTCTTCGATTTGGGAGCTGGATCGATCATCATAACGCGAATGCTGCTTTTCCTTGTGATGCTCAAGGACCAGGTATTCACTAATCAATGAATAGGGTATCCACATGGTAATGATCCATGGAACACCCACCAAACCACACAACAACATGGCACCTGCCAGCGAATCGATAAAAGGTACGAGGAACATGGCTGCTGCAAACAAGACATGTGACAAGGTGTACATGTTTTTGCGAGATAAAAAGCCGTGTTTGATAGCCGATGGTAGAATAGCGCCCGATACAATAGCCACGACAGAAGATATACCCATTGCAAGTGATCCAGCACGTGCTCCTTCATCCCATTGTTCTGAATGATGCGTCCTGGCATAAATTTCAGCCACCCATGTCGTGCTAGAAGTATTCAAGATATCAATAACTTGATGTGATGTGAGTGGGTGGGTGATAAGTACTCACACGTAAGTTCCGAATTGAAACCAATACATCCATCCAAAGAATTGCGCATTGCATAGCTTTTGTATCGAATACGGCAGACGACGTATGGCGTACCAAATGTCAATAAATGTCTGGTACCATGGCCTATATGTGTATTCATTATTTCAACACGTCAATACACTTTTACTCCCATGATGTACTTACTCATTCTTTGTTGTAGCAGTGAAACCAAGCGAGAGGGGCACTTCATGGGCTGAGAGGCAACCAATGACTACGGTGAATGCAGATATGATAGCAGCTATAGTACACAATGCACCCATTTGCGATACATCAGACGTAGGGAAAATATCGGAAAGGTTGAGGTATCCTAGCAAGTATCCAGCAACATCAGCTACGTTGTAAAAGACGCTGGAGAAGACGTTGACTGTGTTTTGCTGCGAAGTTGGGAACATGTCAATGAACAATGATCGACCACTCGCTTCCACAATATTCGCACCAACTTCGAGAGTACACAGGGACGAAATCGCAACCGCAACTTTTAAGTTTTGTATCTACTTGTTGTCGATTAGCATGATGAGCTAGCTTTCCTTGTTGTCCATTTACCATTGTTTCATTATCACTATTGCTTGCTAATGATCGAGCAATTGGTTCCACATAGCCTAATCCCAGAAGCGATACCCAAACGATGACACCTCCAATGATGATGAAAGGGCGGCGTCGACCAAGCTTGGACTTGCAATTGTCGCTCCACACACCGATAACCTTGAAGATACGTACGCATTTAGATACCTGTGTATACCATTGTGTGTGTATCCATCACGCTTACCGACTGCACGATCAAACCTATGATTGTTTGTTTGGGATACATAAATTGGCATGATGCATAAGAGTGGCATTGTATCACTACTACTGCTTACCAGAAATGGGTCCAGATAACCATATCAAAGCCGTCATTTCTTTTGAAAGACCAAGCGAGAGCAAATAGGGCGTGCCATATCTACATGTAGAATTGTGAACCACCACCCCTTAAAGATATGCAAATGCAGGCTATGACATACGCAAATTGTATCACCCCTAAAAGACGCAACATGGAAAAAGAGATATATTACTCTATCATGTATCCAATGCTTGATGATAACGTACATGTAAACTCGTGGCCCACCATGCAACAAGTGACCAAGCCAATACGAAGTATGGAGCTCCTGGGACGATGATCGAGATCTTCTGATAACGCCATAATAGATATTTACAACGAAGATAGGAGAGAGAGAGAAAGGGCAAAGAAATCATTATATTGAAGAACAGCATTTTTATATATGTATATACCCTAAATGCATGCAAGTTGGGTGGCTATCGTAACTCTACAGTGAACTCCTTGGCTACAGCATCACGCACACGTTCCTGGATCTCATTGATCTCCTCATTGGTTACATTTCTACAAGAGAAAAAGATTGAGTTTCCTGGATGATATCATATGAACAGCATTTACCTATCCATGGATCGGTAATTCATGCGATAACATAGACTGCGTCGGTTTGTCTTTGGATGAGTGAAATCGTCAATCTAGGGATGTACATGTTAGGTGCTGTCGGAGCATGCAATGCTATGCAACATTTGGGCTCACCAATTTGACGCTTTCGACAAGGTCGCCTGCGACATCACGAACCAATTCACAAAAGTTGTTTTCCTCCCATTCAGCAGTGGGCAACCAGAACGACATGTCTTTGATACAAGGTGGGTATTTCGAGAATGGCTTGAATTTCTGGATTTTGCCGGGTTCGAATTGTTGCAAGAAACGTTCATCTCGTGACCAGAAAAGACGGATATCAGGAATATCAAAAAGAACCATAGCTAATCGTTCCAAGCCCAAGCCGAATGCGTGGCCGATCTTGCCTTCCATGCCTACAACAACCCCCATCCCTTGATCAATTTTTCTGCTGTGTGTGAGGGGATCCAATTCTTTTATGCGTACCTGCATTATTCAAAAGGGGTTGTTGAACAACACCACATCCTAATACCTCGAGCCATTCACCTTTGTACTTGATTTCAACCTCCCAACTAGGACTCGTGAAAGGGAAATAAGCCTCGATCCAACGCACCTCGAGATTGGGTTCATCGGCAAACAATTTGCTGACCAACGAGTTGATGCAATACTTTAGGTGAGCTGATACAGCTTCGACGTCTTTTGGATCATGGGTGGGTTGGATAGGATTGGATGGCGTGATGGTGGTATCATCCACGACTTGTACCCTGGCAGCCTTTTGCACCATGCCTGTAGCCTCCAAATCCGCTTGTACTTGGGCTGCAGCCTCCGCACGATCAAAGGTCACCAATCCTTCCATTTGATGAAACACGGGATAATGCGATGAATCAATCTCGTCACGTCGAAAAACGTCGCCTGAAATAAGAAACTTGTCAGCGCCAGAACGCAATCCTTCAAGCTGGTGAGCTGAGGTATGCGCACGTAACATGGTCGTCTCGTTCAAGTAGTAGTTGTCGGATTTGTTGCGTACAACATGGTTCTTAGGCACGAGCAAGTCGTCAAAGTTCTGCTTGGTCGTAACAACGGGATGCAGGTCGTTAAAAGTCGTCCAATTGGCGAAATGGTCCTCGATCAGTTGACGGATAATGGAAATAGGGTGTCGAGGCTCCAAGTGAAGTTTGCGTCCAACGCGTGACAATGTCGTCTCTGAAATGTTGGTCCATGCGTCCTTTGGATAAACCTTGTCGTCGATTTTGATCTCGGTGTCGGTGATCTCTGCAGGAATGGGTCGATCGAGGGAACAATAGCCAAGTCTTTAGTATTTGACAGGTCCTCGTCGTGTAATAAACAACGCTTTCAATTGTATACCACTTACCACGTGTGCCTGTTGTATACCATGCTCTCCTTAAGCTGACGCATACCAATGCGGAGCGTTTTGGTGTGGTGAAGAGTGAAGTCAAGCGCACCGGAGACCGAAGCATGGGGATGATGGAGGGGTGTTTACAGTAAAGAGGTGCAAGGTAGGCTCTTGAATCAGAGCTGGCGAATCAAATCTTCCGCATTCAACGTATCCCCGACAACTATGTGCCTGGAAACTAAAAGCATCACAACAATGGCATTGTGTCAAATCACTATACTCCTACTGCCTGAATGCTTACATCATCAAAAGCCCTTGTTGGCAAGTATCATGAATGTATCTTCTCGGCACCACCCTATATGGATTAAAGCTGATGCATTGGTCATTGTTGGCTTTTCATTGTTAACGTGCTCTCATTGTCATGGATACCAAACAAAGAAGACTAGCCAACATCATTCAACATGAAAGGATAGTTAGGCTACTCAATCCAAGAGGACAATAAGGACATCACGATCCATTGAAACGGTCTCCCGATATTTTTTTATTGTGGTGTGATACACAACGTCAATTGTATTTTGGATAAGAGGAATATGGTTCTAAATGCAGCGAGACGTGATTATGGGTATGTGCATGATGATAGCCTCAAGATGATAAGGCTACTAAGCGACCAGGTAAGAAGTTGTCAATCGTCCCGCATCGCTCCTTTCCGGTTCCACAAGCGTTGTATCGCCGCTTTCCACCGTTGCCATTGCTTCCATTGCATCCACCATGATCTCCCATACATGGTTAATCAGGGTCCACCACTTGACACCATGATAGCTATATGCCTTGATAACCTAAAAACATGCCGACTGGATTTATAGACATCCTTGTTAGCACTTTGTAAATCCCAATTGAGAGCTACAAGATGTTACTATTATCTGCTCTCTACGCATGTAGGTAGGTAGAAGAATGGATTGGACACTGTCATGAATGATATAGCGTGTACTTTGAATGTACCTGAAAGCACGGGCTATTTATTGTGTGTGTGTGTAGGGGAACAGAAACTATATATTTGGGACCTGGTGGTGGTGGATTGCTCTGAATAAAAGTACGCGTTCCGATCCCACTTTTCACACGCTGTATTATCCTTCTTTCCCGCCATGATCAACGTTGACACGATTACCTACACTCAACTCGCCAAGGTCTTTGATCACGCCATTTTGAAGCCTGATCACACTCCCAAGGACGTCGAAGCCGGCTGCAAGGTTGCTCTTGAATGTGATGCCAAGTCTGTGTGCGTCAAGCCTTGCGATGTCAAGCAAGCTGCCGAGATTCTCAAGGGTTCAAACGTGCTCGTGGGTACCGTGATTTCGTTCCCCCATGGCAACTCGCCTACGAGTGCCAAGGTTGCCGAGGCATTGCAGACTGTGGAGGACGGCGCTGTGGAGCTGGATGTTGTGATCAATGTGGGTCACTTGAAGGCTGGTAGATATGATGAATGCCAAAAGGAACTTGAATCTGTGATCCGTGCCTGCAAGGAGAAGCGTCCCGATATCATCTTCAAGATCATTTTCGAGAATGCTTACTTGACCAAGGAGGAAATTGTCCAAGCATGCAAGCTCTCTGAAGCTGCTGGTGCTGAATTCGTAAAGGTAATAAGAGTGGTGGATGGATTGGATTCATGGTGAAATGTGGATGCTGATACGCTTCTCCCTCAAAAAAAAGACATCCACTGGTTTTGCTTCCTCTGGAGCTACCTATGAAGACATCGAGTTGATGCGTGCCAACGTCTCGGATCATATTGAAGTCAAGGCATCGGGTGGTATCAAGACTCTTGATCAAGTCCTCGAATTCTTGCGTAAGGGTGCTACTCGTATTGGTTCCTCTTCTACTGCTCAGATCTTGGAAGACTTTAAGAAGCAACAAAAGAATTAAACAGTAATCACATTATACCACGCCCACCCCTTCTTGCTCTCATTTCCGGGAAATAAAACAATGACATTCCTCCACGAGCATTGTAACTAGTTGAATCTCATGGCTCACTTTGATCAAGTCGTGTCCCACACCACGTATACTAATCAGCCATTATATACAAGTCCCTGGGAGAAAACGGTATCCACATGATGGTCAATGTCGTACCTGCAAGTTTATTACTCCGCTCAAACGAATCATTGCGACCAAGAGCAAAGACCTCTGTTACTGCACTATGCTCGGCAGGCCCCGTCAAGGTGGGGTAGGTTTATTCTCACACAACCTCATTACATGAGAATGGTCAGCTTTTAATCCTTGCCATCACGTACATTACATATCATCATCCAAGGCACGTTTAAATGCGACATTAGTAATAGCTATGTAGGCGTTTTCTTTCAAATGGAATGGATGATAAAGATGCTTTCACATCATGTATGACTCTCAACAGTGGTTGTACACGCGATCGTGTGGGCTTTTGCTAATGTAATATATGCCTTTGCTTGATTCTCATATAACACAAATTGACGTGACACATCGTTTACTGGATTTGGATGATCCCGTGTTTTTGCATATCTCTTGGAAATCCCAGTGGATGCATCCATGCCACATGTTCTATTTTGGCCATTACATATTATGCGTATGCATTTATATCGAGAAATGATGCCAAAAAACCCGAGGCAAGATTTGTGTAGCATCATGCTTGTGATCGTTACACGGTTTCATAACCACCATTAGTCGATTCGAGCCTTTCCTGATTGTACCCCAAAGACAACGAATGTGGGTCATACTATAATGGTACACTCATAGATCTCCTTTTGGTATCGTTTATCCCCGAAAAGAAGCATGAACATGTACGGCAAAAGGGCATACGCGTATTTCAGGTACGGAGATATACACCAAAAGATGATTGTAATTCTCCTCTCGAAATCCTGGCAATTGTCATACGGTCAAAATATCCTCGGCAATGTAATGCATTATTACAATTATACTCAAAAGTTTAATACTTGCAGAGCGTACTCGTGTACTTTTGAGATGAGCGTGCAACAATGTCCAGACCCTGGGGTTATCATATAAATAAGCTATGTAGTGGCTGCTCCATCGTCCGTTGTTGTTCTCGACATCTAACATCATCATCAACATGCTCTTTGGGAAAATCTCGACCGGTATTCTATTCGCTTCATCCCTTCTTGTCTCCCAAGTCTATGGCGACTTTTGGAATTTGAGTGGTGACATTGGATGCCATGATCCCACAATCATCAAGGAAGATAGTACGTGGTTTGCATTCTGCACTGGCGATGGTACGTAAGAATGACAGCGTAATGTTTATATTAGCGGAATAAGAAATGTATCTTATTTTCATCTTGTTCAGGTATCCAAGTCAAGTATTCTAATGACAAGACCACTTGGCAGAGTGCTGCTCAAATCTTCTTGAGTGCTCCATCATGGTGGGCATCCTCAGCTTCTGGTCATTCAGGCTTGGATGTATGGGCTCCTGATGCCAAGGTCTTCAATAACAGAGTCTACCTCTACTATGCCATCTCCTCTTTTGGTAGCCAAAATTCGGCAATTGGTTTGGCATCGGCTGACTCAATTAAAGCTGGATCATGGCGTGACGACGGCGTGGTGCTGAAGACCACAAGCAGCAACGACTATAATGCTATTGATCCTGAGTTGGTGGGTATCTTTATTTTTGGATATCACACAAGGTCGCTGACTCGTCGCATTAGGTAATTGATAATGATGGCAAGCCATGGTTGGCATTTGGTTCTTTCTGGAGCGGTCTCAAGATCACCGAATTGGATCCAGGTATTACATAGATGCATCAATTCCAACATTGATCAGGGGGGGAAGGGTTTGCTTCTTCATCATAGACCTATTGACTGATTCTTTTTCATCAAAGCTACCATGAAGCCGTATCAAAACGCCAAGATTTATTCGATTGCAGCAAATCCAAATGATTCAAATGCTATTGAAGCTGCATCCATCGTGTACCACGATGGCTATTACTATCTTTTTGCATCGATTGACAAGTGCTGTTCAGGTAAGTTTTAATGGTGTTTCATCAACTTGATGCTGACGAGATGAAATACCAGGTGTGGATAGCACTTACAAGATCGTCGTGAGCCGAAGCAAATCTATCACCGGCCCATACTTGGATAAGAATGGTGTTGATGCTATGCAAAGTGCTGGTACGATCTTTGATGCTGGTAACGACAAGTGGATTGGTCCTGGTGGCCAAGATGTGAATGATGGTGTTATCGCACGACATGCTTATGATGCTGAGGATAATGGTGCTCCCAAGCTACTCATCAACGATCTCAACTGGTCTGGTGGCTGGCCCACGTATTAATGATGAAACATGCTTTTCTTCAATTGGATGCAGATATCATAAGAGAAATCAGATAAATGTAGTCAACAACCTCTTAATCCATTAAACATTACGTGTTTTTGGTGTTAACAATGGCGAGATACCAGTAGTAGAAGAGATGCCTTTAATCATCCATTCATCATAAAAAGTGTTACAAAGCAAGGTTATTCATCTAGGACAAAAAGGTGAATCTACAGATACGTATATACGATGAGCTGATAGATTGAAAGGCCATCTTCACAAAGAGCATTGGTGCGATTGAATGTCCATGCATAAATCAGGATCCGAGATAGACAAGGTATGTGGTACATACCAGCATCTCCCGCCGTAGGTGTATAAACTCAATCGCAAAACAGGGGAGAACTATCGAATGCAGCCTTTGTTGAAGGCACAATGAATCAATCAGCCTTTCTCATCTTTCTTTCTTTTTCCTTATCACTGTGTCCACAACCGGATGCACTTCTACAATCCTGCATTTCCCATACCATAGATTTTCCTATAACACGATCCATCGAGTGCCCAACGCACGACGGGATCCAATTCAGGAAGAAGGAAGAAGGCCGCTTACATTATAGAACTCAAAATGATTGGCGCCAACGCAATGTCGTATTCCCTCAAATAGCCCTTTAATCCAACAACATTCACAAGAGATAGATTGAGAGGTACAGCGGATTGCTCGAACGGGGGTGGAGATACATCGATTTGGGAAGTTCTATCCTTTTGGGTATGCATTGTGCAAAGGTGAATGGAGGGATGTGAGGTGGCACTTGTTGCATGACGTGTCAAATCGTGGAGTTGGAGGATGATGGTTGTACATTGTTGACAGGTTGCACAAGGATGATGATGTGATAGTTGCCATGGAATAGCGTGTAAAGTACGATAATGGGATGCACCAATCGTTCAGGATGAAAGCATCAAACACAATGACCACGTTGATAATGGATACATACCCTCTTTTTCGACACATTGTATATCCAATTCCATCCATCCAATGTACCAAACCAATATTCAGATCCCTTCCATATCCATAAGAAGCCGTATGTATTGAAGCCGGTTGCCACGCGTAAATAAAGATGCTTCTGTACAATGGCTGCTATCTGCTGTTCACGTAACAAAGGCTGCAGGATAGGGTGCTGCATGTAAATGACACCGTTTGAGACAATGGAGTAAAGGCTCTGCTAATAGCAACTGCTGGAATGAATGCTGTAACGATTGGTCATGGTAGACGAGTGTACAAGCGAAGATGGGGTGTCAAGGAACGCGTGTGTTGTAGTGAAGTGCGTACACGCCATGGACAAGCCATTCGGTCAAAGACAATCGTAGGGTTGACATGATGGGTTGAAGCAGGGCAATCGTTCGCAGGTGGCAGTTGTAGTTGAATGGGGCAACAGTTGAGAATGGGAGGAAGAGGCAAGATGGGAGTGGAAGAGCTGGAAATTAAAATGAGTTGAAATGATGTTGGATGATCATTCTGTGTTTGAGCATTGTTCAATCAAATCCGCTTGGATCATGAAAGCTTAATGATGGAAGTGATGGGCTGGAGCAGGACAATCGTTCGTATGCGTTGGATCGGACAACAAAGGTGAATGGGAGGAATGGGCTGTTAGCTAGCAGTTTACAAATAACTTTGCTGTTTTGTGTTTGAGCGTAACTCAACCAAATCCACTCGTCGGATCAACAAGGTTGAATGATGGACATGATGGCCTGGAGCAGGGGAATCGTTCACATGCCATTGTTTTGGGTAACAAAATTGTATGGGAGGACTGGGTTATTAGCTGGCAGCTTATAAACAATTGATTACTAATGCATAAGCATCATGCATAACCAAGATAACCAAGAGGTGCTGGCTTCTTGGCTCAGTTACACAAAGAAGTCCTCCTGCATCATGGCTCTCCAGGGTCAAGCTACTTGACAATGAACAAAGACCACCTCCCATATACAGCATATTGAAAACATAAAGACAGTCATATCTCAAGATTTCACAATCAAACGTGGGGTCTTTATGAGGACAATGTTGCTTGGCGGGGTCAAAGCGATCTTGTGTCAAAGTATGAAGTTCATCGTGGCCATTCCAACATTTCGCCATCTCGCCACCAGCCAAAAATATTTTTGCTCGTCGTCGAAAAAAAATTCAAGAGGTCGACCCCCAATCCAATTTGGCTGGTGGCGACATTTGCGAAATCTGGGAATGGCAACCACGATCGTGAAACTACCACACAGGATTCCTTTGACCCCGCTGAGCAATGTTGTTCTCTTAAAGACCCCACACTTGATTGTATTGTTTTGAGATATGACCGTCTTTATGTTTTACCTATGCTGTATGCGTGATACTATATGAAGCGTGGTCTTTGTTCATTGTGAAGTATTTATATGGAGGTTGTTAGCCTCGTTTTATTGGGAGTGCATCGTAGAGTGGCACCCCAAAATCGAAACAATATTGGTCAAATTGATAATCATAAGGAGATATACATGAGAGGGAACGAGATGACAAAGGATGGGAGCGAGCTAATTGGAATCATTAAGTCTCATGGAAGAGACACTCCCCGACGAATTGGAAGGAGTGGCAGAAGACGGAAAAAGTTTACCCCGACTTTTAAGCTTAAAATAAAGGGTGGTAAAACTTGATAAAGGCAAAGATCGAATGATTTCCTTGGCTTCATCAGACATGGGAAAAGTCGTCAACATACGATCGATGGACTCGGGCGGTGTTGGTGCCTTAGATGATTTGGCTGATGGTTTTTCAGGGGAAGATTCTGTAATATGAGTACTGATAATCATGTCGTTGTGGGCTTCAAGGGGTGAGTAATCAGTGCTAAGCATCGATACATCAGAATGGCTGGCAGCAGTGGAAACAGAAGACGATGGGGACATTGGTGGGTCATTGATGGGCTTGACAACAATAGGGCGGCGATTGGGACATTTAGCGGCACGGTGGCCATTTTGGCCGCAAGACCAACAGGGGCGATATCTGCTTGGGTGGGTAGGACATGAGGACATAGAATGACCGGATTTGTGGCAATGAAGGCAATGAAGCGGCATTTCAGCCCATGTTGCATAAAACCAGTCTTCGGGGTTAGGCCATGAAATCGTGTGTGAGAGCGATGATGATTGTTTTGAACCTGAAACGTTTAATGTTGCATATCCGTGTCCCATGAACAACTTAGAGTCATGATCACGGAGAATACCATAATCAAGAACATCACCAAAGGGTGAGAGAGCCTTATAAATTCCATCGGTAAGCTTATCTCGAGAGGTAAAAGGAAGGTTGCTGAGTCGAAGATGAATGAGAAGGGAATCAGCTGGTAAAGGTACACTAGGCAAGATACGCACACCATCCTTGAAAACAAGGCCTGACGTACAAGCTTTCTGGTAAACGTTGGAGTCATCGATGAATAATTCAACAATACGGCGAGCATGATCCGAGTGAAGGCGAACACCACAATTGTTGGGAAAGCTTTCGTTTATATGGCACAAAAGCTGGGAGCGATTTTCGGAACGAGACGTGAAATCAAAGAACAAGCTGGTACAGGAAGCAGGAGAGCCACCGGCTTTCCACACATTCGAGTGCAAAGAATTGTCATGAGCTGTTGCTTTCAACGAATCCCGCGTTGGGGAATGAGTACGTGCTGAGGAATGAGTACTGGTAACCTTGGCATACGAAAGCCGTTGTGGACGATATTGTGTGCCTGTTTCCTTATCAGGCGATTTGGTTAAATTCTGGGAAGACATGTGTTTGTTCATTGTGAAGTAGGTTGACCCTGGCGGAGCAAAAGATGCAGGGGACGTCTTAGTGTAACACAGCTATCTTGCATGACTGGAAGGATGAAAGGATGATACCGTATACTATTGGCAAAAGCCCATATATTGCTAGCTAACGGCCACTTTTATCCAATCATCGTTGTTGCGAGATCCACTGCATGGGAACGATGCCCCTGCTCTAGACATTCATTTCCATGATTAAAGTAGGTTGATCCGAGCTGATTTGACTGAGCTGCGGTCAAAGAGAGATTACATCACTCTGGACATAAAGCACGCTCGATGTAGCTCAACCGATGTAATCTTGTGTGAGCGTAACTCAACCAAATCAGCTCGGATCAACCTACTTTAATTATGGAAATGAATGTCTAGAGCAGGAGCATCGTCTACCTACAATAGAATGCACAAAAGTTGGGAATGCACAAAAGTGGTTATTAGCTGCCAATGTATGACCTGAAAATGACGTTTGCGTACCTGTCATGCATCATCCCTGAGGTCCGGACTTTTTAGCTCAGCTACACAAAGAGGTCCCTCTGGCATCTTTTGCTCTGCCAGGGTCCACCTACTTGACAATGAACAAAGACAACTCTTCATATAGCATCACGCTTACAAACATAAAGGTGCTTGTATCTCCAAATTTTACAATGAAACGTGGGGTTTTTATTAGAGCAATGTGCTCGGCTTGGCCAACTGCACCTTGGGTGCAAGTTTCGCGGTCAATGTCGCAAACAACCCAAAAAATATTTTTTGGTCGTCGTCGTCGAAGAGGTCGACCCCTGGATCCAGTTTAGCTGTTGGCGACATTGCGAAATCTGGGATTGGCAAGCTTGATCGTGAAACTGGCACCCAAGGTGGAGTTGGCCAAGCCGAGTACGTTGTTCTATTAAAGAGCCCACGTTTGATTGTAAGATTCTGAGTTATGGGAGTCCTTATGTTTTACATATGCTGTAAGCGTGATGCGATATGAAAAGAGGTCTTTGTTCATTGTCAAGTAGTATGACTATAATACAATCAAAGATGCAGAGGGACGTGTTGTGTAACTTGAGTCAGTCAGCACAGGCGATGCATGATACTTGTTCACTATTTAGGAGTAGTTCCTAAAATGCCAGCTAATAACCAGTCTTCCCAATCATCTCTGTTGCATGTGAACGATTGTCCTGCTCCAGCCCATCGTCTCCATCCTTCAACTTTCTTGATCCGAGTGGATTTGACTGAAAAACGCTCAAACACAGAAGTATCATCCAAGCATCAGAAGAATCAAGTTGGCGAATTATTTGCAAACTGCCACTTGATAGCCCATTCCACCCATACACCTTTGTTGCCCAATCCAATGCATGTGAATGATTGTCCTACTGCAGCTCAACATTGCCATCCTTCAACTCTCTTGATCCGAGAGGATTTGAATGAGCAACGGTCAAACAAGGAAGTGTCATCTAAGCATGATTAATTTCCACTTCTTCCACTCCCACTTTCTTCCCTCTTCCTCCCATTCTCAACTGTTGGCCCATTCAAATACAACTACCACCTGCGAACGATTGTCCTGCTTCAACCCATCACGTCAATCCTACAGCTGCCTTGATCCGATTGTCTTTGACTGAATGGGCAAGTCCATGGCATGTGCACTCCACGACAACACCCTCCTTTCTTAACATTCCATCTTCTCTTGTGCGATCCTTGACCACAATCAAACGTAACAGCCTTCATTGCAGCAGTTGCTATCAGCGAGGTCTTGTACTTGTCTCGAACAGCGCTCACAACCTTGCCACTCTACTACAGCACACGCTCTTGCACACCCCTCTGCCGCGACCGGACGTAACAGCAGTTGCTATTAGGCAGGCCTTTACTCAATCGTCTCAAAAAGTGTAGTACACTTGCAACAACTTGCCTTACAGCCTTTTTTACGTGAACAACAGTAGCTGTCGTATAGAAGCACCTTTGTTTACGTGTGGCAACTTGCATTAATACATGCGAACGTCTATATGGATATGGATCTGATTCGGTATGTAAATGGGATGGAAGGAATTGGATGTATACAACGCGTTGGAAAAGAGTTTTTGTTCTTATGTATCCATTATCAGCTTGGCCTTGATGCTTGATGCTATCATCCTTGACGATTGATGTATCCCTATTCCATGGCAACTATCATCATCATCATCATCATCCTTGTGCAACCTGTCAACAATGTACAACCATCAGCATCCAACTCCATGATTTGACACGCCATGCAACAAGTGCCACCTCACATCTATCTATTCACCTTTGCACAATGCATACCCAAAAGGATAGAACTTTCCAAATCGATGTATCTCCACCCCCATTCGAACAATCCGTTGTACATCTTGTGAATGTTGTTGGATTAAAGGGCTATTTGAGGGAATACCACATTGCGTTGGTGTCAACCATGTTAAAAAATGCGATACATAAAGGCACGACCTATTTTATCAACATGAATAACTGAAAGATCCTTGAAAAGAGAGGAATTGGGTATATAGCCGCATCCTACACATTGGTTTTGGTATAGAACGAGTGTTGATATAGTGGGAAATGAGGATACGTTCAAAGATGCTTTAATGTTGGATAGAAAATCAACACTGGTAAATCCACCTGCTGCTTAAAAGATGATGGCACAGGATAGTCATAATTGATGTCACGTGGGAACAGTGCCTGTGTGTCCTATGGGCGCTCGGTTTCGATGATTAGCTTAAATTGGGCTGGACCTCCTACTGGAACTGCGAGATTATCGGTGGCCCGCTGAAGCGTTAATGTGAGTCATCATAAGCGTACCATGCTCGTAGGCAATGAATAACCAAACACAAAAAAAACAGGGGATACATATGCAAACAAGCATTCATTGATGAAAGTAAACTACAATATACATGTATAGCATCTCTGCTTAAAGGTACTTCTTTTCAAAGTAGTTGGTGGCAGCCGACATGGCCATCTTTTGCATCATGCCAACCTTCTTTTGCTTCTTCTCCTCATCATCGTCGTCATCATCAGTGCCACGTTCTTGGATCAACTTGGAGATCTAAATGCACCAAGTACATAATTGTCAATGTCCGTGTATGGTAATGTATAGTGTAACCCCTTACCTCAGCGGCAGCAAAACCAGCAACAAGCTTCTTGATGGTAGCGTGTTCCATTTCCTCACCATCCTCTTCCTTCTTCTTTTCCCACATTTGCACAGCTGCAAAGGCAGCGGCACCAGCCATCAACTCGTAGCTATAGAGCCATCATATGATTTAACATCATGTGCAAGTTCTCACAACAATAAAGTACATACCTGAGCTTAGCCTTCTTCTTCTTGTATACCTTTTCGTGGGCTTCGGTAAGATCACGTTCATCGAGCATGTCATTCTTGTTATGTCCCCAACCGAACCAGCTGCCAAACCATGCACGGAAACGAGCACGCTTGGTATCATCTTCCTCTTCATCATCCTCATCAACAGCCTTGGGTGGGTCACCAAGTTCAATAGTCCAAGATTGGTTCTTGGCATCGCTCAAGTCCTTACGCTTGTACACAATGACGCGGCTCTTTTCATCCTTGTCAGCGCCCTTGATGTCGTATACGGTTTCAGGGTCGCTCAAGGTGTAAATGAAACCATGCTCAATGTCATAGCCGAAACGCTGGTCATCAGCCTATATTGTATTTCGATAAGTATTGGATATCCAAATTGAATAATGATCAATCAATGTGTACATTACCTTATCAGCCTCCTTCATTTGATCCAAGAACAAGTGCTTCTCGCCAGTGAAGATGCCTAGTTACAACATGCATGTTGCACAAAATCAGTATGTGCTGCTCCTGGATTTCCCAGAACCACATGCATCAAACGGGCGAGAAAGGTAGGAATTGCTCCGCTGTTACCCACCCACCCCCTCATCTTCATCCCCCACGCCAATGTTTTCGCCACACACACATACACACATGTACATGCGCTTGCCATTTCACTATGCAATCCCACTTTTTTACTTACCCATAAAGGTGCCAGAGCTATCAATGTCGAGAACCAAGCCAGTCAACTTGTTGGTCAAGAAGCCTGCAATGTAAATAAAAGCGGTAATGTATGTACGCGTCAGTGACACAAAGGCATAAAAGAAGGGGCGAATGATCCTTTTACCGTTCTGGTGAATAAACAACTGGCTATCACGCTCGGGCGACTCTTCTTTTTTGGGGGCCATCACAATCTTGGAGCCATCCTATGTATCATCACACGCAGATGAAAGAGAAAAAGGAAATGATTATTAGACACTATAACAGCAACCCAAGCTGGGACTTGTATTCAAAAAGAAAGCTTTTGTTATATACATACATGAGCATTCTCGGGATCCTCAACATCAACGACCATGCCGTTAAGGTTGGAGATGATGTAAAAGTAGCCGATGGGAAAACCGCTTCCAATAGTCATGTTGTGGTAGTGAAAGAAAAAGTGAAGGCCTCTTAGCATCACCCTTCGAGCTTTATATATGCACCTTGTGTCAAAGCCCGCTGGTTTGGTAACACCACGTTAAACAGAGCATTTAGTGCTTGGCTAAAATTGGGATACTAATTGTCAAAAGAACAGCCATGTCATGCGACGAGACTCTTTATTTGTTTGAGATTGGTATGGGGCTGTAAATTACTGCTGTGAATGGAGGGATAGGAAAGAAGCCATTTCACTTATTCTTGATCATCATCCAAATCCGATTCAGGCTCATCATCCTCATCGTCATCGTCGTCGTCATCTTGTCCTGGTATACGTCGCTCAAGCAGTGGTTTGATCAATCGCTCAAAATATGGATGGTCTCGTGGTGGCGGGTTGGCGCGTTTCACCTGTTCAAAGTAATGGATGTAGACGTTGCCATCGAAACGACCAAGAGCTGAATTAATGATGTAATCACTGAAATTGAATGCATCAACAAGAGGAATTGCTTGCTGCCTAACGACTTTGCATAACACGTTCACTTGTGCACGGATGAACTGCATCTGTTTGGGTGTAAAGTACTCATACTGAAGGAATGCGCCGTCATTTTCCTCGATAGTGTAAAGACCATACAGCATGCACACGTCCGTCAAGACAGCTCGAACACGTTCATCTGCCACTTTTGCAACACCATCAGCGAAGCGGTTATACAGGTAAGCGTATGTGTGTAACCTGGCAGCATACAAACGGGCTTGAGCTAAAATGGGCAAATGGGAAAAGAAAATTAGCTTTTGAACTGTAACAAATGCGCGCACAAGCCTTACAGCACTCCTCAAATGCATCATCTACATCCATGCCATTGGCAAGACATGTCTCAAATTGAATAGCAGCATTCTTGACAACATTGGCACACACGACTCGCCATCCTTCGCTAATAACATCGGGATGCAAAATGGCCTGCAACGTTGGAACAGCGCACCGCTTGCCGATCAGTGTCCCGAGTTCATTCAGGTACCCGACACCTGGGGCTAGTTTCTTGCCTTTGATAGCTTCACGATAGCTGTTGATCAAGTATCTTCCGGATTGAAGCGTCAAAATGGTATTATCTCCTTCCCATGTACATTGCACAGCAAAGTCATTGTACATTCCTGCCAAGCCTGTGTATGCTGAATATCCATGTCCACCACATGCTTGTCGACATTGTTCAATCGTATGCAAACAATTCCAGGTACAAAACGCCTTCAACCCGGCGCTAGTGGCATGCGTCTCCTTCAATGCTTCAATCACTTGATCCATATCGAGGTCATCTGGCGTAGCCGAATCAAGTTGTCCCATCATGTCGTTATACATTTCAGTCATCTCGCTCCCGGTAAAATGCATAGCAAACGCTTGTGCAAGCAATGGCATCAGTCGTCGTTGATGAATGGGATAATCCAGCAGCTTGGTTTCAATATCACTGTTGGTCGGAGCAAATTGACGGCGCACAGCAGCATAACGGATCCCAATGGTAAGAGCTTTCTTGGCTGTATTCGCGCTATCGACCACCATGGCAACGCGTCCTTGCAAAAGGGCTCCATATGTCTATCATGACGATAGGATGGGCTTAGAAACCGTTTCCCAGGCAACATGCCGTCGTGATCTTACCAGCTGCTGCAACTTTGGCTCAATGACTTTTCCTAGTTCAGTAACCTTGGTGTGCTTCATCAACCTAAATGACGTATTCGTATAGTACGTTAGCTCGTGTGTCATGATACCACTTCATCAATAAATAGCTGTATTACATGTTGTTGCGTGGAATGCGCACATTGCTGAATTGGATCCAACCATTGTCAATGCCATCTCTTCCCTACTCGAATGCCCACCATATCAGTTTGGGGTCATTGCTTTCCTTAGATCTCGTGCATACCATCTTCTTGCCAATGTCGCCAATGGTTACACCCGGCAATGTCTCATACGTCTTGGGATCACGAAGAGGCACCACGAAGCACTTGGTTCCATAGCGCTTTCCACGAACAATGAGCTGAGCAAAGACAATGGCATGCGTTGCTGTGTGAGCAGCTCCTCCTATCCACCACTGTAAATCAAATTTCGAAATAAGACAATGCTACATCATCATGTTTTTTTTTCACTTGCCTTTGTGGCTGTCAATGTGGGTGTGTGTATAATGAATTGGTTGGCACCTTCTTCAAAGGTGGCAGTGGTTTCCAAACCAGGTATATTGGAACCGTGGCCAAGCTCGGTCATTGCAAAGCATCCTATCATTCCCGATAATGATACGGCTCCCTTTTGAAACCAATACGTCATTTGACTTGGCGTAGCATTGCTTTGCAAAGATCCAATAAATAATGCGTCTATGGTAGTATTAGTGTGTCAGCGTCGATTGTGTAACAATGGGATTGATGCATGATCGACTTACAATGAACACCGAAACGTGTCCAAAAACCTGGATCGATCAAGCTGATGAGCTCGATTCGTTTTTTGAAAGTGTCAACTGACTCGTTTTGAAAATGATGCAAGATACTACGAAACTTTTTTCCACTTTTCAATCAACAAGAGACGATGATGATGGATGATGCAGCATCAACACAACAACATACCTTTTCCATGGTCCTTTCACGTAATTGATCCTTGCTGAGATCGTGCATATCATCGAGCTTGAATAAGGGATCGCGTTCGAATTCCAACATCATGTTTTCCTTCAACTACAACAGAGATTGTTATTCACATAGCCAATTTCTTTGTCTCCCATTATTGTCCATCACCACCTACCTTGGTAATTCTTTCGCCTCCATCCAAATGGTAGGTAAGTTGACGGACGTCAAATGTTGTTCCTTTTCTTTCCTCATTCATGCTAGCAATAGGGCTATTCTAGGATGATGAGATACTATGTATATACGCATGAGCCATATGCATGTGTTGTACATACTCCAGAGTATGAGCTGTTTGCTCCCTAGAGGAGGTTAAATGCTGTTTGACAGCTTCAAGTCTTTTGTTTCCGGTCATGGCGAGGTGCTGGTGTCGAATGCCAAGTGGAGGAAAAGAGATATTATAAATAAGGTAGAAAACATCATCCTTCTTTATACCCTAAGAGTTTCTTGTAATGGGTTGAATATTCTGACGCCACATGAGATAAAGTTTCACATGTTCCCATCGAAGCTACAATCCCCATTGTTATGCAGGTCCATCACCCCATCCGCGTATTATTCCATAAAAAGACATTTTGTGTATCTCTTGTAGCGCGTGGTGTGCATTAATATTACCTTGCTGGAGAGGTGTCAAAAGTGACATTGCCATCGGAGCGTGGATAGCAACGTACATCCTCCTGTACCGGCCGTACATCTATCATCGTATAAAGAAAAGGATTGAATAATAGTATACGTGTTCCTGATCACCGTGTGAACGATGCAATGCTCCTTGTCATTCACGATTTGTATATCTTCCCATGAGCTCCCCATTCCCCACATTTTTCAGATAACGTGATACATGCCATGAATAATATTATTAGACAGCTAAAATGTGCCATCTGCTGAGGCATAAAGCATACACAATCCATCAAGCTAGATGTTATGCTACATGTTGTTCCAATACGTATGTGTATGTAAATCCTAGGAGTGCTACCACCCGCTGTCACTATCATCATTTTACTGGCTTCTAAGGCGAGGATTGACTCTGTCTCTCTTCTTTCTTTCATGCAGATGCTTCCTCGCAAGCGGCGAAAGACTGCGGCCCATGATACTCCAACAGCCATAACTTCTTTTCCTCAACAAGCACCACTTTTATTCTCAAAGTACGTTGAAGCTATCTATTGTTTTCATACATAGACATACTCATCCCCATAGCATTGTGTAGCTATTTCCAATTGGCACTTCATGTTCTTGGCATTGCAACTCTGGCCATCGTGATTGTACTCGTGTTCTATACAGCTCAAAGCGAGATTGACGCCCGATTAGCACAGCACTTGGAAGGTGGGGATACCAAACAAAACAAGAGGAGGCGCATGTAGCAGGAAGCTCACTCACTAGACGACAGCTTTGGAAGAGGAAAAACTACAATGCTCCCAGCAATATCATCGAAACAAGTGTCATCTTTATACCCAATCCTCCCTTTTTGGTGAACTTTGTGAACAATGGGTAAGGCTCTTTGTTGTAGGTTCATGGCAGCATCACCAGCTCTAATGGATTCATCTATAGCAATCATGCATGAATAGGGGAAAGGGATCTATTGCAAGGTATGAGGGGTGTCAAGTGGAGAGCAGAGCAGCATGAGCAGCGTGATAATGGTTCGTTGTAGGTCAAAAATCATCATGGCCACCTATGGAGAAGTAGTCAATGCCTTGGTTGAACCATTGACGGTCAAGACAATGGTGAGAAAGAGTATATGGAAAACGATAGTCGACAGGATGAATTGACTCCTCGTACAATGTAGGCAGCGATCTGCGTTATATTATTCAGCACGTTGCTAGGCATAGCACTTGTTAATTAGCCATGATGGAATGAATGATCAGCATCGACCACGGGAGGTTTCGCTATATCGATACATGCATACATAGGATCATCAATGCTACCAATAGAACATGATTTCCGCTTATGAAGTGTACCATGATGTTGTTGCAGGGCAGTAAATGCTGAGCTTTATGGGAAGGCTAACGGGGACAAGTGATAAGCTCAAAGATCATTTTCGATGCTATGGATAAGATACTGTGTAAAGCGTCTTTTATTGTAGCATGGATCATCAATGAAAAAGGCTCTTTGTCTTCCCAAACAATGAGATTGCATGTTTAAGTATAGATGTAATGGAATCAACTTGTATTTATATAGGCAATGATACATCAATAAATGAGATACTATAAAGAGGGCATTGTCAATGCTGCTGTAATAATGTTGTCGGTGGACAAAGCGTCAAGACAAGAGGTGGGAGCGGGTATAATTCTAGTGACACTTAGCTTGTTTCTTCTCTTACCTTCCTCCTCTCATGTCAAATAACGTAAGCACAGCATGGACCTATTACTTGCTTGATCTAACAGCGATCTACGTCTAGCAGCAACAGGATTTCGACGACGGCGACGATTACGTTCCTTACGTGCCCATCAAGCAACGTCGATTGGAGAAGCTACACAAATATGCAACACAGCGACGAGTGGTTGATCCATCACCGAGAGAAGAGAATGACGATGACGATGCGCAAGGCACTGGTCCTCGTGGTGGTGTGAGTTTACTTGATCAGGCCGTCGAGCAGCGACGAAAGTATGGTGTTCAAGGTGTGTGTGTGTATATATATATAGCAAATCAGCCTATAGGAACGCATTCGATATTGATATGGATATCATTCAATATAGAAAAAACTGAGGAGGAGAAGCTGCTCGAAGAGGAACGTCGTATTGAGGAAGCACAGAAGCGACACAAAGCTTTGGTATCAGTACAGGAGGCTGCGGCTGGTGTCCACTATACCGAACCAATGAAGACAAGGTAAACTCGATCGATTTGTTGTTGTTCATGCAAGGTATTCATATACGATGATTTCAGTTGGACAGCACCACGCTATATCCGAGATGCCCCAGAAGAGGAACATCAAGCCCTTCGCAACAAGTATCACATCATTGTAGATGGCAATAACCCTGTACCACCAATCACCACCTTCAAAGTAAGTTTGATGGAAGGGCGTAGAGGATGATGATAATAGACTAACACATGTGCGATTATAGGAAATGAAGCTGCCATCTCCTATACTGGAATATCTAAAAACCAAGAAGATCATGAAGCCAACACCTATTCAGATCCAAGGTCTTCCTGTGGCGTAAGTAATGAATCAGCAAGTTGAGCGGTGGGAGGATCAAGGATGCAGTATTGACGTAGGGTCATGTTTACAGGTTGGCTGGTCGAGATATGATTGGTATTGCGTTCACTGGATCTGGCAAGACACTTGCATTTTCATTGCCTCTCTTGATGCAAGCTTTGGAAGCGGAGACAAGGTTACCATTAGTAAGAGGCGAGGGACCTATTGGTATGATCATATGTCCATCGGTAAGTGAGGATCCATTTCAAGATAGGGGGTGCGAGGTAGCTCACGAATCCCATTTTCATGCAGCGTGAATTGGCTCGACAAACGTATGAAAATTTATGCACAATGGCGGACAGCTTGGCAAAGGGCGGGTACCCAGCACTACGGTCCTTACTATGCATTGGTGGTATTGATATGCGTGATCAATCCGACGTATTCAACAAGTAAGTATTTTGAGACAAGGGATGGGTTGAGCAGTGCTAACATCGGTCATCTACAGAGGCATTCACATGGTGGTTGCTACGCCGGGTCGTCTAATGGATCTTTTGACAAAGAAGCGATTCAATTTGGATCTTTGTACATATCTCTGTATGGATGAAGCTGATCGCATGATTGATATGGGCTTTGAAGAAGATGTGCGAAATATTATGTCATATTTCAAGGTAAATAACAACAAAAGCGGATCATCAGAGAATTCCATGGAAACTTATATGAAGTAATAGAGCCAACGACAAACATTGTTGTTTTCGGCAACTATGCCCAAGAAGATCCAAGAATTCGCATTATCCGCATTGGTCCAGCCACTGATTGTCAACGTTGGAAGAGCTGGTGCAGCAAATTTGGATGTGATCCAAGAGGTTGAATATGTCAAACAAGAAGCTAAAATGGTGTATCTGCTCGAGTGCTTACAAAAGACTCCTCCACCGGTAAGTGATGTCACATCCGTATCCGAACACGTCCTTTACTCATCCTCGTGCATTGACAGGTTCTGGTGTTTGCTGAAAACAAGCACGATGTGGATGATATCCACGAGTATTTATTGCTCAAGGGTGTTGAGGCTGTTGCAATTCATGGTGGCAAATGTAAGTGTGTGCAAAGTTATCCAAATGATTGGTACTTTGGCTAACATGTATTGTATTGTAGCCCAAGAAGAACGTGAATTTGCAATCCGATCGTTTAAGGAATACAAGAAGGATGTGCTGGTAGCTACGGATGTTGCATCAAAGGGCTTGGATTTTGCCGAGATTCAACATGTCATCAACTATGATATGCCAAAGGAAATTGAAGATTATGGTATGTTTATCATGAACATCACTATATCAAGACACGTTGTTAATACTTTATTTAGTGCATCGTATTGGTCGTACGGGTCGAAGTGGCAAGACGGGTATCGCTACAACGTTTATCAATCAACATTGCTCTGAACAAATTCGATTGGATCTCAAGCATCTTTTACGCGAGGCTAAGCAAAAGGTACCACCATTCTTAGCAGCCATGGAAGATCCATCAGAGAAATATGGCTTGAGTGGAGGTAAAAATGACATGATAGCAACCAGGACAAGATGATTTGACGCTAACTTATCATTATAGGATGTACATTTTGTGGTGGTCTTGGTCATCGTATCAATGAATGTCCAAAATTGGAGCAACAACGACGACAGCAAATGAGCGGTATCATGAGTGGACGACACGCTGGTGATCGCAATGACTTTTAGAATGACGTATCCGTATTTAAGCTGTAGAAATCTCTAAAATACACGGACTTTCGATTTCTTTTCTATCTCTGTGTGTCTTATATCAGGAGGGTTAACTGGTCCTAGATGGCCTCGAGTCCCGTTTTAGAGCCGACATTAGGCTGTTTCGATACCAACAACACAGGACATCAAGACGTGAAAACGTTCTTGGAACATTGTGGGCAGTTAAAATACTTGGAAACCTTTATCAATGAAGGCTTTGAATCCACAGCAGCGGTAAATGCGTAGTTTTTTGTTGATCCCTCTCTTTTTGTCTTAATATCTCCGTTATGTCGCAAATAACATAGCTTATTTTCTTTTTTGGTATCCCCATTTTCTGCATTTCGTTGTGTCCATTACAGATATGCGAGGTTACAGAAGATGATATGATAGCAATGGATGTCAAGCGCGGTCATCGTCGGGTAAAGTGTTGTGAAAAAAAAGAGAAGGAAAAGAAAAAACTTACTTTTTCCTAATCCTTTCATCCACCCCCACTTCCCTATCCAAACTCCTTTCCCACCCCCAACATTAGAAGGATATAGAAGAATCTAATGTGGCAGACGACTGATTTGTGTATTGAAATGTATAGATGATCCAGCGGCAAATTGCAGCTACACGGGGCATCATGCCAAAGTACCCACATTCAGTTGCATCAGGTAAGTGCATTATTCAAAAAGAGTGGTGGTGATGCCATCATTTCATTGATACCATCGATGTATTTCTAGAAACTTCTGCATCGTTCTATGATTCTTCTACGATGGTGGATAACACCAGCACAAGCAGCGGCAATGGCAATGGCAAAAAGCGCAAGTATCGACGTCATCCCAAACGTGACAAGAATGCACCCAAAAGACCACCATCAGCCTATATCATGTTTTCAAATGAAATGCGTGCAAAGATCAACGACAAATCAAAGACGTTTACAGAGATGGCAAAAACCATCGGCGAGCTATGGAAGAACCTCGACCCCAACAAAAAGCAAGCCTATGAGCTGGAAGCCATGAAGGCCAAAGATGCCTACCAAATTGCTATGCAACAATACCGGAAAACATCAGAGCATAAGGTAATGATCATCATCCATCATGCAGATGTGGATTGTTTAACATGCCGTGCGTTGTTGTATGGGCTCTACATAGGAGTATCAGCAGTATCTTAAAGAATTCAAGCAAAAAGATAAAGACAACAACAACGATACCACCATTCAACAAAAATCAGAATCACCCAGCAGGTAGGTTGTGGATGATACTATCGCATCACAATGATGAGGATTCTCATGAAGATCATCATGCAACAACAACAACTACTACTACTAGCAGTGGAAGCATGGCCGATTCAAGCTCGAACAATGGAACCGATTCACAACAAGTGTTTTTGGTTCAACTTCCAAACAAGTCTTCCGCTGGTGCTGGTGACAGGTGGTTGTGATGGAGGAGGAAAAAGGGCAGCAGGAAAGATATTGGAGAGATGTATCGTGCTTCGCCACGACCACTAACTTGGATAAAATCTCCATGTCATTTTCACACACAGCGATGACAGATCATCCCACCCTCAACAGCCAGCAGCAGCAGCAGCACAACGACATTCAAAACGCCGGCAAAGAGCAAAAAGCGATGCATCGGCATTGGTTGACGGCTCGTCTCAGCAAGCAAATGAAAGGCCATCCGAAGTACGAAGAAGAAGCAAAAGGTGTTGATCATCTACACACACACAAATCACCACCTATGAACAAGTAACCATCATCGTCGTATGTAAATGAATTAGCAGGGGCTCGTTTTTATTGTTATCTTCTCTTCTGGTACCACCACCCTTCTTGATCTCCTGTGTTTTCAATACCCTTCTCGATGCTCTTTCTGCTAAAAGTCACATTACCCAATTCATTCTTAAAATTACGCACGAGACACACACCAACGTACTCTTTATAAAGTAACCTGAGCTTAAGGTTTATTTTTGTCCCTTTACAAAACATCGCACTTGTACTAATTAGGCAAGACGATTACGCCATTGTCGATCCTGGCCCTCATGCTAATTTCCATGTAAGCGTTGACAGCAAGCGTGAGCAGGTGCACTTGTTTTTGAGTTACCGGCATAGCTTTTGTTGCCCCATCCGCTTGTAGCCTATTATACAAACATCGTATTGTCATACGTGATCACAAATAAATATCATCTTTTGGATCCATTACGGTCATCATGGGTGGGGTATCTATGCGGTGGGCCCGTGCTGCATTATTAGATGGTGGTTGTTGTTGTTGTGTGTATGCGTTGTGAGCACCCGATCCTCGGCTCTCATCACCTTATGGATTTTGTTTACCACCATTATGTTGTCCCAATGAAAATCCTCGATGCATGTGTGTATAGCTGTGCGGCTCAACAACAACCTCCTGTTCGATGATAGTGCAATGGGAATTTAACAGCTGCTGCTGTTGTGTGATGTATGGCAGCAGCAGCAGCATGTTCCTTCAACTACCAATCCCGGGGTGTTTCAGCAACCCATGTTTCATACTGCCAAGACTTGAGCACATCAGCCTCTGGTCATGTGAGTGATCAAATGCTGAGTAAAGGAAAGAGTTGAACGTATAGGGATTGCACATTTGGCAAGTTGTGGTACCTGCCTGCATACAAAAAAGTTACATGGAAAGCGTTTTCATCATTGTCCCAGGGCTGGTTTTTGTGAACACTGCAGGGTCTGTGAATTGCATCCAAAAAGGCCCAAATGTTTCTTTTTTTGGGACAAGAAGGATACATGATCATACGTTTTGCCAAGGCAGCCATGATGCACATTAATGGGGATTCACGCAAGAAATAAGCTATTCATTATTGGTTGACTGGCTTGAACCCAATATAGCCTAATGGGACACAAAGATCTGCAATAAAGGTCAGGTGAGATTAGTGAATTAGCTGCAAGTGTGTGTGCACAGCAGGATTTTTACGCAGTAAAAAATTTCTTTGGAATGCGAAAAAAGGGGGACAAGAGAAAAAGGAGAGAAACCAATCAATGGTAAGGAAGCTGCATGTACCAACAACACCACAATTGGGTTGAAACTCATTCTTTACATTCCCACACAAAAAGCATTCACACACACACATCACCCATATAACCGGTCTCCCTTACAAAAGGAGGTTCAGGAGGCAAGCAAATAGGGGAAGCGGAGGAAAGAGGTGTAACAGATGATGAATGCTGGTGGTTGGCTGCCGTCGGATCTTGTCTGTGTGTGAGCCGATTTTCATCCAATGGGATGAGTGGGCTCTATCACACAGCAGCAAGCCGAGAAAAAAAGGGTCAATGGAGTGAGGCACTTTACGATTGGCCCGAAATTACTCATCATGTGCCAAATGCCAAATTCAGGGTAGGGCACGGTCGTTTGTGTGCAATCCACATTCATATACTAATTTATAGACGCGATCAATAATGTGGGTGTTGTGTATTTCCTGTGAGAGGGTACACAATAATCAATGAAGAAAACAAGGAGACATGATGTTGACGAGTAATAATAAGGAACCAATGTGAGAAATGACGGCAAAAAAAGTGCCGCGGAGGCGAGTCATTTTCGGCTATATTGCTCTATGCAATGGCTTATAAGGCGCATCACACATTGTAATGCTCCGCTGCCCTGTGTCCTCTATTTCTATTATCCACCGTGGTCCATGATGGGTAGTCGGCAGTTGTTCCGAAAGAAAGCGGCAACAACTCATACTCTCCACGTTCCAGAATTAAAAAGATCCATCACTCTAATTCTTCAGCCGTGTCACCGAGACGATCGCTGTCGAACCGGAGATCTAACAATGCACGAGAAGCCTTCACATTAACGCTGCACTGGAGCACGTGTGACATTGAGCCGACCGCCTTGTTACAAGGTGTCGTGATCTTGATATGGTAAAAAGGGTGCTTATCAGACAACATCGATGAGGATCTCCAAGCAAGGTAAATCGCTCACAGCGAGAGTGTACGTGTATGTCCTATACCCCTTACATAGCCAAGTTGGCAATTTTTCTTTTAAAAGGGCGTTGTGGCTTGTCAACAGCAGCAAGCAGCAAGTAGCAGTTTTGCTATTAATGGGTGGTGGGGCGGATTGGGTGCTGTCGGTATCCACGACTTTAAGGAAGATTAGTGCGTTTCGCAATGCGGGTGAGTGATGAAGTCAGTGTATCTGATTGGGAAACAACTGCAAGATGATGTGCCCAATCAGATACGTGCATAGACCATCGCACGCTCAGGGGCCAAAATGGCGCTGATGTGACGGGGTCCCGGGTTAGGAAAGTGTACCTTTACATCGCATATATAAAACAGCTTCCCCCACGCAGCATTTGCTTGCTGAAACCACGCCATCTTTTCACATACTCACATCACATATTCAACATGAGCGATACAAACTGGTGCACTTATTGTGATCAAGCCATCAACTCTTTTTCTGTAAGCATCTATTTTATTACATTTCCCATTCATTCAAAAGGTCAATGCATGCTAACAAGCCCCCCCTCTTCTTCGCTTTTAGAATTCTCTCTACTGCTCTGAAGAATGTCTACGTGCTGATGCACTAAATCACCATCCACTTCTTGGTTACGATTGGCATGAATTCAAGGATTTTCCACGATCAACGCCATCTTCTTCTGCGTCCTCAGTCGTCTCATCATCTTCATCCGTATCATCGTCATCATCATCATCATCCTTATCATCGCCTACTTTATCACCAATCGCTCTTATGCCAAAAGGTCCTCGGTTGTCTCCACCAGCATTGGAACTCGAACCTGCCATTGCCAAGCCTGTGTCAACGTCTTTACTATCATCCACCAACAAAAAGAGCATCTTCTTCATTTAAACAAGTTTCCCACACACGCCATGATCCATACCTAAATCCCATTCACGCACTCCTCCACACACACACGACGTATATATACACACTCACACACCCATCCCGAAAAGAAAAAACTGCATTCCACTCGCTTCTTGTATACCACCCACCCACCAACCAACCATGCATATGTTTGTTTTTTGTTGTTGTAACAATATACCAATTTGTCTTTTTCGCCTGCGCACAGTGCTTGTGTCACAGATGTATGATGCTTGTTCTTTTTTCTCCCCACACTGATGTTCCCAAAAAGAATGGCTTCTATCATAATCGACAACCACCATAACCACTAAACTTTTTTTCCTCCAATTGACGTAATAGCGGGACCCGACTAACTGGCACACACGCCAATATGGGGGTCGACGGGGCTTCGAGACCTCTTTTTATGTCTCAGCTACATACCATTCCTCTCCCCCCCCCTTTCACCCAAAATCGCACCATTTTCTTCCCAGAGCCGCTTCCGATAACCGAAAATGCCGATGCGTCATAATCAACCGATGCCATGACCAACATGTTGTAATGCATACGTTGTATATAAATATATTTTAGTCCAGAACACCAGCACGTTCCATCAATGATCGTAACAAGCTTTGACTATTCTCGACAAGGTCACTTGGGCTATCGTATTCAATCAATGCACCCTGATCAAAGACCATCACCTATAGAATAATAATAGTGAGCATGAGTATGTCATTTTGCATCTCCCCCCCACCCACCCAAACGGCCCGACTACTTACGCGATCATAACGGTGCACACTTTGTAGCCGATGAGGTATTACCAACATGGTCTAGAGCCACAAACGTCTGTGTGTTAGTTGCATTGCGTCTATGTTTGCATAGCTTTTCATCTTGTTACCGATTCTGAAAACTCTTCTTGAATAATGGCATGGACACTATTTTCTTCTTCAGGAGTCAATTGAGCCTCTTCAAAAGCAATGAACCGTGTACAGTCGCGCAGCAGTGCTCGTGCTATGCATAGCAATTGTCGGTGTCCCACAGTCAGCGTCTTGCTATCCATGTCAAGATCATGAACCACAAAACTGGGTATATTCTTTGCCGAAGGCGATGATGGTGATGCTGCCAAATGGACGCGATGTAATGCTTGCCATAACTCATAGTCATCGTATTCACCAAATGGGTCCAAATTGCTACGTATCTAAAAAGGATCATCATCATCATGAGTGCTTTCATTCTTTGCCCCATTTACAACCTTCTTACCGTGCCATTGCATACGATGCCATCTTTGGTGACAAAAGTGATACGTGAGCGTAAATCTTCGACTCCGATCTAGCAATGACGATATGGTTAGCCTGTCAACGAGGGAAAAAGGGAAAAAACCAGACTTACCCAAGCAATGTTTACGCCATCGATTTTGATCGATCCCCGTGTTTCCATAAATTGAAAGATACTTGCCAAGAGAGCGTGTTTCTCGGCCCCAGCTCTACCAACAAGTGCCACTTTTTCTCCAGGTAGCACATTGAATGAAACATGCTTGAGAACATCCTCATCATCTTGAGAAACAGTCAAGTCGCGCACCTGAATGCCTGCAGATGCTGGCCACTGTTGGGGAAAGAAACATAGACCCGGGTCAGTTACATGTAACCAAGTCTGTAGCTTGTCACTTACTGCTGCTGGTGGGCGAGAACCTTCTACAATCCCTGGTGGTTCACATGCCATCCCAACATATTCGTTGATCCTTTCAATCGACTCAAAATGCATATCCACCGTAGTTGATTGCCGCATCAACCAATAAATATACTCGAGTAGACTTGTTGCAAAAGTAAGCGCGATGCCGGCCAAGCCTGCATTAATCTTTTTGTAGATCAAAAGGACGCCAATAAAGAGCGATAGCAAGGATCCCACAAGTTCAACGCGTACAAATAGCCATCGATTGGTGGTCCACAATGTGTAAAAGGCTCGCATGTTTTCATCCAATAGTTGAAACATCTTCCTCATCATGGCTCGTTGTTCATGATATGCTCTGATGGTGCTGAGTCCGCTCAATGTATCCGAATAAAGGCAGTAGATGGGTAGACGACTGCTTGCATTGAGCTTCTTGAGTTCTCTTGATGTACGTATGTAGACAGCACCAATGTAATAATAGCATAATGCTATATGAATAAAACGCTTGAGTCTTTGATTCTTCTTCTTTTTCCCACCCTACATTCATTCCTCTCCCTTACCGGCAAAGACACAAGCAACATAAAATTCAGGGAGAATGACGCCAATCGTGATCACCACGCCAGCAACACCAAAGACCGTTTGCAGCAAAAAGTTGACATGCCATCCAATACTCGAATCCACTGTTTCAATATCCTTGCTAAACCGGCTCATGATTTGTCCCGATGATGTGTTGTCAAAGAATTGTACAGGGGCTCGGCATACGGATCTCAATAATGCCAAGAATAGTCGATTGGAGGCGCGTAATGATCCTCGATACTGCACCACGGTACGAATAAAGTTACACGCCACGGTAAAAAGGCATAACGTCAAATACATTGCAATGTATCGATTCGTTGTCCACCATGTCTCATTGGGTTCTTGTTCATCCGCCGTTGACCATATCTGTAAAATGAACCGATGGCATGTTAGCCTAGTTGACCCCAACCCCAATGTATTGTGTGTGTGTGTGTGCGTGTCATCCCCCACATATCTCGCATGTGTGTGTGTATGTGTGTGTGCTACCTTCCTTTAACCAAAAGCTTTCCGAGATGCTGCAAAGCCGAGCTAAAATGGTAAACGCGATTGCCGACATCCAAAACTGCCATCCGCCACATGCTGCAAAATAGGTCGCATACGCAATATCTCTTGACTTGGCTTCATCATCATGCATATCATCATCGGCTGCACGAATAGATTCTCGCATCACCGATCCTTCGTCATAAACACTGTCATCCGCAAAGGCATTTTCAATCTCAAAGAGGGCATCGATACGATCATCATTGGCAATTTCCATATCGCCTGGTTCCTTCATGGTGTTGTCGTTGAGAAAGTTCTCATCGCCTTGGATTTCCATCAAAGTCGCCTTGCCATGTTCCATTTTCACCAACAATTGAACATGCCGTAACCAAAGATTGGGATGACTCGCTACCAGGATAATGGTCCGATCCTTCATCAGCTCACCGAGGATGCATTTATCACGTAGATAGGCAGCCGTATGCGTATCAAAGTTGGTGAAAATATCATCAATCAACACTGTCTTGGCTCTTGAGTACACCGCACGTGCCAATGATATCTTTTGTTTCAAGCTTTCTAATAAAGCTGTCAGCGAATAATCCCAAAAGGTACATACACACATCCTCCCACTTTACCTGAAATGGCAGCTCCTCCTTCGCCAATAAGGGTAAGGTCACCATTCTCAAGAAGAGACAAGTCCTTGAGCAAATCACATTCATGTAAAAGCGTGCGGTATCGTGTATCATCCCACGTCTCAAAGAAAAGAATGTTTTCTCGTACAGTGCCATGCTGGATCCAAGGTATTTGTGACACATAAGCCGTGCGGTACACAAACAAAGATGCATTGACTTGATCACGGATAAAGTTTGTGTCTGGTGTCAGATATCGGGACGGAAGGAAGGCGGTTCCGGTAACCGATGGCATCTCTCCCAATAAAGCACAAAGAAGGCTTGTCTTGCCACTGTTGCGTTGACCAACAATCATTGATATTTTGCCACCAGGGAAGATCAAATCAGGAACGTGCAATACAAAAGGCAATAATAGTGATGATGATGAATGGCCATCGGCTGCTGTTGCTGTAGGTGTCACAACATGAGGAGGAGGAGTATTGTTGCCATGCTTATCATGATGGGCGGCGGGTTCTGTTGTTGCTGCTGCTGCTGCTGCTGAAGTGGCGGTAGTTGATTGCCATTGGAACATTCCCACTTTGAAACCAGCTTCAATTTGTTCGATATAAGGTCTAGCCGGTTGTCGATTTTGTTGTTCACAATACTGCTGTTGCTGATTATCCGGTGCGTGGCTAGAATCGGAATCAGAATCGCGCTTGTCACCAGAAGTCAAGAACGCGTTGATATGTCCCAAGCTGACCTTTGCGTCATTGTACGCCATCACCGCCTGTGGCATCACATTCAACGGGTCCCGAAGCATGCCAAACAACACAATGCTTACAAACGCAGTGCTATAAAGATCCATGTTAGGGATATAGCACCACACAAATTTTTATGCCTGGGTACTTGCCTTGGATCCAATCGATGATGTTCAACCAACGTGTACCAAGCAAACGATATCGTGGTAACAAAGACGGGAGTTGCAAACCAAATCAAAGTGAGGATGGTGTTTTGGGTGTAAAGCTTGATAAGCTTGACAAGTTCATCGTCACGCGCATTCTAAAAGATGATCATGAGTATCGCACCCGATGCCAATAAATGATATCATCCTTTACCGTAATGACTTGTTCCCATTTTCTTTCCCATGCCATGTACTTTGTCGCCTTGATGAATTCCAATAGCTCCTTTACTAATCGAATACGCCATGATTTGGCCTCTGATAACTGCTGCTGCACATTGACAAGCTTGCGGCTGATATAATGGGTGGATGGTAATGCGACAACCATAACAACGAGACCAGCGAGAAGAGCGTTGCCAAGGATGTAATACAAAAATGCGACGCCAGCAAAGATTTCCAAAGGACAAGTATAGAATATCTATGCATGAAACATGTTAGCATATGAAATCATGATCGTGTTCAGCAACTTACATGTAAATAAGATGCCAATTCAGCAAGACGTTCTGTATCATGGCTCATCAAGCTCGCTTGCTTTTGTTGAATATCATCTTCGATATCATCGTGCTCCATGTCAACGGCCCTCGCATTGGATCCACTCAGCTTCAAGGTGTGTGCATAAATCTCGGAATTGAGCATGTTGGTCATTGTAACGTGCCAACGACGTCCCCATAAGAGTGTTTGCGATGCCACCAAAGTACTGATCACATTGCAAATAAAGATGGTGGCACAATAAAGATAGCCTGTTTGTGGTGGATAGTCGTCAGGATTCTCAATATAGGTCAACAACTTGTAAAGGAAGAATGGATTCGAATAGTGTAATACAACAGCAGCGACAGCAGTGATGAATTGCAAGTGGATGGATTTGCGATTGGCTCGATAGATACGCATCATGAGGCTTTTGGAATCAAGCATGGATCGAAAATGGCGGTAGTTCTCTTGTGCGCGCTGTCGAAATGGTAAAGCCCATAATTGTTCACTATCCAATGGTTTTTTGAATCCTGCATACAAAAGGCTATTCATCCAGCTGAAAGTGACAGATGATAATGGTGATGCACTTGCTTCCAGGCTCAAGATACGTCCCTGATCATATAGACAAGATTAAAAAACCTTGATCCCTTCATCCCTTCATGGGTGTTGTTGACACTTACACTCCGTACCACGCGACCATCATGAAGCACAAGGATCCCATCTTCAGCATCATCGATATCCAATAATTCCCCTTGATCCAATTCACCGGGAGTTGTAGCACATATTAACCAAACTGTAATACAAATGGCAAGGTCGACGACAGCAAACGACTTTTCTGTTGTAGCTGAAATGATCCAATCATCGTCTGAATTGGTGACAAAATACGAAAAGGCACGAACGATAGCTGATGTCGAAGCAAGAGTGTAAAATACAAGGAAATGCGGGTTGTAAAGCGTGAATTTGGATGGTGATACTGGGTCGGCAGGTGTAGTGAATGATTTGATGACCAAGATGAGCATATAAAACTAGGAGCCATATATATAAGATATTTGAATCCCTGTTGTCGTGTTACTATGAAACTTACTCGGGGTATTAAAGCTATCCCAGGATCCACAACCTGATACAACGACGTGCCGCATTTGCTTGATCCCTGGCCACGTTCCAGAATAGCACTCTCTAAGCGCCAAGCAAAGAGAAACGCCCAGCAGCTTATCTCGAGAAGAATCAATACGAGCAACACCAAACTACGCCTAAGTAAAGCCGCATCCTTGGTCGTTGGTAATCGAAGGCAATAGGGATCTAAACGATGCCTTGCCGACCGCCAATTTTGATAGTGTCGATATATGTTGAACGCCAAAGAAAGCACCAGAAAAGTAAGCGGCATAACGGCGTCGAGCGATCTGCGACATTTTTGTGCAAGTGTCAGGAACAGCACTCGGCAATGTTGACAAACTCACGTCTCGCGGGTGCAAGGGTCGAGTCGCAGATTACGAGGATCGTACTACAAGACACAAGAGAAAAAAAGAGTAGAGGATCAGTTTCTTGATAGCTCCATGTCTCGTGTCAGGGTCGCATGGTGTGTGTGTATGAGAATGTCCATTACATTGGTATCCGCCGTACAGCCACAGAATTGCGAAGCGAATTTCATTAAAGGTCGTGACCCACTTGCAAGCAAATTAAAAGGAAGAAAAAGAGAAAGAGAGAGAGAAAGGTATGAGAGTGAAAGAGGGCAAAAGGAGGCAAGACACACAAAGGGTTGTTGCGGAGAACGACATGGCTACTTGTAACACTTGAAACGTTCCAACGACCCAATTCCATTTATTCGTGTGCCTGGTGTGGGTGGGGTGGCTGTGAGAGCACTCTGCTTATGAACAACAATGATCCATTGTCGTCATTCCGTGATCATTCTTATCCCTGATGTTCTTTTCTTGTGCTACCCTACCGTGGAATTCGGGACGCTATAAACCTCATGCAGCCATAACGACGAACGCGTTTCTTAGTGACATGCATGCGACTAATGCAGTTGTGTTTTGATCTGTTGGATCCACCATTCTCAGTGCCATCGTTTTTTCTCTTCTTCTTCTTCCCTTCTCTTTCGCACCTCCACCCCCCTTTTTTTTGTTGTTGCGATTCATTCTATGAAACGATGGCATCTTCTTCATCAGCAGATGATACTACTTTTCCACAAATGACTTCTCCCAATGGATGGCATATCAATGAAAACCATTATGAACATGACTCTACCAGCTGGTTGAGTAAAGACGGCCGTATTGCCATTGTCATTGTATTAGGTGCACTAGGTTTTATTCTCATCACTTGGTATATTGTTCGAAGCATCATTGGCATGCGAAGACGTTTACGACAAGAAAACGAAAAGCAATTACAAATGATACAGCAAATCACTTCAACAAAACCACCAGGTGATCTATATTATCCACATTCTCAAGTCAACCCACCAGCAGCTGTGAATGATGTATCCTATCCACCTCCTCCTCCCACAACATCGCACCATCCACCACCACCACCACCTCCACAGCCACAGCCACAGCTACAGCGGTATTGACATTAGTCCACTGATGTACTTTATTTGTGTACACTACTACGCCATCAACCTAATTTGCTTGGTAGCACATGGATCACCATCATAGCTAATCAAGTGCTTCAAAATAAACCTTTGTCTACTATTGTTATCACTTTTCTTCTTGTCTTTGCTTACAAAAGTACGATCATGGTGCTGGTAAAGTAGCGCATAAAGGGTAGCCTAACAATGACAAGTCGTTTCTGCAACGGGGATACGGAGCAATAAGTGGGCGATGATATGAAAGGACACCGCATTTACATAGCAATGTGCATGGCAATAGGCTGACGTTTTGAAGGATGTTGCCACCTGTCCTAATTTGGATACTGTTGCCGATTTATGCATGACACTCATACTTGATCATGGTGTGGCATCCCACCAATCTTCGACTCCTGGGCCATTTTACCAGCTCATGAGTCACTTTGCCAGCCTGTGAACCGTTTAAACAGCACATGCTCTATGACGTACAAAGGTTTTCTCTCCTTTTGCATGCAAAGATTTTCATACGCTTACCATGAATATAAAAAGAAGATGCTATCATCATATCTTTTGATGGATGACATTGCCAAAACCCAAGTTTATGTAGGTACTTGTTGCGGTTGAAATGAAGCCTATGGAGGAGAGCTGATGATGATCTTTGTTGTGGTCTTTCATTGTTTGCGTTCTTCATCATTGTGATATGGGAAGGGGGTACATAATCAATCCAGGTAATCATGTAATGTGAAGCTTGTCGTAGCTACATAGTAGCTGCTATGATGGAGTGCGTTTGATATCGACATTGGCGTAACGCCTTTGACAAGATGTACATGCTAACAAAGCCCGATAATTCATTCAGCGTCATCTTTGTTCTTCTTAGTCCGCTTCAACGATGCAATATTTGTATTCGATTCGATAACAGCTTTTATGGCCAATAACACTATAGACCTAGGATAACTATAAGGGCATCGTATACCTCTGCAACCCAAGATACGACTACTGGTATAACGCCATCTATAAAAAAGATCTGAGAATACACCTTTCATTGTAGACTTGAGATACCAATAGCACGATCAATAATGCGGAAAGCTACTAGTATGAAGCACAGCATCTCGTGCCTCAACATGCAGATAATAAAGGGAGTGGATGAGACAATGGCAACATTACTCATTTTATGGCTTTATTCACTTTGACACCTTGGATCTGGTAATCGTGGACGACCAAAAGTGTTGAATTATCCGATTTACTAATTTGTTATCGGTCTAATTAGGAACAAGAAGGGATGCTTGTATCAAAGGTAGCTAGCTGATCTTCTCCGGTTCCTGTGATTTTTGCATAAGAGAGGCCGATAGTGGGGCGCGCACGGTCATAAAGAAAGAAAGCATGGCATTGGGTATGTTTCTAGTAGAAACCGACGTAATGATATGATTTCAAGGAACAGAAAAGGGACCTATAAAAGCGTACTGTATATAAAATGACAGGAAAAAACAATGACTTTAATAAAGAAAAAAGGGTGTTTGTGCAAAGAAAGAAAGTTGCATCCCAAATTTTGTTGGTGAGAGTGAGTGCTGGTGCTGCTGCTGCGTCTCTTTCCTTCTTTCCTTTCTCCTCCGCTGCTCTCCGTTTTCCCCAACTGTGCGTTACCCACCCATCACCCTTCTCAATGACCGTTGCTGAGGGGTTTAGTGAGCACGACAATGTCGAAATGGCGATTGCTGCACCTCCTCGTTCTTATACGGCCACACCTTTAAAGGGCATTTCACCTTTCGAACATGGTCATGCAACTCCAGAGCCAGTTTCATTTGCTGTCCCCAACGACTTTTCAGACGCCTCAGTACAAAAAGGACTCAAAAGCAACTCGTGGTTCACTTCGGCAAGTTCTTTCGGTAGCGAGAAAACAGTGCGTCGAATAGCGTCTGCACCCAACGCCAAACTATTGAATATGACCAAACAACAGCAGCAACAACAACAAGGCAGCTTCCACAGCCTCCGATTACATTCAACAGGAGCCACCAGTGCTAACGGATCCGTCATATCAGTGCCAGCATTGGAACGACTCAGATCATGCCGCCGTACGTATTCGAGTAGCAGCATCAAGGTGAAAAAGGTCGAAGTCGGGCCCTCTAGTTTCACAAAGATTCGCATGCTAGGAAAGGGTGATGTGGGTAAAGTTTACATGGTGCGACAAAAGGGATCAGATCGGTTATATGCAATGAAAGGTAAAGGCTTATTACGTTAACAACAGCAACAACAAACGAACGAGGTCGATTGACGACGCTTCTTTGTATTTAGTATTATCCAAACGAGAAATGATCAAGCGCAACAAGATTAAACGAGCACTCGCAGAACAAGAAATCCTTTCAACAGCCAATCACCCTTTCATTGTGACCTTGTATCACTCTTTTCAAAGTCAAGATTATCTTTATTTCGTCATGGAATATTGTATGGGTGGTGAATTCTTCCGAGGTAAACTTGACGCCTTCACAAACACAAAATGACAGCCTATTTGACAAATGGATCGATAGCATTACAACTTCGTCCGGGCAAATGTTTGAATGAGGATGGTGCACGTTTCTATGCTGCCGAAGTCACTGCTGCTTTGGAATATTTACATCTGCAGGGCCACATTTACCGTGATCTTAAGCCTGAGAGTAAGTCGTTGTGTGTGTGTGTGTGTGTGTGTGTTTGTGTGTGAGAGAGGACAACCTACTAATGGCGCCCTGTGCATCTAATCTATTCCCTGTACAGATATTCTACTACACCAAAGTGGTCATATTATGCTGACGGACTTTGACCTAAGCAAGGGATCGCATCCTCCTGGCAAACCATGCGTCGTCAAGTCCAACTCACCTTATACGGTTGGTTTTTGAGTCTCTCTTTATCCTTTTCTATTCAGGCTATACTAACGACATGATTAACTTGTCAGCCACCTGCCATTGATACCAAAAGTTGTGTGAGCAATCTGAGAACCAACAGCTTTGTTGGCACCGAAGGTATGTATAGAAGCATCAACTTTCGCGCCCACCAAGAAAGAAAGAAAGCTAACCTTCACACGTTTTTAGAATATATTGCCCCTGAAGTGATCAAAGGTTGTGGTCATTCAAGTACTGTGGATTGGTGGACTTTGGGAATCCTTACATTTGAGATGCTGGTATGGATTGGGTTGTGGGGGGAGAGGACCTGCATCAGTGCATATATGTGTATGATGGGCGTTAATCTTTTTTTTCTTAATAGTATGGTACGACGCCATTCAAAGGATCCAATCGGAATGAGACGTTTTCAAAAATCATGCACTTTGATCCTGTCTTTCTCGAACAACCAGCGCCTTACAAGGTGACATTATCCAGCAACTGCAAAAGTTTTATCCGCAAGTTACTTGTCAAGGATGAGAATCGTCGTCTTGGATCACGTGCGGGTGCTTCTGACGTCAAGGCACATCCCTTTTTCAAAAACGTCAACTTTGCCTTGCTACGCAATTGTGTTCCTCCCATTATTCCACTGATACAAAAACCCAATGGTATCGATGCCATCAACTTTCGAAAGATGCCTCCCGAGAGTATGAGCTTGGATCTCGATTCTGATAATGTCATGGTAACCTATGGCAAGGGAGATGGTGATCCTTTTCGCAAATTTGATTCGAGTAAGTTACAATGATATGTGCATACACACGAAAATATCGAGTGACTCAATGGACACGTGCTGTAGTTACCGTTTATCATGAAGGCGATTCTGATTCGGAAATGGATTTGACAGGCCTTTGAGATTTGTCCTTTTTCGTTCTTGTTATTGTGATTTCCCTCTTCTCCCTCAAACACGCTCACACAAACTCTCTCCTCCTCCTCCTCCTTCCGACATTTACATCCGTTTGCAGCTTCTTTATATGATGTAGTCCATCACACACAATCACACACACATATATTACCCTGCTTCCTAATCTTCACCATCTCCTCCTCCTCCTACCACTCCCACTCCTATAATCTTTGCATTCTTACTCGAGCATGTTACTGTGTGGCGTGGCTCATGCTGTTTCTTTCCGTTGTACTTGTTAATCTTTATCCGTAGTTACCAGTCATAAGAAAAACCCATTATTTTATATATCCTTTTCATAAAACAAGCAACGCATCTTATTAGATAGTGGTATGGATGGTGGGATAACCATAACTTCCCTTCCAGATATTCACTTTATAGTTGCATAATTACACGTTCATTATTCCTTGTATGTATTGCTATGTTTTACTATAGAGAATGGATCAAAGGAGTGGCGTGACAATGGTATTATTTGGATATGCGTTATGAATGGGATGTATTCATTGTCCGCTCAAAATGGCTAGTGCGATACACATACTACGTTCAGAGCTCGTACATGAGCTGATAAAATGGCCAGGGCGCCCATCCTCGGTCCCATTTTTGCAAAAGCTGCAACTTCAACGTCTTCAAAGAAGGTCTACTGTCTTGTTGGATGTAGTACGTAGACGCTGGAATCGTTTAAAAGTGACACAACAAAAAGCACCTCGTCGTTTTCAAGGCAATGGTGAGTGTATGGATTAGGGTAAAATGATCAAGAAAGCACCTTGATAATGTTTGAGGCAATACACCTGACGTTGTCTTTTTCACGTTCACCATGCATTTTCCCCACACTACTAGTTGGTTTTAGTTCTCGGAGCATGCCATTGCTGTGTCACCCGAAAAAATCCACAACGATTTCCCCACAATGCTGGCATAGAAAGAGTACCGCCCTGATGTTCACAACTTTCGACTAGAGACATTTCTTACCATTGTATCAGTGAAGTGAAATGTTGTACACGCAACACGTTTATTAAGAGTATTTGAAAAAGAGATGGGCTGATTGATAATGATCCAACATATGAGGTCATCCTTGATCCAAAGCAACGATCATGTAGTTGAACCAGGTGAACAAAAAGATGATGCAATACAATATCAAAGACTGCTACTAAACCAGATAGTTTTGTATGTGTGGACGTGACAAGGTGGTTGTTCCAATTCGGGTGCAAACGGACTTAATCACATGCTGGGATTAGACATGTTAAATGCGTCCGCCCGGGCTATTCGGCATCCTGACTCACCACATCACCCTTTTTCTTTCTTTCGTTTGCCCTTCTTTGTATATACATGTTCATTCCCTTCCGCCATGTTCCAAATTACTCCACAACTCTTCGAGAAAATTAAACACTTTGCAAGGTTCCCTCAAACGGGCGTGTCTTTACGGCAAATGGTCATGTTTGGTAATGCATTTCCCTCGCTGCGTGGTGTGTGTGTGCTCCATGGTGAACACGTTGCTAATCTCCCGAGGTAATTTCCAGGTCAACGGCCGTCTCCAGGAACCTTGTTTAAAGCAAGCCAGTTCTTGCATGGTAAGTGTGTTCTATATGCATTAAAAGGGCGGGCTACGTGCACAGGGATGAAGATCACATGGGTTACAAACACAAAGCATAATCTTATATAGAGGAATTACCTATTCGCCTTGCTCATCGCGTGAAGGAATTGGAAGAGCTGCCACGTGGATTGAACAAGATGCCATCGATTCTGAAGGTCAAGGATTGGTACGCAAATTCATTCAAGGTAATCATCATCATCATCATTGGGATGGATTTCGTGTGATTGACAAAGCATGCGTGATCTAGGATTTGATCGATTTGCCTCATCCACAACTTTCGCGAGACACCAAAGAGCAATTGAAAAGAGTACAAAAGAGCAATGATGCACGATCCCTCCCACCCAGTGTTCCGAATCCATCTCTCAAACCATTACCCGCTTTCAACAACACAATCCATCCTGGTGTTCCGATTGGTCACAGGTATTTACCGGGAAAATGGCGAGGTTTTTCTTGTAGTATCTTATGCAAGGAAATGGGGTTTTAGATATTACAACAATATGGAGGAAGTGAAGTGTACACCCGAGATGCTCGATTATACAGAGACCTTTGTACGTACCATTGAAGCCATCAAACGAAGACACGACCCTGTGGTGACGACTGTTGGTAAGCTCGCATGATCTATGGGGTATCATCATTATCATCATTCATCTGACTTGGGGGTGGTATATCAAAGCTCAGGGCATCTTGGAATACAAGGAACAAAAGAAATCACCCATCATTGATACGGATGTGCAAGCTTTCCTCGATCGGTTCTACATGTCACGTATTGGTATTCGTATGCTTATTGGACAACATTCGGCATTATACCGCCTTCCCTCTCGGAAAGATTATGTCGGCGTCATTTGCACCAATACCAACATTCAGGAGATTGCGCTCGATGCGGTTGCCAATGCAAGGTTTATTTGTGAAGAGTACTATGGTCTTTTTAAGGCTCCTGAAGTACAAATGTTTTGCCCTGGAGAAATCGAATTCATGTATGTCCCATCTCATCTGAATCATATGCTCTTTGAGCTACTCAAGAATTCCTTGCGTGCCGTTGTGGAACGTTTTGGCATGGATTACGAAGACGAATATCCTCCCATCAAGCTAATCATTGCTCATGGCAAAGAGGTAGGTCATGGTTCTATGAAGAGGAGGATGAAGGAGATCGGTCTTTATTGATAACATGGTAAACAGGACATCACAATCAAAATCTCGGATGAAGGCGGTGGTATTCCTCGCTCTGGTATCCCTTTGGTGTGGACGTATATGGTAAGCCAAGGTGACTATTATGCAACCTTATCTGACCTTTTTATTTTAGTATACTACCGCTGAAGCACAAGAACTTGAACCCGAATACAGTCGATCCGATTTCAGAGCACCTATGGCAGGCTTTGGTTATGGCCTACCCATTTCTCGATTGGTAAGGATCCTTACATTTGCATATAGATGGGAAGGACGCTGACATATGTGTATATAGTACGCACGTTATTTTGGTGGTGATCTCAAGCTGATATCCATGGAAGGGTAAGTGATGATGATAATGGATGAGGGATACGAGGTTTGCGAGAAAGCTTATATTGTTTTGGATTCTAGTTACGGCACGGACGCATACCTTCATCTCAATCGCCTGTCAAATAGTGACGAACCTCTCATGTAACAGTCGTTTCAATACCATGTAGTTTAACTAATAAAATCAAGAAACTAGATACATGTTTGTTTTTCTGTGTACTTGTAGATTTGAAGGAAAAGATCCACTCAGCTTCACCTCTGGCTCTCTCCTCCTAAATCACATGCCAATAATGGAACCTGGCAGCGGCTGGAAACGCACAAGGTTTGGTCATTTACTGGCATCCATCAAGACATACTTTACCCGCAAATACACCTAATTTATAGATCACACGCACGCACGCCCCTCCTCCTCCTCCTCCTCCTTGTAATTTATCTTCCCCCGATAGAAAAAAAAGTAGACGACACAAAGTTTATAAAGCACTTTTTGCAACAACCGTTAAAGGAACAAGACCTTAGGTCTTTGAGTCATATTGGCTGCTACAGGAAAATAACAAAGGGAGAGCAAGACAAACAATCGGAAGAGCGCACATACCGAAAGGACGTAAAGGGATGTTTGATATATATGTATACACACACATGCACGCGCAAAGTGAAGCATTAAGTAGGCAAGGAGACCACACGTGTGATTATTCTTTCTCTTTTTCTTGTTTTTCATTCATTCACAATGACCAAGAGCAAAAACGTGAACCTCAACTTCAAAAAGACCATCCAAATCAGTGACGCTCTTAAAGCCAACGATGTCTCTATGATTAAACAGCTGGGTCGATCACCTGGTGGATTTCTCAACAATGACATTCGATGCAAGGTTTGGTACGTCTTTGTCGTCCTTTTCTTTGTTTCAGCCGTTGATTCATTATTGTACATGCGAATGGTAGGCCAAAGCTACTTTTATCGTCTACGACCGTTGAAAAGGCCACACACGTTTCTGGTAACGAGTTTTTTTTGTGTTACGCGCGATCCAATCCATGCACCCTCTTACATGATGCATTTGCATGTACACACACGCTGGCGTTTTTCTGATAGAACGATCAAATTTTGGTGCAAAGGAGGATGAGGATGACATGTTTCCAGAACAGAGTGAGAAAAACAGGAATCAAGCGCATGGTGTCACAACAGAACCGGACGTATACAAATGCGCAATGATGGATCCAAACATGAGAGATTCTACAACCACCACCACTGCTGCTGCTGTTACTAGAAAAGACTCGGGCCCTAAATATCAGGTAGACTTTGCATACATAAAAGGAGAAAGAAAAAGATGCCCAGGGTAAAAAAAAAGAGAAGGGGGTGTGAGCTCTCCCCATATCTTAGGATCCTTGAGGATGGGTGTGTGAGTGTGTACATATGCAGTTGCAGCTAATTTCCCTACTTTGCGTCCTCAGGGCTGTCTCGATGACATTACTCCGGTGTTTGACCTACTTTTTGGTGAGGGGAGCTCCTATCTAATGACCATGGTGCGACAAAAGTATACAAAATATCCTTTTTAAAAAGAAACCCACTCCATGCATATGCTATAAACATATCATCCTTGATTCAATGACCCTTACAGTTAAGAAAGAGGTTACACAGCAAATGGCATTGATCGACAATTTGATCCAACATCGTCAGCCTGCAGCAAATAACAAGCACATGACTCAGTAAGCATCCTTCACACACCTATCATCATGATTTTAACCCATGGAATCCTATCCAGATTATTCTCAGAGCATTGTGTGCGTTCTGCCATGCGATGGTTTATTGACATGGAGAACATCGCCAACACGCTTCGATTGTTTGATCTATTTTTATCATATGACCATCCATGGATGCCATTCTACTTTGCAGCTGCACTTGCCATGGCTCAACATACACCACGGGATATCATTTCTACCCAAGAGCTTGAAACATTGATAAATAAGGCTATAGAATTAGAGCACGGACATAACACGGTTGTCGATCATTCAAGGATAGATATTTCAAGAGTACTTTATGATCCTACTTTGATGGTAGTAGCCAGCATGGCACTACTTGCTATGGTGCCATCAGGAATGAGCACATTAAGGTACGTCATAGACATAGCCTTTAAAAGCACACTAAACATGAAAACCCATCGTCATCTAGTGATCTATCATCCAAAGTATTCTCTTCCTTTTTCATATAAACCATGCACGAGTAGAAAGATGAAATGATCTGTATTAAGTTGAATGTGTGGGATAGTGGGTATGATAATGGACATACAACAAGTGGGTACATTGAAATGGGTGGTGCTATTATGCTGGAAGGCGTCTCAAAATGAAAGAGGGCGGGCGTGGTGGTGTACGCAGCAGCAGCGCCTTGTTCACTTTTGCCGGTGTAGCTTTTACCGAACCTTGCTTCCTTGCTTCCTTCCTTCCTCCATTCGACCCGGTGCACGTACCATTGACACCCTTAAAATACTCGCACTATGGCAGATTCAACACAAGAGCAACGTACTGCTGGTTCGGGCAATCCCCAGGAACAAGCCATGACGGACGAAGTGCTTGCCACCATCATGTCGACCGACCACCAACAACCAACCGCTTTACAAACATTGGCTTCCCAACTTGTCACTTTGAAAGAGACGCAATTACGAGCCTATACGAGCGCCAATGTCGATCCATTAACCAGTCTCGATCCCTCTGTTCACACTCTCGGCTATCTATTCTTTGTGTATGTATCTATATGCATTGATATCAACGCGTGGGCGCACGCGTGTGTGTATACGTACCAACCAACTCTCTATGCTATTTAGAACGGCAAGGTGTCTAGGCGTGGATCGGGCAGACCAAGCCCAGTTTTACGTGAATACCATGGATCATTTCGTCAATGTATGTGATCCACAACAACTTGCATATGCACCAGCACGAAGTAAGTCAATCAACGGGATGGATGCATGACGTGTATATATATACATCATTGCTAAATTCATACCAGCATCGCTTATTGCCAAATCCTTGGAACATCTTGCCAAGATCAGCAACAATGTAAGTGATAAAGAAGAGATTCGAACGGGATGTTCATCATGAACCATATATAGCACATGATTGCTCTTGAGCCATTATCAATCGCTATTTCCAAGTTGTCACCCAATCATGATAGCCTGACTTGCTTGCATGCCACATTTGCAAAGGTATAACACAAGGAAGTACAAAATGAGAGTGATATGGATAGCTAACGGGTGTCTCTATGATAGGAATGCCTACTCGCAAAGATGTATCGTTATCCTCTACCCATTCTAGATACTGATATTGTCAATGTGGATCCTCAGGTAAATAGTTTTTCACATTGTGCGCATTCGAGCATAGCACTCACTTTGCTGTTGCATTTAGTCCCATGATATTTCCATCAAAAGCTTCTTACTCTACCATTACTATGGTGCCATGATCTACATTGGAAACAAAAACTTTGAACGTGCCATTGAGTTCCTTGTATTGGTAAATAGCATGCGGTCTGGAATGGGGCTAGGTGAAGATATGACCGTGTCACATTAACCCAACTTTGGCTCAATAGACGATATCAGCTCCCTCACATGCAGTGAGTGCCATCCAAATAGAGGCCTACAAGAAGTTTATTCTGACGTCTCTGATACATTATGGCTATGTAAGTATGTGGTGACGATGGCTGTAAAAGGAGGAAAACTCATGCATGCTTTTTCATTGGCAGATTCCCCCGCTTCCAAAATACACCTACCACATGATTGAAAAGACGTTCAAGGCAAAACATCAACCCTATATGAGTATCGTCGATGCGTTCGAGTCTAAAGGCGTGGAGCGATTCAAATCAGTGATCGAAACCAACCGAGAAGTGCTTAATGCGGTATGTGGATGGGATGATAAGAAATAGTAGTATACTTATTTGAAATCACAGGATGCCAACATGGGGTTGGCCAAGCAATGTTTACAAGCGTTGAGCCGAGAAACGATCAAGCGACTTACCAACGTCTATGTCACACTCAGCTTGCGAGAGATGGCTACCATGCTAGAACCTATTGAAGGGGATCGCCCATATACCGAGCATGATGTCGAGCGCTTGCTTGTGGAAATGGTATGGTTTTTGATTTCCTTCTATTGATATTTGACTCACTCAATGATATATGTGTAGATTGAAAAGGAACAAATTCATGCAAAGTTGTCGATTACACAAGGAGAGCATGGGGAGCAAATCAAGATGGTCAACTTTGAGGAGGAACAAGTCCAAGACACTGCTGAAACCACGAATGATCTTGAGAAACGCATCTTTGATGCTGCTGCTGTTGGCAAACAAATCTCTATCATGGACAAGGCTGAAGGATTGACCAAGGATTTCCAAACAAAGGTAAGGAAAACGCGTCAAAAAGTTGAATGAGAGAAACTGACGCGTGCGTTGTCAATAGTATATGAATATTAGTATGCATGGAGGTGAACCTTTTGGAGGACCTGTAGGATTTGATGAAGAAATGGAAGTGCCTTTGGATGAGGATTGATGAGAAATACATGCTTTGCTTTTCATTGTGGATGACTCATAAACAAGTGTGACAATGCTTGGCAAGGGGGAGTGAGACATTCAGGAAGGGGTTTACTATATTTTACACTACTGAGAGGCGGCGAAATGATCGGGATGGCAAAGGGAATGACACGCTATCAATGCATATTATTGGCGCCGTATCGGGCTGTACCGCTGCTGCGGCGGGTCAAAGCCGGGAAGCCGATATCATTAGCGATGTTGTTGATTCATTATGAGGTATCCATGGCAACAAAAGAAACACTTTGCAACAAGAGGATTGTGGTACATGGATGGTCTATCTATCATGACGACGCATTATTCATTGATTGGGGTTATGGGTAAAACGCAATAATAGCCGAGGTGGTGTGAGGAAAAAAAAAGTTGTTATCATCAAGCTGATTGATTGGTTGATACGCTTATAGACCCAATGCGGCATATCATTTGTTGCAATTCCAAGTAGACCGATCTCACACCTTCTTTCCTTTTCTTTCTTTTTCCCAAGTTTCAACTACTCTTACGAATATGCGTCAACGCTCATCTACTTTCCTCAATGGCGATCGTCAAAGTTCATGTAGTGAACATGACGTAAGTCTATTCTTTATGCATTTTAAACTTTTTTCATATCTTTTTTGACATACTCCTCCTCATACATACCAAAAGCAGCAAACGACAACCAGCCGGAGAAGAGTAAGCTTCGATCTGTCACACAACGTGGTCCATATTCTACCCACCCTAGAAGAGTGCCGCAAAGAAGCATCACGTCGTGGTCATGAACAATGGGAACGAAAACAACTAAGTCAAGAGATGCTCAACGACATGATCATTGCTGAAATCCAGCAAGAGTGTACTCGGTCCATGGCTGAGGAGACATCATCAGAGGAAGAGGTACAACATCAATCACTCAAAAGTTGTTTGAAGCGACCGCCACCACCTTCTTCTTCTACTCAAGCTTCATCACCGCATCATCATTCCCACAAGAAGAATAAGAAAAAGAGCAAAAGGAGTACCAAGCGAACCAGTAAACATCATGGCTGCAACACGGAAGCACGGGGTATATATCCGTTTATTACATATCGTTGTTGAAATGGTGTTGCTTATTTCATTTTCATGGCAGGTCAATCGTTTTTACCGTCACCCAACATGGCTATGTGTTAAAAAAGAACACCTCTCTCCCACCCTCACCTCCTCTTGGTCTCGACTTTTGGACGCGCGCTTATGTATGTAATGTAACAATATTCCCTAACAACCGATCGGTAGTATAACCCGTGAGCGTCCAAACCGCTTAGTTTTTGAATTTATATAAATGTTTGTGAATCAACCCTTGTACCATAATTGTTGAATGGGATTGCCATGTTGTATACGCAAACGCACGCGTGAGTGCGTGAGTGTGTGTGTGTATGTCAACTACAAGAAAGATGACATTGAGATGCATGTTGTTGCTTACGCTTGCATGGAAATGTTGCTGCGTGGTAGGCCGTGAGAATGACAAATGGAACGATGGGTCCATTTTGATACCTACAACATGACAATAGGAGATCGATTATGGATCTTTCATCAAGCAGGTTGATAAATGTTGATCGTTTTTCATTACGAAAAGGAGTTTGGAAATGATCCCATTGGTAAGAAACAAGCTTATCTGATATGGATGCGTTTTTCCATGACCTTGCCTTTTACATCTCGAGCAACTTGACACCACCCATGCAACGTCAATGACTAATTTCAATATTATCTTGCTGTTTCCCCCTTTTTTCTCGTAAATGACAATTCAATCATGCATGCTCGGTGGTAGTGATGGTGGTGGTGGGTATCACCTTATGTTTTTCTTCACATGTAAAGGCTCCCAAGTTGTAAAAAGTACCCTGATGGATCCATGGTTCTGGGACATAGGCATATGGGATGATAAGAAAATGCTAAGGATGATGAATTGGAGATCATGACAGAATAAGAGATCAAGGCCGAAACCTTTATATGAGAGTGGGTTCTCGAGTGGGATGGACCGAGAGGGGTAAACCATGTACCCATCACACTGACACACACCACAATCTCTCCTTGCTCAATGAGGTTTAGTGCCTTCTCGATTCAAGGTATGTTTATGCTGTGAGAGGGATAATCCTTCTACCATAACAAATCTCGAGCCACCTTTTTTTTTGCAATCCAGGCATGTCGAGCAGCTATACGAATACAGCAAAGCAGGTACAACAACTCATTGCATGATTTCTGTATACCTACGTACAGGAGCTATTTGCTACTCAAACTCCCCTTTTTAGCGACACACAGACCGCAAAGGATGTCATCCGTGTGGAGGACTAGCAAAAATAAACGGACCTCTCAGCAATGAAAGGAGCTGGAGATTGGGGGTAATCATCCACTTGTCCATGATGCTGCTCCTTCAACAAATCCTTATGGTGTCTCCTTTTGAGCTCCATTCAAGACAAGGAGGGAGGATAAAGAACCAAGATGTCGATTTGGTAGTAGTACACGAAAAAGGCAATGGGCCACTTGTGGAAGAGGCCGTGTAACACATGTTTCCCAGGTTACTGCCAGCCGGTTATGCAAGGTTGTATATGGCAGCTTTGTATTGGATCACTTTTAAAAGAGAAAGAAAATATGGACAAGGGGAACAAGGGGTGAGATTGAAGCGGGTGAAGATTCTGCTACAGATTTTGTACCTGAGAGCGAGGAGGAGGAGGTAGTAGTAGCAAGAGAGAGAGCAAGTGTACAAGCAAGGATGGTGTATTGAGTCTAATAATACTGCAGCCATCGGTTACTCAATGAAGCCAATGTCAACGAGTAAAAGTGATCGGTTTTTTGCCAATGTCAATTGGATACTCCCTACCCAGATATATATGCCCAGACACACTTTTACACCATTGGTACGTAGCGCGCATATATATATACTACAACCCCACTTGATTTCCTTTGGATCACCTTTTTCCATCTTCAAACTTTACTTTTTTTTCCATATGCTTGAGCAGGTGAGAATGTTATACAGAAACAACAACATCAACTCACACGCTTTCTTTTGTTTCTTCTTCTCCACTTTACTTTTTCCTTTTGCTCCATTATCAATCGATGCAGCAATCACCGCCCGTTTTTACCAGTAGTCCTCGGGACAACAACCAGGTAAAAGCATGATCCATGTTACTTTTGTTGTTGCATGGCAACTCACATCCAAATGTAAAAAAAAAAGTCTTTTCGCTTTCCACCTGCTCCCATCAATGATACACCTCTGTCGTATGCAAGCCATGATGTAAACGACGACATGATGATAGACGACACACCCAACTGGTTGGGTGGACCTTTGACTGATGAAGTCTTATCACAATCACAAGATCAAAAAGATCAACAAAAGCATCATCATCAACGTCAAAGCAGCGCAATGGAAAGTATGCTATTTGATCAAGAACGCGAAAAAATGATGCAATACGAGGCAATGATGCCTTATCGTCGACATTCGCTTGCACATCATGAATCACTCCTGCAGCACAAGACATCCACTACAGCAACATCATCGCTACTCTCGTCCTCTGGAGGACCATGGTTAAGCGAAAAACGAGCATCCTTCTCTTCAGCTGCATCCTTTTCAAGCCAAATTGATCCATTTGGTGTATGGTCACCTAAAAAGATGCCTTCCTTGTGGGAATCAAACACGAGTAACAACAACAACAACAACAACAACTATTCAACTTCCCCTGCCCCTACCTCGTCATCATCATCATGCTCCCCTCCTTCCCCACCAGGCATAGTATCATCACCATCATCATCCCTATTCCAACAACCACCATCATCATCACAATTCTCGCAGTATCGTTTTCCACTTGGTGGTGGTGGTATGGATCATTGTGCTCCACCTTCAGCTGATATGCGATTGGGTCGTCGTTTGTCATTAGCACCACCCAATACGACCACACCGAATCAGGACATGATGCATTATGCAAAGTCGCGTGACATGCTTTCAAGGTAATACAAGTATAATGCTGAGCCGAAAAAATGGGTTCATGGTGTTGATACGTGTCCATTAGTGTACCTGAAGAACCCGGCTTGTTGCCATACCGACGCCATTCATTAGCTGGACCGTTGTTGGGTGTGTCTCGTAACTTGGATGAGCAACGACAACAGCAACGGCAGCTAGATAAGTTTTTGCCAAGCAATTTATTGACATCGGATACGATTATGGAAGGTGAAGCCACCACTGTTGGGCATCATCATCATCAACAAGGTGATATGTGGTGCATGGTTGAATTCAAAGCCGGTCGATCCGAGATCTACTGCAGCTCGATTCCAGTGGAAAAAGATGATTGGGTCATTGTGGAAGCGGATCGTGGCCGTGATCTAGGCAAAGTGGTGGCTAGAGACCTACCAGTGGACCAAGTTGTGCTCTTGATGCAACAACAACAAGCTTCCTCTTGGGATCATTCTCAATCCGATAACACAAACAATGGTACAAACGCTCCACCATCCACGCCTAAACGTATCGTACGCCTTGCCAGTGCTGCCGAAATCACTTTGTTAGTGACCAAACGACAAGATGAGCAAAAGGCTCTTTTAATCTGCCAAACAAAAAGCAAACAAAAGAAACTCATGATGGATATCGTCGACGCTGAATACCAATGGTAGGGGAATTAGAGCCCAATGTATGCGTTGTACTCATTCTCTATCATAGGGATCGTCGCAAGTTGACATTTTACTTTGTTGCAGAGCGTCGTGTTGATTTCCGAGAATTAGTGCGAGACCTCTTCCGCATCTACAAAACACGCATATGGATGTAAGTCCTTTTTTTTTGTTTGTTTGCATCTCTCTTCCCTTCGCTCGCTCACACACACTCTTTCTCGTTTCTAGGTGCTCTGTCAATACCGTGGGTAAAAAACCTCCCATGTAGAAGTATTACACACTCACACACACGCACACAACAATACCCTAACACGATCGCAAAAAGAATCAAGTACATACTCATAGAAGGCCTTTTCTCTCCTTCCATACCTCGTTTCCATCACACACACAATAATCCTAATGCTTCCTTTCAACACCTCCCCTTCCTCCTCGCCTTTTTTTACTTACACATGTTAGACCACATTACTATTCTTCTTTGTCATGTGAGGTCTGTGTTTGTGTATCCAAGCACACACGCGTCGGTTGTACAGTGCCTCGCCCTTTTCCTTTTTTCTACTTAACAATAATGCAGATAAGAGTATACATCCTTTAACATTTTATTCATCGTATGGAAGAAAGGAGATATGGGATACATAGTAATTGGGGAATACGAGCATGTGGTAAAACCATTTGAAGGAGGGTTACCTTGGGGGATGGTGAAGAAGGGATGGGGAGAGGATGTACGATGCACTCGATCTCAAGGGGGGGGGAGGTGAGGATAAAAAGTAGCCTTATGCATCATGTCAAACCTTCGAGATTGTGTCATGTGACCCATTCTATGCCTACAAAGAGATCGTTCTTTGCAAACAAAGGAAGACCACCCTTTCAATAATGAAATGCACCCGAATTTCGGATAAACTTGGCCATCCCGCTGCTGAAACATTTTCGCTATCGTCTGCATTAAATTCAACATTCTTAGTGCAAGGGGAAAGACAAAGTGCTATTATGTATGCGACGAATGGGAAACATCATTCGATTTACTTTAATGAGATCTACCAGAGGAAAATGATAATAGAGGATGGGGGAGCCTTCCGAGGAATAGACATGCACATGTGCAATATAGGCTCTTATTCATGATGACAGAAAAACCCCGCGCAGTGCCCTGAGCTGGGCGAGCCGTACTACCACGTTCTCTTTTTCTTCTCCACACACACACACACACACACCTATCACTTTTTTGTCTCACTTCATTCCACCATGGCTGCACAGCTCTACAAGACTGCAAGTGGTCGACTCTTCCATGCCGGTGCAGTAGCCATCATTACAGTTGGGTAATGCGACAAAAGAACACAACGTGTCGATAACAGATTGAGCTCATGTGCTGCATTGGTATATGTAGTCTACCTGCTCGTGGCAAAACACATGTCTCCCGATCATTGTGTCGCTATTTGCGTTGGCTTGGTGTTCCTACTCGGGTATTCAGTGTTGGCAACTATCGTCGAGAACGTATGGGTTCTATTCCCAACGACTGGTTTGATCCCAGTAAGTACAAGAGGGTTCATCATCATCATGACACGACACAAAAGGCTGATAATAGCAACACGATAGGCAACATTGACGCTATCAATGCAAGAGAAAAGATTGCTGAAGATTGCTTGGATGATATGATCAATTGGCTTCATGATGGCGGTCAAGTGGGTATCTACGACGGCAACAATGTCACCGAAGCGAGGCGACGAGAGATCCGCGATAAGCTTTTATCACACGATATTACTGTAAGCAGTTACATCATCATGACGATGGCAACAACGCTCATTGACTTTTTTATTTCTCTCTCTCTCTTTTATTAGCCTCTCTTTATTGGTAAGTGTCCGGATACATAAGGATTTTGGAAAAAGGATGGGCATTTATGGAGGTCGTATGTAGAGTCAATATGTACGAAACCAGAGATCGTGTATGCAAACATTCGCAGCGTCAAGATTTCATCGCCTGATGTAAGTGTGTGCAAGCGTATGTATATGGATGAGGACGCGGGGCTGATGATACGTGTTGTAGTATGTTGGATGGGATCCCGAAGAGGCTGTACAGGATTACAAGGTAAGTGAAAAAGTCATATCTTGGATATAGGAGCTTACGCATTCGACCTTTTTTTAGCATCGTATTGAACGACTCGAGCAACATTATGAGACCATTTCCGATACCTCGCTCCCCTTTGTCAAGCTTTTGAATGTTGGAGAGCAAATTATTATGAATGGCGTCATGGGTTACTTACAGGTAATGGATGTGTGTGTGTGTTCGCGGAATAAAAGGAAGGGCATTGGGCTAAACGAGATCATATTATATAGTCGCGAATCGTTTATTACCTTATGAATTTGCATATTCGGCCAAGAAAAATCTATTTTGCTCGGGTAAGTAGTGCTGATTCGATCCATGTTGGTATGTACAACAGCAACAACCTTGCTAATGTACACCACTATATTAGACGGGCCGAACCTTCAATGAAGCTACCGCTTACAAGGAAGATCCCGAACTTTCCCCTGAAGGCTTTGAGTATGCTGAGAAGCTGAAAAACTTTGTGATGGCCTATCGTGCACAAAATTCCACACCTGAGGACAAAGATCGACCTTTGACTGTAAGTGTATCAAGGTGCCACAAGAATGTTGCATGATGTTGAATTCGGAGGAGGATCACATGGCTTACCCCTGTACATCATCCTTTGCAGGTGTGGACTTCGACGCGTAGAAAAGCAAGACAAACAGCTGAACCCTTTTTGGAATCCGGCATTGCTGTGCGACACCATTCGGTATTGACTCAATTAAACCCAGGCGAAGTTGATGGAATGACACCTGCACAGATCAAGGTACATAGGAAAAGGGTGACTTTTTACGATTGTTGGCTGATGATGATGATGACGTTGTATAGGAAAAGTTCCCAGAGGAAGTAAAACGAGCCCGCCAAGACCCTTACCGACATCGATTCCCACGTGCTGAGGTAAGTGATCGAGTAGTATGTATGAGGATAACGTGCTTTTCAGCTAATGGTATCATTCCTATGTAGTCGTACCATGATTTGGCTGTGCGGCTCGAAGCAATCATTATGGAACTTGAACGCGAGAAGCATGATGTACTCATTATCGGTCACGAAACAGTATTAAAATGCTTGTATGCATATCTCTTTGATCGACCTGATTCTGTGAGTACTCTTTAACTCTGTTTATTCATCATCATACTAATAACATTGCCACTCTAGGATATCCCCACCATCTCTGTGCCTCGTAGCTTTTTGATTGAGATTACACCTTCCGCATACGGTTGCAAGGAAACACGTATGGAGATTACAGGATGACGACCTATAGATAGATAGATAGAAAGCCTTTGTATAATAAAAATGCGGCATTTGCAAATGTACATATCATGGGGGGGGGGCGGTGGCATGGATGCCATGGCAACACCACGGTAGTAAGTAGGCTATTCTCCGCATGACACAGAATAGGAAAACAAATAGGGTCAACCTACCACGCAAATTTTCGCAGCCTATCCTTTCCCACCTTTTGTTACTCTCTCTCACCTAATGCATCGTGCCACACGATTTTTGCACCAATCGGCTAGACGTGCCTATACAACCGAATCGACCGACAATGCGGCCAAGAAGCTTGCTGAGCAGGCTTTAGCAGCCAAGACAGGTGGTGGAAGAAGCAAGGCCACTTTGCCCAAAGGCGACAAGAAACCCGCTAAAGCCGCTGGTGAGAAGAAGGATCAATGGAAGAACTATGCTCTTGGTGCTGGTGCTGTCACTGGTCTTTCGCTTGGAAGTCTCTTTTATTATGGTAATGCTCGCTTCGTAAGCGCAACGAAACAACCAGATCACTAAAGTAGTGTCGATCGCTTTATAGGTCGCCCGTTCGAGGATGGTCGAGAAGACAAGGTATATAACAAAAACACATAGGATATGGGTGAGTCGATCTCAAGTTAACATGTCGTCATTGTAGTATGCGAATGAGAATCCTTTGACAGCAGCTTATCATCGTTGTTTCGATCGTTATACTGAATTCCAACAAGTATGTGTGTGTGTGCGTCATATCGCGTGTTCCATGTATACTAATTGAATATGGTGGATAGAAAATGCACGAACCCATGTGGGAAAACTTGCTTCCTGATCCACTTCCTGAACCATACAACCGCCCTTACACTTTGGTGATCAATTTGGATGATACCTTGGTGCATTCGACTTGGGATGTAAGTAGTGAATGGATCAATCCTATCACGTGATGTTATTGACCTTTTGGAATATATAGAGCAAGCATGGCTGGCGACATGCTAAGCGACCTGGTGTCGATTATTTCCTTGCTTACTTGTCGCAATTCTTTGAGATTGTCATCTTTACTTCTCAGACCTCCTTTGTAAGTTGGCATGTGTAGCTATGGGTATGGAAATACAGGTAGCTCATAAGATACATACGTATATAGAACGCACAACCCATTCTCGACTCGCTTGATCCCTATCAATATGCCATGTACAGATTGTATCGTGAAGCCACTCGTTACGTGGACGGCAAATATGTGAAGGATTTGAGCCATTTGAACCGTGATTTGAGCAAGGTGATCATTATGGATTCCAACCCTGATTCATTCTCGTTGCAACCTGAGAACGGTATCAAGTTGCGTCCTTTCAAGGGTGATGCCAAGGATATGGGCTTGCTCGAGTACATTCCTTTCTTGGAAGCCATCACTTACTTCGCTCCTCCTGACGTACGACCTATCATTAAGCGATTCGAAGGTGAAGACGTGCCTGCCAAGTGGGCCAAGATGGAACAGGAAATGAATGAGCAACATCGATTGCAGTGGGAAGCTGAGCAAAAGACAAAGCCAAAGATGCGTAATCTTGGATCACTTCTTGGTAGCGGTGGTGCTCAACCTGGTCAACAAGGTGATCAGCAAGGTCCTCCTCCTACAGGTCTTCAAATGGCTAGACAACAATTCCGTCAAATCTTCTCTCAGGAACACGCTCAAGTGCGACAACAACAGGATGAAATGATGAAGAAGGAAATTGAAGCTCAAAAGGCCAAGATGAAGGAAATGAAGATGACCGTATGGGATCTCATGACTCAGGCTACAAGTGTAAGTAACGGACATGAGGATATCGGATCTTAGTATTGACACACACACGCGCTTATTAGGGTCAACCTTTGATGCCACCACCTGACAACCAAGATCCCTCTCAACAACCACAACAACCCCAGCAATAAATTACGTACCCACTTTTCTTCGAAACAACTTGTATACACACACACGCACGCACGCACACGTACACACTCCCATCCACCCACCCACACAATATAGACTAATCATGGAAAACAATAAGATTGGTTTCTTTTGTATGCAAAAATATCATTTAAGGAATGGAGAGAAATCATACGCTATATACAAGGATGAGGTTGATTTTACTATTGTTGTTGTTGTTGTGGGTTGTTGTTTTTCTTTTGCTTCTTGTTTTTCTTCTTTTTGCGCTGTGATTCCCTAAGGACAATGGGTTCTCCCTCCGATGATGGTTCATTGCGTTTCTTGGTGTTACGTTCTTCAGAAGGTACATAGAGCATTTCTTCTTCTTGCTTTACTTCGGCGGCGACAGGTGTGCTAGATGTTGAAGCAATGGGTGTGCTGGTGGTGGGCTTTTCCTCAACAGGTTCTTGCTTGACAGCAGCAGGAGTAGGGGTAGCAACCTTGACCTTGAGACCTTCAAATGGCAACGTCAACTTGAGTGTGGATCGGATACGTTCAGCAATAGCTCTATCCTTCTCATCTTCATCAATGTCATTGATACTCGCTACACCAAACAAGGTCGATGTGGGCTTGGACAATTGACTTGCTTGTTGCAAACGTGCTTCTTGCACTTTGACAACATCAAACACGGATGGATCAAGATTGCGTTCCAATGGCTTTTGGCTCTTTTTGTTGACAGATTTTGAAGAGCTGGTAGGTGTAGTAGCGGTGGCGGCGTCCGAGATCGCTTGTGCTGTTGTTGCTGAGGGTGAAGAGGACGCTGTTGTTGAGTTGCCGAAAAGCACATCCATTTTAGCACGTTGGACCAAGAGACCAATGGCTTGTGCATTCATGCGGACAAGAGGTGGGCATGGATTACAGCAACCAATGACGCTTGCAGATTCTGTAGGCATACGTTCAACCAGGGCGAATAACATGTGATTGGGAAGGACATAGTTGGTCGATTCATCTTCTTGACGTGCTGTCACATCTCGCCATTGATGGATGGCCTTGTACACTGCCAATTGTTGCTCCGTCATGGGATGCTTCCACTTGATCAACAATCCTTTCCATCCCATAGGTCCGCTACCCGTCTCAGCATCATAAACAATCTTCTCGTATCGGGTGGCTGCCAATGCATTCGACCGTTGTAATGCCGCTCGTAACAAGTTAAAGTTGGCAACGGATCGTCCAATCAGCTCATTGCGAACACAGTCGTAAATATATAGCAAATAATGTGTATCGGATCGTGCATACTTTAGCATCTCCTCTGGCAATGGTCTATGTATGTATGTATGATTAGTACAATGTTCATAGTACACAATAAAATCTTTCTCCTTCCATACCTTATTCTCCAATCAGCCAACTGATATTTCTTGTCAGCATCCACCGAACAATACTTTTTCAATAAGAAAGCAAGGCTGTGTTGGGGAAACTCGAGCAACTTGGTGGCAAAATAGGTATCAAACATGTTGACAATGTAAAGACCAAAATCACGTTGAAGCCAATTGATATCACTTTCAGCACCGTGAAGAACCTACAAACGTGAGGATGATTAGGATCTTCGTTTGTTTCTCGACATGGTCTCATCACTCGAATCCCCTTACCTTGACAATGTTGGGATTTGCAAAGTATTCATTCAATTGCCATAGTCTGTCACGCAACACCAGGGTATCCACAATGTAATCTTGGTCACGTATACTGATCTGCATCAAACATGTGAAGCCCTGGTAACTTCGGTAATTGTGATGTTCCAAATCGATAGCGATTTCTCGAGCGGTAGCAAGATCCTTCATCATGTTTTCCAATTGCTCATCATTGTCCACCCAAATAGCTGATGTTGTGTCGAAAGGCTCGTACATGATGGGTTCCTTGTCCTCAAACATAAACTCGGGATATTCAAGATGCTCAATCTCGTATTCGTAAGGATGTGGTAAAGAGCGTGGTGTTTCATCCGACATCATCTCTGGAGTAACGCCATAATCGAGAGGAACCTTTGCATGGGGCTTCACTTTGATCTTGCGTATAAAAGGCGTCTTGTTGGAATTATCCACACGATCTTTGAATTGAAGTTGTGGACGTGCGATATTGTTGGCATGCAATAGCTTGTATTCAAGCTTGTTCTTGGTCGACACTTGGGTAACTTCGGGTGCATCTTGCTTGTGTTCATTCTCCACTTTACGTGTTCGACCACGCATTTCATCGAGATACATATCCTATAGACACATAGGTCAATAAGGATCATCATACACATACACATACACACCAAATACACATACCGCTTTCTCCAAGAGACCATCCACCACATCAATGACATTATTGAAACGGAACGTAGCATCATCCACATCATCCACAGCCATGAACTCGGCACCAGTATCACCACTGCAATGCTGCACCACGTTATTGGCCACCGTCAACAAGCGAGATCCACAGGTATCCAAATCCTTTGCAAACTGGCGATCAAGCGATCGATAGAAACCGAGATCGTCCGAAGGTAATGCGTTGGCTGCATTCGTAGCTGCCACCAATGACTTGAAGAGCGATTCCTGATATTCCTTGAACTGATCCTTGGGATCTGGAACCGATGTTGATGCCATTGCAATAAATAGTGTCGGTAAAGGAGAGGAAGAGTGTGCAAGTGACGGATCCGCAACTTAAAATTTCTCTCTCCACCTGCGGCCAACTTGGGCCCTGTGATTTTGCCCTTTGTCCATCCACACCCAATCCATTGTATTTGCATCCAACTAAATCAGTCATTGCCCTTATATGGAGGCGAAATGTTCATTGGTGACCAGCTTTAATAAGCAAAAGAGTAACTTATTATGCATTGTAAAGGTCTTTATGTTTCGAGGCATAGATAGTGGTTGGGTGAATAGATAATAGAAACAAGGACGAAGCGTAGTCTAAACAATTTAGGATAGGAAGCACACGCATCAAAACGAGATGGGGATTAGCCAACATAGATGATGATGATGATGATGGGATGACAAAAAGTATAAAGATGGCGAGAAAGAGGGAAGGAATTATTTCGTTTGGGTAACGGTTTGAAGAGCAGTGAAGATGGTTTGACGATCTTTGTTATTATCAGCACACAACTGATAGGAGCCATCCTTTTGCGTATCAAGCACAAACGCATTGGGCAAGAATGTCTCACGTTCCTGATCAATTCCACTCAAACGGGTTACACTCTTGAGATCAATCACAGTGACAGGTGTTTGTGCCTTGAAACCAACAACAACAACATAAACAGGTATAAGTCCTTGTTTCCTTTTTGTACAACGCATTACTACTTACAAGTTCATCGCGGTACAAGACCAAACTTTTGCCACGGATTTCAAGGTATCGACGTCGCCAAAACTATCCCATAAAAGTACGTAAGATGATGGAGTCATTGTAGCAAAGGGGTTGTACTTACTGGGCTAGTGCTTGGTTGAATAGAAGCATATCCTACAAGCAATACCTAAGAGTAGTAGATTCAATAAGCCGTTCCCTTAGTAAAATCGTACACACACACACATACATCCTTGTTTTTCTCAGCCTCCTGCATTCGACGTTGCATTGCTTGTTGCTCCTCACGTTGACGCTTTTCAGCTTCGGCCTTCTTTTTCTTTTCCTCTTCTTGAGCCTTGAGGGCTTGTTGACGCTTCAATTCTTCTTGTTCACGTTGTTTCTTTGCTCGAGCTTCTTGCTCAGCACGGGCTTGAGCCTCTTGTTCAGCACGTTTTGTACGTTCCTCTTCCTCCACACGAGCACGTTCACGTGCTGCTGCAATGGCTGCTTGTTTCTTTTCATCTTCCTGTTGTTGACGTGATGCATCCACCACTTGTGATGATGTCTTGTTTTCTTCCTGCTGTTGTTGTTGATATTGTTCGGATGATGATGTTGGAGCAGTAGGTGTCACAGGAGACGTTGGGAATTCATCACTTGCTTCCACAAAAGAATCGGGTTCATCCGTCATTGTAGATTCACGTTGAGGGTTAGGCTGAGGAGAAGGTGGAATGGATTGTTGGGTTGATTGACGTTTGTTGCTCGACATGGATGATCTTTTACGTTCAGACATGGATGATGGGCGTGATCGATTGGGGACCTGATTCTCACCAATCTTGAGACGTGTGCGGATGTTATTGTCGCTTAAATCATTCATGGAGGATGCGGTGATCTGTGCGTGATGTGATTTCAAAAGACTAGCAACAGCTCGACTGTGTACAAGTGCACGGGCTACAAAAGAGATGGAAAGAAAGAAAGAAAAAAAGATGCGATCATCAGCAAATCGTATTTATGCATGCATGCATCCAATAATGGGTTTTACCTCGACGTACGCCGCTAAATATACACATGTAAAGAAAAAGAAGATCGTATATATATACATATCAATCGCTTGCATATGAAACGACCAAGGCGGTAGTAGTAACAACATTACCTGACTTGTTCTGATACCCAAGTGATAAGAATGAATCGATCTTCCACTCGTACGAAACCATATAATACTTCATCCGAGAGATGGTTGCGGAATTCGCTACATCAATCATTGAGTCAGGTACACACACGCACACATCCCATCATCCTTGCCCACCACGTCATATGTCCTCCATACCTTAAACCACCTTCACCCTTGGAGTACAAGGAAATAACGTCTCGGGTGTCATTGTAACCAAGCAACATCCTTTACAATAGATGATGAGCATTCCCCATGGCCAATAAAGAAACGGTAGCAACCAGTTTACCAGTTGGTGTCTTCATATTGTTCAATCTCGGTGTAAGCTTGTTGAATGCGGGGGTCACTTAGATCAGCCATGGTGATGGGAGAAGAAGGCGTAAAAGAAAAAGTAACGAGCTTCGTGCTTTTAGGTCGCACTAAGCTATTTCCTTGGTGGCATGTCTTGTGCAACAACGCTTATACAGCAACACTTGTACCCATCATCTAAATTCTACTTTGGGTGGTAAAAGATCACATGTTCAAGAATCCAACAAGCTGTACTCAAGGTGTACATCATATTCTCATCACTTGGCAATGATAGACGACATACCTCTTTGTGTTTATCCCATGGGCCGGAATGCATACAACCAACCACCACGTGCAACAAGCGGTGATTTGCCACATCACATTCAACATTTTACTTGCAGCATTAATATCAGGCAGCAGCAAAATGTAAGTACCTGCCAGCCAATGATGTCAACTATAAGAATAACCAACCTTGGATTTGGGCTAGTGTCATATAAAGACTGGTTCTATCCTTGTTATTTATGCCATCAATCAGTAGCCGTGGCCCGATTTCTACTCAAAGCTGGCAGCAATATCAGTACACACAATGCAAGGAGCAACAACATCATTCTATGGCTCAAGATCTTTTATCCTATTATGAAGGTGCAAGCTTGTTTCTTATTGAGAAGGTCGGCTGGATCAAAGAGCACACACACACACACAATTCTTAACTCCCATTCGTAGTAGTCAAGGTTCTATTCTGAAGGTCGCTGGTTCGAGATCCTTGTTGTCAATAGCTTCCCCAATCAAGATTTATAGTTATCCTTGCCATAAAACATGATGAACGAAATAAACGCTTATGATGAACTATGTATTCTTTAGCCACTTTTGGCTTTAACGTTTTACGATAATGCCAAAGACATGCAATGGAATCGTTATGTGGGGTAAGATTCATCATCATGGAACATCCCTATAACAAACAACTCTAGGAATGATCCATCGTTGTAGAGAGATAGGTAGGTATCCATGGCAACAGCATCATATTAGCTCGTCAGTGACAGGTAGCCCGCCACACCGACGTCGGGTGGTTTCAACTCAGCAGCCAAAATGGGCAATGGCAAGGGCACTATTGTATCCCTCCCTCTACATCTGCAATATGGCTACCACTGCTGCCCAGATCTCCAAGAAGAGAAAAGTACGTGCATCATTTCACTCTCTTTTGGCATGGATGGATGTCTTTGATCATCGATAAACACGGATGCCGACTCAAGAGAGACTTTTTTCACTTTGGTTCACATGGCTAACATTGACCTTTTCAACCCTGCCCCATTTTCCACCATTCTACCACCCATTGCAACACTTGGTTATCTTTCAATTAGTTCGTAAGTCAAAGAATCGGATACAAAGGAGGAATGGAAGAAGCATTGTTTATTGAGACACATTCTACATTAGGTCGCCGATGGTGTCTTTTACGCCGAATTGAACGAGTTCCTTACTCGTGAGCTTGCTGAGGATGGTTACGCTGGTGTTGAAGTCCGTGTGACCCCTGCTCGCACTGAGTAAGTAGTATAAAGTGGGTCAAGGAAGAGGAAAGAAGGGATACTGATGGTTGTACAATGATAGAATCATCATCCGTGCCACTCACACTCAAAACGTTCTTGGTGAGAAGGGTCGTCGTATTCGTGAGTTGACCACTCTTGTTCAAAAGCGTTTCCGCTTCGCTGAGAACACTGTTGAATTGTACGCTGAGCGTGTCCAAAACCGTGGTTTGTGTGCTATTGCTCAAGCCGAGTCTGTCAAGTACAAGTTGCTCAATGGTCTTGCTGTTCGTCGTGCTTGCTATGGTGTCGTTCGCTTCGTTATGGAATCCGGTGCTAAGGGTTGTGAGGTTGTCGTCTCTGGTAAGCTTCGTGCTGCTCGTGCCAAGGCTATGAAGTTTGGTGATGGTTTCATGATCCACTCTGGTCAACCCACCCGTGACTTTATCACCACCGCTGTTCGTCACGTCTTGTTGCGTCAAGGTGTTCTTGGTATCAAGGTCAAGATCATGCTCGACAATGATCCCTCTGGTCGTCAAGGTCCTAAGGCTCCCTTGCCCGATATCATCACCATCCTTGAACCCAAGGAGGAGAACGCTATTGAGGAACCCATGGTCCAAGAGTTTGGTCGTCCTGCTGCTGCTGCTGAACCCGCTGCTGTTGAAGCTCAATAAGCTCTTTTCCCTCCCCTTTTCATCGACAAATGTACTTTTTTTTGTGTGTTAATATCAAATAGAAAAAAGGGACAGCTGGTTCTTCTTTGTTGCTTCAATGATGTTTTATGCCAAATGAGAGAGAAACGACCATCCTATTGTTACACGCTCATCACTTTTCACTTGACATGTTGGTATCACACACAGCTTTGATAAAGCAACAACAACAGCAACAAGTAGCCATTTCTTCTTTCTTCTCGTCATTCATCGTCATCCTGATTTCTACTTTATCAACGGCATGATGGTAACAAAAAAGAATGCTTTCTTGATAAGCGAATGATGGATTATGGTTTGTCATATGGCGCATTTCATATCCTCTCGTCACATGTTGACACACGTGTGCTTGAAAATGGGTCACGCATGTACCATCATGGTTTTCTACCCCAAAATGCCCGCCACGCTTCTTTCAGTCGTGTTTGTAAACATCATTTAGCTTAAACGAGTAGCATGAGACGCTCTTTTTTTGGGCTGTCAAACACGACATGATCCTCGTTGTTCGTTCATTTTCAAATCAAGATGCATGTGATATGCCTTGAGGCATGTAATAGTTGAGAGAAAGAATGTGAGGATAGAAAAGTAAGATAGATAGAGAGCACAGAGCAACAAGTTTTTTGGGTCGATAAACATCGGCATGCATGTGTGTTTACGTTGTATACTTCCATTTTCATGCTGTTCCTGTAAACAAGCATAGAGCATAATAAACGTACGTATTACCTATGAATAATAAATGGAGCTATCAAGGAGAATGATGTGTACAACAACCCAACATGGCTTGTTAGCTGCTGCATGGATGGCATGTTGTAGAAGGGAGAGAGATAGATAACTCCGGGACAAGGAGATGTGTGTGTGTATATATGTTGTATGTGCGTGCGTTTATTACATGCAGCCAGTGTAATGTGTTCCCGACCCAACTGGATTTACAGGTACCAGGAGAAGCAACTAGCCAATGAGTCAACGCATGTGAGTCGTTTTTGCGCCGATCAGGTTGTAGCGGCGCGGCAAATTCATGGGACCCGTGATGATGCCAAGTGCTACGCTGCTGACTGACTACTATACTACAACCTGATATATAGCCACTAGCGTATGATCTGGGATATGTCAGGTAATATAAATCACGCATAAGCTTGTTGTTGAGTATTAAAAAAAGAGCATGATGAAAGGAAAAGGTTGCCCGTTTTTATGAGTGATCATTTCTATGCCCGTGCACAAATGGATTCCTGCACCAGCAGGATTATTTACGTGTACCATCCATATTGTAGCCCAGTCTATAGTGTACATGTAGTTGCCCACAATCTATACATGTATTCTTTCTTACTACATGCGCGAGATAGGGTACTTTATGGGTGTGTCCCTTTTTTCTTTTTTTACTCGAAAAGTTGGTACCCAGCCTCATCTATCGGAATGGCTTGTTCATTCCGTGCAACGCACCAGCGGGTCATCTGCCCGTTGCACCTGAGAAAAAATAAAGAGCGATCCGCAAAGGGAGAAAAAGACACATACAAAGAATGAAACAAGATGCATGTGGATAATGATGTGATGGGGGGGGTGGTTGAGGGTTAAAAAGGAGACAAAGAGCAACGCATCGTTAAGCACTCTTTATGAAACGGGTTATCAAAGAGAATAATGAGATTACTATTGTATTGGTTGGACAAGAGCAAAGAGAGCGAGAGAGAGTATGTGTGTGTAAGTGAGGAGTAGTACATTTACCATAGATATTCATGAAATACAAGCACTAGTCTGTTTTAATCGCATGACCTGCTCTTGTTGACCCAAAGTCTTTTACTTTCTTTCTCTTTCACTTTTAATTTATTTTTCATTTCGCTTATCTTTTATTTTACATGTCAAGACTTCCAAGTGCAAGGGGAGGGATTCCAGCACCTCCCCAGCAAAAACGACTCTCTCGACAACCATCACTCGATTTGAGAAGAAGACGACACCACCCTGACGACGCTGCACCTCCAGTTCCTTCCCTAAAGACTTCAAAGTCTACTCGTGCTCCTTCAATGTCGCGTGCTTCCATCTCGTCTTATGAAGAAATTGAATCACCTAGTTCACTTTCTCGCTACTCGCTCTCTTCCATTGGTTCAACTCAAACCGCCATCACTTCACCTCGCTCATCGGTTGCCTCTCCAAGACCCACTTCGGTTAGGAAATCAGTCGCTTCCGTCAATGGTGGTGGCAAACATCATCCAACCAGCAACAACAACAACAACAGCATGGGTGGTTTGGGTGTTGGAGAGCGTGTTGCTGTGGATTCAATGGGGATTGTTGGCACACTTCGCTTTATTGGCACGACACAATTCAAGGAAGGCATGTGGGCTGGTATCCAACTTGATATTGTGGGCACTGGCAAGAATGATGGATCTGTCAATGGGTAAATAGTTCAATCAACTCAACTTGTTTCAGGGGTAACCATGATACTGAACTTTGTATCTTTCCATAGCATCCGATACTTTTCATGTCCTCCACAAACGGGTTTATTTGTGCAAGCATCCAAAGTCACTTCATTGAATGGTGGTGAACGTTCACCCTCTCCTCGTATCTCACCTGGATCACGCGCTGCTCGTTATGTCGGCATGACAGCTTCACAATTGACTCAACAACAACAACAGCAGCAACAACAACAGCAACGTCCACCATCGGTTCAAACAAAACGCTCTTCCACCATGTCAGCTCGTAGCAGTAGCAGTGGCAATGGATTAAGACGCCCTGGATCCATTCAATCACCCACACCCACTCCTACACGTCGTCGTCCTACTGCTGATAGTCTTCCTTCACCAGCCGCTACACCCAACAATGAAGATGAAGATGATGAAGAGGGCTATGTTGGTAGCAGCAGCACTGAAATGATGCTTACTGATACACCAGCACCAACAGCATTGACCATGTCCAAATCAACCGATTCACATACACGACTTGAACGCATGTTGGGTGAAGCTATTTCACAAGCACCTGATCAAGCTGCTATGCGTGTACAACAATTGCAATTGCGTGTAGAGGTGCTTGAAGCTGAAAACAAGTATCTCAAATTGGAGAATGCACAAAACAAGACCGCCGAACAAATCTTGGAGCGTTCAGTGCTTTTGAATGGCAGCGATTCAGATCAACAGCAACAACAACAACATTTTACGCTTGAAGGACACAAGGCGATTGTGGAAGAAATCAAGCAAGAGCATGAACAAGCTGCCAAGGCTTGGGATCAAGAAAAGGGGCAAATCCAATCGACGATCCGCAAGCTTGAAGAGCGTGTCAAGGAACTTGAGACTGAGCAAAGCGAGCTTATCAAGGAACGTGATACGATGCAGACACAGCTTTCTGAAGCACGCAAAGAAAAAGTGCAAATGGAGAACAAAGTGCGTGAGCTTGAAGAAAAGGTGACTTTGGCTGAAGCAGCAGCCGCCTCCAAAGCAGCAGCAGCCGCATCGACGACATCCAACTTTTATTCTCAGGATCCAGAAGAGATGAGACAACGTCAAATGCAAATGGAGATGGAGATGGAAGAAGTGCATGAAAAGATGGGTTCTTTGATGGATGCCATGCGTGCCAAGGATATGTTTTTGGGAAGTTTATCGGAGCAGGTCGAGACCCATCGCAACATGGTCGAAGAACGTGAGCGTGAAATTCGCCGTGTCAAAGCTGATGCCGATCGTCACACACGTGAAAAAGATCGCCTTCGTGATGAAATCAAGGAACTCGAGACCAAATGGATGCAGCATCAGGATTGTGCCACCAAGGAAGAATTCGACAAGGTCAAACGCCAACTCACGCAAGCCAAAGAGAACCTTGCTCATGAATCCAATCTTGTCGCTGATTATCGTGCTCGCATTGAAAGTCTCGAACAATCCGTGGATGAGCTCAAGCGTGCTGGTATGGAGAGTATCGAGTTGTACGAAAGCTCAGTCGAATTGCATCGTGTTGATATGGAAGCCATCAAAGCAAGTCTCGATGATGAACGCCGCAAAGTCATTGCTCTCGAGGAAGAACGTGAAAGTTTGCGTAAAGCAGGCCTTGAAGCCATCGAGACTTATGAAGCAACCATTGAAGAGCTCAAAAAGGAACGTTCAGAGACAAGTGAAAAGAGTGGCCGCACACAACAAGAAATGCAAGCTACCATCGACAAGCTCAAACAAGAGATTGAACAATTGGTCAATGCACGTGATACATCGGATGAAGTGGACAAGATCAAGGCTGTTTGGGAAAGCGAACGCAAGCGTTTGGAAGACAACCTTGAAGCCACATCCCAAAACTTGGCCAAGGAACGTGAAATGTATCAATCTCTCAAGGCTGAATCGGATAAGCTTCGTGAGCAAATCAAGCAAGCCGATAAGCATGACAAGGACAATGACAAGTTGCAAGAACAAGTACAGCGTTTGCAAGCCAATTATGATGAACAGCTCAATGCTCGTGGCAAATACCTTGATGATGTTCGTGCCGCTGTTGAAAGCCAAAAGAAGACCGAAGGTGAATTACGTCGTCTTACTGAAGCCAAGGAAAAGACCGAGCGTGATTTGACTACTGCTCAAGAAAGTTTGGCACGCGCTGAATCTGCTCTTGCTGATGCTCGCAAACATGGTGCTGATCCTGATGCTCTTATCAAGGAACGTGAGCAACATGCAAAAGAGCTCGCTGTTTTACGTCAAGAAATCAAGCGTCTTGAGGCTCAAAACACCATGATCACCAAACAAAAGGAAAGCATTGAGCTCGAAGCCAAGTCCAAGTCCGATAATGGTTTGAAGCAGCAATTTGAAAAGTTGCAAGCTGAGCACCAGCGTCTTTCCAAAGAATACGAGTCCTTGACGGAGAGCCACAAGCAAGCCCAAAATGAATGTCTCAAATTGATGGATGAGGTGGAAAAGTTGCATTCGGAAGGTGATGGATCAGAGACAAGTTTGGAAGGTTGCAATACCGATGAAGAGCGTGTGGCCCGTTTGCAAAGCCAATTGAGTGATACCAAGCGAAAAATGGAGAGCTTGATCGTGAAGCAGTCTGCTGAGATGCGTCAACTCAAGGAAAAGCATGAGGAGGCTGAACGTGCGCATCAACGTCAAGTGACCACTTTGAATCGTGATGTATCTGAACTTGAGAGCCTTGTGGAATCCAAGATATTCAAGGAGTCTGATATGGAGGAAGCGCTTGAAAAGGAAAGAAAACAATCCAAGCGATTGCGTGAGGAATTGAATGAGTTAAAACAGCAACTCAAGGAACAACAACGAGATGAGCGAATGTCTTCCAAGAACAGCAGTACGGCTACAAGCAGTAATGGTGGTGGCCCCTACACGGATGATGCTCTCTTTTGCGAACTATGTGATTCCCCTGGTCATGATCTTATGAGTTGCAAGGTGGTGGTCCCTTCATCCACTGAAAAGAAAGAACAACCTGCACGACCGGTAAGCATCCATCATCATCATGCATCCATAGACTCTATGGCTGACAACAAGCATCATCCGTAGTTCTGCGTCAATTGCGATGAATACGGCTTACATTCAACCGAACAATGCCCCAATCAAAACGAGACCTTTTAAATTTTACTTGCACATTCATTCATTCTTCCCGCCTTGTAAAATGTCATGTTCGATACCAGGAAAAAAAGACCTTCTTTGATCCAGCTTTATCCGTTGACACATATACACACACACCCTCTCTCTTGTATCCAGCCATACCCTTTCCTGATTCCTTTGTGAATATCACTCTCCATCCCCCTGTATAAATAAAACGATCCCCCATCTTCCGTTTATCTTCTTATACTGAAAAAAAAGACTTGTTCATGATCGTGCTCCAAAAGGAATGCTAAGGTAATAATAGTTTATCTCCAAAACAGTGTTGTGCCTCGCAACAAGCATCGAATCAATACAAGAATAACACCCATGGAAAGCAGCATCAGCAAGAAGAGTGTCAACGTAGTGAAGAGTAAGCTTTGGCGAGTGATCTACATACATACATAGCAGCTACGTGGTGAGCAAGCTTTCCATCTTTTTATGCTCCCCTATATGATGTATACGTACATGATATGGATCGTTGTCTATTGGATGGGGTTGTGCAAATATAGCCGTACGATAACCAAGGTAACCAAGAGCCAAGCCGATCAGCAATGCAAGAGTGAGCAGCAGCCATGGCTTTTTGTTTTGAACACTGTACCAGGTCATGGAAAGCATCAATATCCCAAGCATAGGCACAAGCACTAACTCGACAGGGATCACGTTTCGTTCATCATCCAATACCATGGCGGGTATGAGTTGAACAGCATAGCAATGCAAGTAATAAACGTCGAGTTTGATAAACGCCATAAGAGTAATCGATGCAATGGTTTCTTTTATCTTTTGATTCTTTGCGCCACTTGCTGCTGTCGTCGTAGTAAACATGCGACGACGCATCCAGATGCTGCAACCCACGAGCACAAGGTAGAGAAAGGCCACCACTGCAAGTAATGCATGATCGTAATGAGGATGGCTCAAGGATGCTGTTCCACAACCCATTTCCTGCATCATTGTTTCCCATTTTGAGTTTTGAATGATTTGGATTCCCACAAAGATGATGAACAATAGACCTTGATAACAGCAGGTTTTGTGAATGAATCAGTGAATTCACATGATTGTATACGCACTTACCATTGATGAATAGCATCCAAAGATGAATGGTGCTTTGTTGTTGAATCGTATCCAATCCAAACATGAGTTGATAAAAGGTGGCAGCCATGACAAGTCCTCTGTAAACAAGACCCACTTGGGACATTCCAATCACATCAAGTGTCATGGTGCAGTCGTTGCTCATTCCAATCATTGCCTGTTGTATCTCAAGTCCTTCCAGCACGCATACAATGATCACTTGAAGTACCAGGATCGAGATGAAAGCGCCATGCCCGTGGTACTTTATACCATGCTGCTGTTGTTGTTGCTCGTTGTTGTTGTGGTGATCCATAATCGCCACCACCGAATCACTCGTATCGCGTTCACGGCTTGATCTTCTACTGCCACTTGGTGTGTTGTTTGCCGTCTTGTATATCTCATGGGTGTCCTCGGCTTGAGTCATCATGAAGAAAAAAAAGTACCAATGCTGGATGAATTGCACTTTTGAGGGATTACATACATAAAATGCATGAACAGCTAAAAAGGGGAGAGGAATTTCATGTGATTTTGATGAAAGAGAATTTATTCTTGAGCGTGACAACAGCATCCATTGTAATGCAACCGGTATGTGTGGGTGAGTGAGAGTGTGATTGAATGTGCAATATGAGAGAGAGAAAGAAAAGAGAAGGGGTATATATAATACATTTTGGTGAGAACGGATATATCAAATATCAGTCGATCGTCGACGTTGTTGATGATGATGATGATGTAGGGTGGGAGAGATAAAGTCGTCAAAGATGATATCAGGGACCGATTTTCGCTTGAGTTGTTTCCCTTGACTTTGGTTGTTGTTGTCGTTGGAGACATCAATGGTGTGATTGCGTCGTAAGCTCTTGAACGAAAACTTTTTCGACTGTGGTTTTTCATTGTTGAGAACAATAATGTTGGATCGACCTGGACCTCCTCCGCCAATAGGGTGCATGGGTGGTGGTGGAACACCTGCTGTGCCTGGTGGTGGCATCATGCCCATTTCAGCTGCGAGTCGTTGCCCTGTTACTGCTGAAGCACCTTGCTTGTGACTAAATGAATAGATGCATGCACCCCAGTAGACCTAAAAAGTCATGGTCAGCATCATTCCATATATATATATATATATAGTCCTCCTCCAAAAGTAAAAACTTACATAAAGCACAATCATCAAGACCGTTGAGAATAAGCCAAACTTAATCTCGGCTTGAAAAAGTCGATCACAGTTGTAATAGTCGTTTCCTCGTAGTGATGTACCAGTGACATTGGCCGCACTGTTGAGCGTATCCGCTGATGAATTGATACACCATGACATGAACTCATCGCGTTGCGTGATAAAATAAATAGCATTGGCAAATCCATCCACAAGCACCATGAATAAGACTGTCCAAGTCGCATGAGAAAAAAGTCGAACATAAAACCATCGATTCTGTAATAACAAGAGCGGATCAGCCATCATCATGTGAAGTGTTGAATGTATTTCTTCTTTACCCTGAACAAGGCCAACATGCCAAAGAACCCATTCAAAGCTAATAATAGATTGACAACGCCATAAACAATAAGTGGTGCACTTGTCATGTACGAATAAAAGGCTACAATAGGTACATGTAAGCATCAACGCGATATCATTTTCCATGATGTGTGTATAATACTTGCGACTTTTGTTTTGAAATGACAAGATGGCAAAGTACATGGATAATCCCTGGAATACATAGATGATATAAGCATTCCAATAGTATGTGAGCGTCTGGTGTCGATATCTACATACCATCCAAATAAGACATGAGATTCCAGCACCCACTCGAAGATGAATGCAACCACAGCATTTTCGTAATGCTTGATATCGCGTATGTATAAATCGATTCCGAAACTGTGGTGCTGTAATGTCCATGGATTGATTGTGAAAAAGGGAAATGAATGAAAGAAAGAGAGAAAAAAGTGCGATGAAGGGAAAAAAGTGGTCAAAGTAAATGGGTTCATATATAGTAGGTTGTTTTTGATCGGGACGGAAGAGGGGCGTATGTGGTACCTGCGTATTGCCTTGTATGGAAAATCAATGCCGCTGCCAAATTGAGCGTGCCCACAAAAACACTACCCTCGGGATATACCCACTTTTGCCAACACCAGCACCAGCACCACTGAACAACACATGCTCCATAGATAGCACATAGGGGGGGGGGTCAGAGAGTAAAAAAAGAAGATGCTGTATATTGTTGTCTATAATGAGTGGATGCCGTGTTCATGAAAAATGGAAGCCATTTGATAAAAGTCCATGTTGCTCAAGTCTTCTGGTCTTGCTTTGAAATCAACAACCTCCTCGATCCTGGGTATCAGTGGTGCCACTTGTGGTAAATTCTTTCCCAAATGCCTATGTCGCCAAAGTAAATCCTTCCATGTCGTCACCCACCCACGCAGGAACATTCATGCATGGCACTTACTTGGTGATGTGTCCCACCGTTTTCCGGCGCTTGGTAAAGTAATGGCGTACGACGTGTTCAAGCGTCTTGTATGTTTCACCTAGGGTCGTCATCGTCTTGATTAAGCTTTTCTTGGGACCGATCAGGAAACATGTGTATTGTTTACATACCTGTCAACTTTGTTTCAAGAGGCTTGAGCTGTACAACAGATGCATCCACCTAAAACAACGTATGTATATGCATTAATATGGGTTGTTGATTCCTCCTTGACATTTACCTTTGGGCGAGGTACAAACACGGTAGATGGGACCTGGTACACAGTGCTAACATCACAAAGCGATTGAGCCATCACAGAGAGTCTTCCACGATGTTCTGTAGATGGTGGGGCTGCGAGACGCTATAGTAGGATAAGGGGCGGTTGGGTGGATTAGCATAATAAACAACCCATCTCTAGTTATTTTTACCTCTCCCACTTCTTTTTGGAACATGAGCGTCATCCACACATCGCCCAGCTTGAACAATCCTTCACGTGCGGCCGATTGGTGCAACCATTGGATTAAGAGAGGTGATGCTACGTTGAATGGAAGATTCCCCATGATATGCAGTGGACCTGAGGCATCCTCCTTTGGAAGTAATGGTGCAAGAGCATGTAATGATGATGACACTTCAAGTGCATTTCCATGAATGATCTGCGGGTGATGATGATGATGTGTCAAAAAGTGAGGTGGCGGTTCATTCATTCATGTCAACAACACTTACTCGGAGCCGTCCTCCGGATGCTTCGGCCAATTGCTATATTTAGAGAGAGAGAGAGAGAGAACCTTGTCAACAATCTCACTATCATTCATCCATGCTACTGTCTGCCAACCTACCGTCAATGTGGGTAAGAATCGTTCATCCTTCTCAATAGCGGCAATACGCTTGACACCCGTATCCAAGATCGATCTTGTAAGTAATCCAGGTCCTAAATGATAGACACACACACACACACACACAATCAATACTTATCCACCATGTGTCCTCGCTATAATAAGAGCCACCTACCAGGTCCCACTTCAACTACCAAGGGTGTTTGCTGTGACAAATGAGCAGTGCGCACGATCTTATCTATAAGCAAAAAGCGATCATGTCAACAACCCATTCGGCCGATCAGTCCCTCCCCAATGGGTCTCACTCTTACCAGTAATGTTCTTGTCAAGGATAAAGTTTTGGCCCAGTTGCGATCGAGCGGATAGACCATAGAGTTTGATAAGCTCACGCACGGACGGCAAGCGTGGAAGCATAGTGTAAAGAGGAGGAGCGTATTTGTTGCTGTGATGAAAATGGAAGGAAGAGGATCAAATACCGCTGCTGTTGCTGTTGTTGCTGCCTGACTGGCTCCATGACAATGATGCATACGCTTTTTGCCATGACAACGCCCTCACCTTTGTGATATGGCTCTTCATTGAATACCTGGCATTTTTCTTATACATCAATTCCATATGAATGGGCCACCGTCAAACACGACGTGATAATGCGTCCATTTAAAGCAATCGTGCACCCGACGTGTCGGATTCATCTTCTCAGGTACGTTTTCTTTTCTTGCACTTTGCCGCTCGACCACGATGCTCACCATGACGCCTTGTAGATGATGGGTGGTCTACTCATTGTCAGCACGCTCCTTAAACTCTTGCTCATTCCAGCATAGTAAGCATACCATGTTCTCCCTCCACCAAAAAAGCTCATACGCATCAACAACGTAGCCGATCAACCGACTTTGAAGTCCATCGCAACTGGCTTGCCATTACATACAGCCTTCCACTATCAAAATGGTACACTGAAGTAAGTTGCTTATATCAAACATGGGTATCTTTTACTCACGCAAGGAACGCGTCTCTGTATATATAGAATACATCCATTTGGACACTCGATTACCCTCCTTTCTTTGCATGGTTTGAAAAGTTCTGGAGCGTGTTTGCATACTATGTGGATCCAGTTATGCTTGTCGTGGATAATCTGGAGTATGCGAGCCAAGCAACGGTCATCTTTCAACGCATGACAGTCATCCTCAGTGAGCTTGTTCTCTATTGGGCACTCAGACGCTACCAGCGACATTTTGGTGATAAGCATATCCATTGGTTGATTGCAGGATCCATTTTCATGCACCCAGGCCTCTTTATCGTGGATCATATTCACTTTCAATACAATGGCTTTCTTTATGGCATTCTCATCCTTTCCATTGTCGAAGCAAAACGTGTAAGTGGTTACCCTTTTCCAACAACAACAACAACCCAATCCAAATACTCATCATCATGACGCTCCTACTAGAACAACCTACTCGTGTCAGGAATCCTCTTTGCTGCCCTGTTGAACTTTAAGCACATTTACTTGTACATGGCACCTGCCTACTTTGTGTTTTTACTCAAGGCGTATTGTTTCACATCCAATAGTAAGTGTGTATGTGGGAGGCTCAATGGAAAACGGATGTCATTAGCTGATATAGATGCGTGGTGGTATAGGTTCTTTCTCATTCAAACGATTCATCACGTTGGGAGCTTCAGTTCTTGGCGTATTCGCCGTTTCACTTGGTCCTTTTAAGAATCAACTTCCGCAATTACTGGGTCGTCTCTTTCCATTCACACGAGGTCTATGCCATGCATACTGGGCACCTAACTTTTGGGCACTCTATGCAGCAGCTGATCGGTGCTTGATCTTTGGCAAGTGTGTGTGTGTATGTCTGTGGCATGCATATAAATTAACATGATGATGATAATAATAGTGGCAAGAAGGCTTGGATGGGGATTAAACGAAGCAGCGCTTGGCTCCTTGACGCGAGGATTTGTAGGCGATACACAATTTGCAGTTTTGCCTGACATTGCAGCCATCCACACCATGATCATCACGTTACTTGTCCAGCTGGTAGTAAAATAACATGCATGAGAGAATGCCAATGACAACTCATATCTACTACTACTACTCTAGGTTGTATTGCAAAAACTATGGCGATCCCCTACCGTTGACAATTTCATCGCATCCTTGACACTTTGTGGTTTTGCATCGTTCCTGTTTGGATGGCACGTGCATGAAAAGGCGATTCTCATTGTCCTTATTCCTTTTAGGCAAGTATAAAGTCATGTCTACATCCCATTTTAAGCTGACAGATGAGCTTCTTTGTAGCTTGATGGCTGTCAAAAGCAAACTCCATCTCCGTGCATTCATCATTCTCAGTGTGGCTGGTGTTTATTCATTGTTTCCATTATTGTTTCATGTTGCCGGTAAGCACAAACACATGAAGAGGAGGCGGACAAAGAGGAAGGAGAGATGAGGTGACTGAAAAGGCGGGGGCGTTATAGAAACTCCCATCAAGATCATCTTTTCACTTGTTTGGGGACTTTTGGTCATACCCGGTTTGGCAAGAAATCTCAAGATGTAAGGGCATTTTGTTTTGACACGCACACGCAAATATGCTAATATACAACTAATAGGTCCCTTTGCGAATTATTGAATCCTTTGGAACGCGTCTATCTTTATGGATTTATTGCCCTGCAGCTTTACACGGGTCTGGTACATGATCTTGTTTTCGGTGGTCGTTTCGAATTCTTGCCATTGCTCTTGACGAGCGTATACTGTGCTACGGGTGTCATGTATGGTTGGTTATTAGCCATGTACGCTTGCCTGCTACAATAGAATTCCTCCCTCTTTCTCCTCTTCCTCCTCCTCCTTTTAGGCAGGGTTACAAGTAGATGCAGCATCAGGATATAAAGAAATATGGAAACCGGCGGTTTTTTTTCACATCGTATCATGATGAAGTCATTGACAGCAATGTTTGTGTACATACAATGTCTACATTCTTGTGACACGATACGAGCCATACATGTATTTGTGGGTGGGATATACAAGAAAAGAAATGCATAGACATGGTGCATGATAAAAGTGAACATGGTAGCTATGACGTTTAAATTGGCAGGTATCAGTGGATATGTTGCTAGAATGCTCGATATGGTAGAGCTGAAACAGGCGACCTAAAAGGATGTGATCACTTTATCCCTTTGAATAATTGCTATGGTAACGATGATTCTTCTCCCAGCTTATGGAGGCCTTGACACATGTGTGATTGGTGGTGCTGAGCCTTGTATTTATGATTGGATGGACGCGAATGTTAATGTCATTTAGTTTTAAATTGTCGTCACGTATATATATATAGGACCATTAATAGATTGAGGAAAAAGGCAAAGCTTGCTAGTAGTCGACATGCATATGGGCTGTTAGAGGGATGTATGTACATATCTGTTTGGTGCCATCATCTGGTGGGCGCATACACACATACACATCGATACCACGCGACTTGTCCCCTGGGCGAAAGGGGGGTTGGTTGTTGGTATAGAATGTTGTTCCACAGCCAGCTTCCGAGGAAGGTATATAACCATTTGCAATTATCCACAGAGCCAATCTCGCTCGGACCCATCCCTTGCCCCTCTCTTTCGCATAACTAACACAATAATCATGGATTTGCAATATCGTCTGGACCATCTGATTGATCATTGCTATGAAGGTTGTTCTCGCCTAAGACAATACCAAGACCATCACCACCACAACCACAGCGATAGCAGCTCACTTAAAATATCCACGCTTGCTTCACAACAACTCGTTCGTGATCTCGACCTCGGCATTCAACGACTCTCCCAATTGCAACATGACTTGAATGAGAAACCTTCTGTTGCAAACGACGCAATATGGTCTGATAGCACGCATATGGTATTAGAGCAAGTAGAGAAGCAGCTTGAGCACGCATTAAATGGTGAGCCTTGTGATAGGCAGCATGATGATCATGCAAGTGTTATTAACGAAATGACAATGATAGTGCTTTCGGAGGGAAATTGCAGCAGTAATGGGCTTGTTCGCAAGGACATGGCGACGCCCATGCTGATCAGCAGCAGCAGTAGTAGCACAGCATCCACTTGCACCACCTTATCAACATCACCTGACTCTTCCATTCTATTCAACCATCAACCCACCGTTGCCCGTGGTGATGCCGGTAAAGCCTTCCTTGGAACATCTTTTGGAAAAACGGTACGTATGCACACGCGTACACATGTGGATATTTGAATAGGGTCCACTCATACATATTGTTTCACAGGATTACGATCCTTCTTGGACAAAGTCAAATAAGACAACTACTCCTACACGACATTTGCGGACACTTTTCAAGGGGTTACGCCGATCCAACACGACGAATCCAATGTTTGATGATGAGCTTGTTCCTCAAATCAATCTATGTAACCATGACAACGAGCAAGGGGAGAGACGCGAGAATACTTTTGCTTCCGATGCCATTGTCAATCATCCATTACGGATAGGTGTTGGGTAAGGAAATTTTTAAGGAGATGATGATGATGATAAATGCACCGACACTAACACACACACATCCATTGAATTGCCCGATATAGCCATGGTAGTTACATTTGTTATAATTGCACGGTGCTTAGTGACAAGGTAAGGTTGACAGAATACAGAAAAAAAGGGATAGGGACTAAACACAGACATTTGTTTTAGGGGCCTGCCATCACTGTACGTAAACGCTATTCTGACTTTGTTGAATTGCGTAAAGTCCTCGTGAAGCGTTTCCCACAACTTGGAAAGAGCATTCCTAAATTACCTCCAAAGAGGATATGTGGTAAGCCATCAGCTGTTTATCTTGTTTTTACTACTCCTCTCATCATTATACTCAATCTCGATTGCTACTCTAGGCAATTTTTCGCCTGCTTTTGTGGAACAACGACGTCGCGACCTTGAATACTTTTTCAAGTATATCGTTCTTCATCCGAGTCTCGGTAAATCTCCCATTGTGATGCACTGGATTGCACCCTAATCATACTCAACATACCCCCCTTATTACTATTGTAAATGAGTTTTTGTTCTTTTCCACCCCTCTCTTCTTTTGCATAAAGCATAACAATTTGTACCACGATCTAAAGTCAGTTTGAGTTTCCCTTCTTTGGTAATGGTTTACAAAGGTTGTTATCCACGTATTCCATCCACATGTTGGGCTGTAAGGATTGAATCGCATAAAAGCCAGTTACTTGAAGCGCACACGCACGCCTCGTGATGATGCCGCTTTTTGCCACAACTGGGTACACGTCCTAAAGCTCAATGGAGGATCACTTTTTATCGTTCTACGAATTTATTCCATCTACGCTATGATTTACAAGCAGGAAGGGAATACGCTAGCAAAGTGGAAGTGGATAATAACTACATTGCCATGGCCGTCATCGTTTGCGTCATCTTGTTATCATCGCCATCAAACCAAAGAAAGACCAACGGAAAAGATCCAATAGAGCTCCGGGCGCAAGAGAACCTCCTTTGATAAGCTGACAAGAGGCAAGATCGCGTGTTTGGCCAAGAGTGAAAATACACATTGATCCTTATGAACCCCATCCTATGAACCGATTGAATTGGTACGAATCCGTTTCCCCTTCGAGGAACTAGCATCGCCAGTAACAATCACGGGCTGCTGCATGTGCGAAACCATCACATACACGCCTCATGCTGCTGGAGAGCACTAGAAGCATACTGGGGCGAGGGAGTATCCTTGAACAATACGAGACAAAGGAGGGAAGGATCAATAACACGCCATCCTCAGAGCCAATCTTGCCCAGAATCAGGGTCCAATCTAAAGTAGACATGAGTCAATGAAAAAGACGAGATAGAGCAACCCATCAACATACCTCTTGTGATGCCAAAAGTAAAAGCCATGTCCAAATAAAGAGCACTCTACTGTAATCCAATGCAATCAAGTGAAACAATGTAGTTGGAACGATCTTCCACCCTAACTTACTTGTTTACACCTCCCACAAGGTGTCCACATTGACAATGGCCTTGAGCGGTCTTGATCAGGGGAGACAGACTTGGCTTTGGTTGAGATCAACAGTTGCCGGGGCTACGCAAACGTGTCGCTGTGACAACCCCGCAAACGAGCTCACGTGCTCACCCTCTTTACTGCTACACCACGTGATGGTTGTTGCCATGATGGATACTTGCCAATGGTTTAAGGTCATGTTGAAAAGTAAATTCGAGTATGTGGAAGGTACTCGAATTAAGATCTGAAACAAAGGTATGTGGTCAGTGCACTTCATTTTACTTGCCGAAGATCGTTTGGTGCCACACAAACGCCGATTAACCTGGTCTTCATAAGCTGTTTTTGAGTATGGTGGTATGCGAAGATACGAGTCGTTGAGTGTTTGAAATCGAGTGGATGAGTAATGCAGGTGATCATTAAAGGGGTCAGCAAGGATTGGTTAAAGCAACAAAGGCGGTAGCTCGAAACCGAGGGCAGCCACAAATTGATGGCAGGGAATGGACGCATCGTTGTTCTCTTTCGCTATAACGTATTATAGGGTAATAGAAGCTCTCAAAGCAAGAAACCTGCACATGATATTGCTGGTAGGCACGTACCACGCTACAGCATGAAATTCATAAAACAACCCTCGTTTCTCACAACGATCTAGCTACAGCAGCATCTCGATTACCACGTTTAACACCCTTTCGCGCATCGAAAGCTATCATTATAAAGGCTATAGTTTCAAGCTTACTCCGTTGATTCTTGTTCAATTACCTGCGATTTGTGGGTGTGCTTAAGGATGTACACTAAGAACCACCAGCTAGGCATTACATGATCAAAGAACTCCATTAATGGTGGTGCCTTTCTTTTCTGTTTTTAATCTACCATCGTCGGGTACTTCTATTTAAGCCATATAGAACATCATCCATCACTGGTATATTAAAGTATGTCTTGTACGGATGCTACCTTCTTTATTGGTCATATTGATGTCAACAAGGAGTGTAAATTGAAGCTTGTATTTAGGGTGGCAATGATCCCAATGCAAAAAGTGGATGTGTCTCGTGATCAAGTTGACTGACTTTGGAGCACAAAGCAGGCCCAAATTTGCTTGTCGCCGCTGCTGCTGCAAATCCACTATCTCTCTTCGACATACACACCACAGCAATGGCACGACATTCGGATTCAGAGCAAGAAGAATACAGTGATCAATACGACGAGAGTGAACAGGAATATAGCGACAACGATCCCATGAGTGAGGACGACCATGACGAAGAATCAGACGAGGTACTTTATACATATCCACCCGATCACCACGATCAACGATCTCACAGCAACCATTGTAGGAAGAAAGCGAAGACGAGCAACCTGATCGAGAACATATGGAAAAGCTCAAGCGAAGTAAGCATGATTTGGATTATCTTTGATGTTCACTTTTCACTGACAAGGAAACTAGGTTTGGCACATGTATCATTTGAGCAGTTGGCTGAGGTGCAAGACAAGATGGGCATGAAAGAATTCAGCAAAGCACGAGCAGGTGGTGTTGACAAGACCGAATCAACAAAGAACGTACGCTCTGTTTCGAAGGCGCAAATTCTTGAAGATGTCAAAGGGGCTGTGAGCAAATTGGACAAAGGGGCTCGGATACGACGTACAAAGAACGACATGAAGCGTGCAAATAAACACAGGTATGCATAATGGCTGGGTTGTGTGTGTGGCGCAATTGAATTCATGCTCAATTTCTTTTTCTTCTCTCTCTAAGCCCAATGGAAGTATCATCCAAAAGAGCGGTTGGCCGTTTCCGTGAAGTGGTCGAACTCAACAAGCCGGTACGTTATCCTAACATTGTATGAATGGATGGGATGGGCTAGCTAACAATTGCATAATATCATATAGAAAGTGCGGGATCCTCGCTTTGAGAAGCTTTCTGGACATTTTAATCAAGACCTTTTCGAAAAGTCATATGCATTCCTTGACGATTACAAGAAATCCGAGCAAGATTTACTGCGTCAGCAAATCAAAAAAGCAAAGAATCCTGAGCGCCGTGAAGAGTTACAGCAATTACTGCTAAAAATGGTAAGAAGGAAGGGAGGGGAGATAAAAGAAAGGGGAGGGGAAAGGGCTTGGGAGCGTTTTGGCAGAAATGTCTGTTTGACAAGGGGAGCGCCACGCCCATCACATCCATTACTTATCACCTATGCCACATTCAGACAACTCGTGAAGCATCAGCCCAAGAAGCTAAGCGGAAACAGCAATTGAAACGTGAGCGTAAGAAGGCTGAAGCCGAGCTTGTGAAACAAGGCAAGACACCCTATTTCTTGAAGCGATGTAAGTTTGTGATTCATTTTCTTGGTTGTGTATGCACGCACGCACACGCACGCGCGCGCTTGTTTTTTTTCTGCATTTTGCTGAGCGTTTTCTTTGTCAATAGCCGAACAACGAAAGTTGGAATTGATGGACAAGTACGAGAAATTGGGAGAGAAGAATATGGACAAGATCCTTGCCAAACGAAGAAAGAAGAATGCAGCCAAGGATCATCGTCGTTTGCCATTCAAGAGGCGATCGGAGTAGTAGTGATGATGTTTTTTGTCTTTTTGTGTTCTTGTACTATGTATCTCAAAGAATGAAATTTAATGAATTCTCCAAAAGAGGGCAAGACAGAAAATTGATCGCTTATATAAAATGACCATGTTCGTTACCGCCTTTTAACCCACAACGTACATTTCTTTTCTTTATCTCCTTTTTCATCTTAAGTGATGATCACCCTTCCCTGTCGTTTATTTTTGCTATTTCAGGCACTAGTCTTGGTGCTTGCCGCCGCCACCTGCAACGCCGCCAAACATCACAAGGATGGTGGTGTCATTGCATACGTCGTTGACTGGGTATGTGGGTCGCTATTATTACTACAACAACATCCAGTGTATACTGAACATTTGGATAGGATCTTCCAAGCAAGATTGCATGGAACAAGCTCGATCAAGTTATTTACTCGTTTGCTGAACCTGAGAAGAATGGAAAGCTTTCTGGTTTTGATGAGAGCCAACTCAAATCAGGCAAGTGGATGATATACCAGCAATATACGAGTTGATTGTTCTAACGACATGTTGCCATGGAAACAGTTGTCAAGGAAGGACACAAACATGACACATTGGTTAGCTTGGCTGTAGGAGGGTAAGTGAGATAATAATGCGTGTAACATTGCATTTATGGCGTGCTCATCATCAATACGCGTGTGTGTATGTAGATGGACCGGTTCTTTGTACTTTAGCGATCTTGCCAAAACTGAAAAGTCGCGTCAAAAGTTTGCCAAGAACATTGCTAAGCTTGTCAAGAAGTACGATTTGGACGGTGTCAACCTTGACTGGGGTAAATAGATTTTGATCCTCCGAGATCGACACTTTTATTGACAATAGCGCAATTACGTATATACAGAGTATCCCAACAGCCCTAACGGCGTCGCTTGTAATGCAAAGTAATTATTGAGATTTACCTCCCGATTGTTGCTCAAGTGGAATGTGCGCTAATCACGTTATGTACCTACATATCAAATAGTGATCCCCATGACACTGCCAACTATCTCAAGCTCATCCAAACTTTGCGCCAAGTCCTTCCCAAAAAGACTTTGATCACTGCTGCTGTTGGCACCACTCCCTTCAATGATGAAAACCAACAACCCTCTACTCACTTGGATAAGAACTGGGCCAAGGCCATTGATGGCATCTACATTATGGTAACGTATCACCCATGTTTATTATGTGGAACATGATTTATGCAATGAAATTCAATTGCCACCTTGCATTGTTACCTCCTTTAACACGCCATTCCTTTTGTAGGGATATGACATCAACGGCATTTGGAATACTCAAGCTGGTGCTAATGCTCCCCTTCGTGCAAACGCTAAGGCTGCTGGTATTGATACTGCTAGTGTTGACAGTGCTGTCAAGGCATGGACTGCTGCTGGTATTCCTTCTGAAAAACTTGTTCTTGGTGTTCCTTTCTATGGTCGCATTGGCCAAACCACCGGCAAGGCTCATGGTCTCTATGGCAAATTGGATACCTCGGATGGTCAAATTCGTGGTGATCAATACGATAGCAAGGAAAAGGATCCATGCCCCAACGCTAAGGCTTCCTACTCTGGTCAATATGAATGGCGCTCTATTGCAAAGGAAGGCATTGCCCGTAACGAATCCGGCTGGAACACTGTTTGGGATTCTATCAGTCAAACACCTGTCGCCGTCAAGGGATCCAAGTTTATTACCTTTGATGATGCCCATTCTCTCCACGCAAAGGCACAATACGCCAAGAAGCAAAAGCTTTCAGGTGTCATGCTCTGGTCTTTGGAAATGGTACGTATACATCATTACATCTCTTTAGCTCATAAGCTCATGATCATTTATGTATATAGGATGACGCTCATAATACCCTGCTCAATGCCCTCCAGGGTGTCCGATCCAAGCATTAGATGCTTTTCTCCTCCATTTGACTACATAAATAAACACTATCTTGTATTTCTATGATATCCAAACATAAAATGGATCATTCATTATCTCTTACTGTGATCGCTTAATTCGATGCAAACGTGTTTTTGGCATAAGCAGGGCGAGTGTGCGTGCCACTTTGCCTCCTTTTGTTAGTGGTGGCATCATCACCGAATCATTTTACTATGGCTTTCTTCTTGATCCGTACACGTGGATCAAGTATTATTACATCAGCACCCCATCCAATCATAGCAACTACCGGAATTTCTTCCATTTCTTGGTAAAAGACAAGCGTATCACCTTGGTGATTGTCCCTGCCGCGATCTCTATAAATGAATCCACAACCCAATATTTACTTTATAGTAGCAAATTATTCCTCTGCTTCATTGTTCGCCGCGATTGCACATTAAAATCGGACCTTCTTGGGTTGCAGCTATGTATGATCATCAGGGCAACAACCTTTTGTTTCACAATAATAACCAATCCCATCCATCAACACGAGTTTCTCTCAAAGAAGCCATAACGATTTATGGAAAGCAGGTATATGTAAAGATGTGTGTGTGAGTGTATCTAGATTTTTCCAATAGTATAAAAGGATCAAGAAGTGTGCGGAAACGGTTGAAAGTGCTCAAGCAATATACAAAGAGGAACCACAACGAAAAAAAGAGGAACACGAAACAGCAGAAACAAGAAAGAAAAAAAGGTAAAACACGGAATTAGACACGTTCAGTGATATCAGTTGGCACCCAGCTGTCGCTTCCAAAGTCGATCACGAGACGGCCATCGGTGATGGTGAACATGCCCTTGAGTTGCCAAGTGCTCTCACCACGGATGTCGCCATCGGCCTTGATACGTGCCATACGGTATTGCTTGGCAAGAGTAAGACGGCCACCTTCACCCTTATCATCAGCGGGCTTATCGGTCTTGGTCCATTGCTTGGTCTCAAAAGTGTATTCCTTGATGGCGTCTTCATAGTCTTGGACAGCAGCGGTCTTGGGCTTCTCCAAACTACCAGCCTTGGGAGCACCCACTTTGAGTTTTTCATCCTTGGTCTTTTTGCTCTCATCACCGGAAATGAAACTAGGGAGGCTGGTGGCAGGTACATAGTCAGTGAGCTCCTTGACATTCTTTGTAAAGTGAATCTTGCTGGCAACCACGGGATCCAACAAAGGAGTGATGAGGTTCCAAACTAGTAACCATGGAACAAAGTTTAGTGTAACTATATGGAGGATCATCCATTGACCTTATTTCTTTACCTGTCGAGAACACCCAAGGAGCCTTGTGGATCAAACATTGACCCAATGTTTCAGGATAGTAGGCTTCCAAGCATGACAACAAAAACTTGACAAAGTCAAAGTCCTAATAATACAACAACAACACGCGTTTCCATGTCAATTTTTCTCTCCATTGTTTGTCTTGGCATCCACCATCCCATTTATTACTTACCATGTTGCTAAGAGTGAAACCCTCCATATTGAAGACAATGCAAGATGTTTCCATGGGTTGACCAACGACCAAACGCGAGTTCTCCATCACATACAAAGTCATGAGCTTGACGACTTCAGCAGCTTGATCTTCCTTGTGGTGGAAACGGACATTGATAAAGCTAAATACCGCACCCTGTTAGATACCAAGTATTCTATCTTTATCCATTACTTACCAAATACCACGATCATCCTTATCAGGGCCGCCAAGGTAAGCCTTACCGGACTTAAGATTCCAAATGAAAGATTCGCCCATACCCTTCTTGAGTTTCTCAAGTTCGTCATGGAGACCGGTTTCGCCAAGAGCAACGATATCATCGACACGCATCACCAAACGCCAGCGCAAGGTGTTGCTCAACATGTTGTAGGCGGCATCCAAATCCCACTTGCGAGCACGAAGGAAACGAAGCATGACAGCATCAGGGTTGTCAGTAGCGACCATGTTCCAAAAAGTAGCATGCAACTGCTTGCCGGGGATCAAGGGCATGGCCTTTTCAAGGGGAAGGCTCAACCAGTTGGGATCGGTGGTGCTTCCAATAAACAAGTCGGTTTGAACTTCGGGTTCCTTCTTGCCACGGCTAAAGAATCCACCAGACTTCTTGGGTGCTGCTTCTTCAACAGGCTTCTTGGGAGCAGGCTTTGAATTGGGATCACCGGTCTGTTCGAACAATTCCAAAATACGATCCCACAATTGCTTGAGCATGGTGGTTTGGTCAGGTGTCAAATGTCCAAGATGGCCAGCCACCAAGGCAGCTTGAACGGTCTCATTTGCAGGTGCCATTATTGTTGTTGTTATGAAAGAAAAAGAAACAAGATGCGAATAAATAAAAAGAAAGAGAGAGAGAATAAAAAGAAGACGTTCAAGGGTCACACGCCACAAGCATACACAGCTCCACGCATATAAAAATGTTATAAGCTTCTCATTCCCCCCTCCTCCTTTGACTGCTTGAAACGTTACACACGCACACACTAGCTGTTTTGGGCATTTACCCCACTACACAGATCGGTTCGTACCTTTTTGGCAGTCGTATTGACCGTTGTACCAATCCTCAAAGACTTGTAAACCCCATCCAAATGACGATCTTATACTACATTGTCGTGTTCATACACGTGAGTCCTTTAACTACGCACTCCCTCCACTAATTAAATTCCTGTCAGAGCATTTCATCATCTCTCCCACGCTGCACATGACATTTTTATTAGACTCTAAAGTCTTTTTTGACATGATCAATGTCATCTATTACTATGTTGCACTTGACAACAGCAACACGAAGAGAAAAGTGCCATCATTCGATGCACCTATTGTAATATCTTTGTTTGCATTAATGACCAAGGACCGGTGGTTGTTCCATCTTATCGAAGGGTTGTTGTTACACCGCCTAAAAGCCAGACATTATGAAGCGGCTAGTAAAGTATTCGCTGCTGCAATTGATATCACATTCTGTACCAAAAAGCTCAGCATCATTGCCCCAGACTTTAGAGTCGTGCTCTTTTAGAGATCTCTCTTTTAAACAAGGTGGCGTTCATAACATAGTAATGATGGTCCACGGAAAAGGTATGTTGTAAATGAAAGAGAGTTTTGAAATCCTTGGACCGAGGTATGACACAATGAAAACATACAACAAACAACCCTTCCCTTTGCATAAAACACGGATGCTTTACAAAAGTCACGAGGGCCCATGTATCAAATTTAACCTTGTTTCATGACCACGAGTGAGATGGATGGATATACATCATGAGTGTGCAGTAGTATCTGTGGTTGATCAAATTGCATGTGAAATTATTGTTGAGTTATCTTTGTTGCCATCTCCACCAACAACAGAACATTACAATACACCAACAAAGACGCCATTTATAGATCACCCCACCATTTACGCAAAGCCTCTTTGCTCATTCATTAACCTTGTTTACTTTACAAAGAGGCACCATGATTGTACATATTCAGTGGCATGGAAGTTGGTAATAAAAATTGTCGTTTTATATAATCGATGAAACAAAGAGGTATTGAACAACAATGAAAAGGGGAGGATGCAAAGGTGTACAATGAACAAGAGTAGTTACATTCACCGACTGATACGCCAGGAACGCTTGGATAATGATTCAAGATGTCGTACCACCGGCCGAATGTACGCTTGCAATAATGCCAAACCCAACAACACGCAGGCTGTGCCAACAATGTAATATCCATCTCGAGAAATGTCGCACGAGCCACCTAGTTCCTTGCATTGTGTCAAGCCGCTCTCTTCCACACACGAAAATTCTATCATCGCAACCCACGTAAGTAAATGATGCCCACGTCTATTGCTATACACACACCCATCCTCCTATTACCTTGACCATTGGCATCAGGGACCGAGCAAGAAGCAATAGTAAATGAATCCACAGCTTCCAAAACAAAAAACTTTGGCCATGTACCACCGAAATTGCTAAATGTGTTGAGCAGCTGAAAAGGATAAATGAGTACGCAAAGCCCATTTACAACAACCTGTATCACCCTATCCACTTACAGTCATGTAGGTGCCACCAATGAGTGGATCAGCAATGCTTGTCATGAAGGCTGAAATACTGACAAATTGAACAGTCGCCATGAAGGAACTCAATACAGTAGCTGCCATGATAACGGAGAAATAGAATAAGCCAATTTCTTGACCTTGAGGATACCATGCCACAATCAACATGCACAAAGCAGCCGATGCCAATCGTCCATAGGATGCATACAACCACTATCTCCCTCTATTAGCAAAGAGAAAAAAGATGAAACCATCCGATCCCAACCAATACTTACCGGTTTCAAAGGCTGTGGGCCATTGGACCACTTGGCTGCATAGTAGCCCAAAAAGATCTGCAATGGGAAGTCCAATAACACGGTAAGCGCCAAGTCCTCTTTGGAGAAACCCTTTTCCAAAAGCTTCAATGATGTAACAGCGTCGTTGCAAATGAATCCAATCTTGGCAGTGAGGAGAACGATAATAAAGGAACGCATATCTACAGGATGACAACTTCATTGTTAGCCCTACATTCGTGGTCTTTCCCTTAATTTGATCCCACACAAACAACTTACGAGGTAATTTGCAGATTTTCCAAATCGTATCATAGACGCCTCGAATGCCAAGTTGATCTTCATCGGTATGGGATGCTGTCTGGTTAAAAGTGGATAATGATAAGCACATGTAGGCACCCCCAAAAGCACCATTTCCTTTGATCACTTTACCTCCTTTTTCATAAAGATGAGCCATGCTGTGACCGCAAAGTACATGAAAGCCCAAAACTGCATGTAGGCGCCAAGTTGCACAATGCCGACCTCTTTGGGTTCTGCCCAAATATACTTGTTGCTGAATTCGGGAGAGCTCAATGCAAGGAATACGGTGAAGGATAAAAAGTAGCCAATGTTGAGACCGATGGTTTGTGCTGTGGAGGCATACGAAAGACTATCCTTGGATAACAATGTCAAGGCCCAACCATCGACGGCGATATCTTGAGTGGCGCAGAAGAAGATCGTACCCAAGAACGCGCCTGTCAAGTAGTAGATAGGGATATGCTCTGATGCCATGATACCATCAATGTGTTGACCTAGCATCAAGAACAAGATGCCAATCAAGATCTGAATAGGAATGATCCATGACTTTCTTCGTCCAAGTTGAGGCGAATAAATAGCATCCACGATAGGTGACCAAAGGAACTTTAGCGAATAAGGCCATGATGACAGGGAAAACACGGCAATTTGTGAATACGACAGCTGAGATTTGAGCAAGAATGGAATGGATCCGAATGATAGACCCACAGGAACACCTTGAAGCATATCTATCGAGAGACAATGGGATGTTAATGTTCATATACATAACACGTGTACGCGCGCACATAGGATAGTATACTTACAAAGGACCACTAATAGGATAAAGTTACCAAGATCCTCACGTCTTAAGCTCTCTGGTTTGATATCCTCAGGTGCCTGGACATTATCCTTGTTGCCAAGAGTGTCAAGCTCCATTTCCTCGCGTTCATCATCAGCAAGCACAGTCTCTTTTCGTCGTAAAGTGGTCTCAGTAATTGTCGGATCCATGGCGGTGGATTGGCCGTTCTCGTCTTGTGTGTCGCCGTTAGGTACGGTAGCTTTGGAGTTATTTACGGGCACGAGAGGATCGCTATCCGATGATGAAGGGACATGCGCTGCCGGCATTCGAGTAACAGAAGGGAAAAGAAGATAAAGAAGAACCGCGTAGGTTGGCGTTGCGTCTGTGTGCAGTAAAAAGGGGGCGGCTATACAAGAACGACTAGAACAAATGCCCTCCTGTCCTGCCACGTCGAAGTAAAGATATACTTGCAATTTACCATTTTTGGCCGCCTCTCGCAGCTGTTGCCAGTCAATTGCCCAATCATTATACTTGACACAGCATTGCTATTGTTGACCGGAGAAAATGTGCTACATGTGCTAGAAGCTATACTCTTGAACATATTAAAGGGGTCTTTCTTCTCGAGTTAACAACTCACGTTACCAAATGAGATTTGTATTTGCAAGCGCACTGGGGAATAACATCCACAATATTAAGAACAATATGCAATTATTACTAGCCATTTCTAAAAGCATGTACATTCAAATTCTTTGTAAAGGGTTGATCAATGTCTAGACATCTAACAGCAACACGTTGCATCATCAATGAGGCATTATGTATACACTTTTTGTTATCCTTCTTCATCACCTACATCCATGCCTTTATCATTCTTTGCCTTGGATATGAACGTAGTAGTTGTTAAGATGATGGCCTCCCAATTCAAAGGTTATTGTATACCAATATTGTGGATTGGATGAATGGAGCTTGTGGGGGCTATGGTTGATGCAGCAGTCGAAGTTCTCGGATTTGGACAAGAGATTGGAAGCGTATACTATGCAACTATATCTATGTTAGTGACTCCAATATCCACCATTCACCCGTTGCATACAAAGATTTTGTACTGAGAGCCTTGTCGTCATTTGAGGAGCACACTTGCTATATCCATGGCAACGGGGGTTCGCTTCCATGGCGACGAGATGAGTGGTGGTGCTGGCATTGGGCCGTATGCTTCTTGAAACATGGTAACTGATTCACGTAATAGAGAGTCCAGAGCAGAGAGTGATATCCTTTATATACGCATATTCCAAAATTACTCCAACATGCAATGGCCTATCAGCAGGTGTAGGAGGAGATGCTGCATCCTCTTGAATTAGATCATGTATAACGATAAAAACGTAGCAACCCATGTCACTTTAGCCTCTTTATGACATACCACCTACCTTAAATCCTATCCTTACATTGGTTCGTGCTTAATGTCATAGAAAGCTGATCGCGTCAGCCTTTCGATTCATTCGGAGAATATGATGTAACGTGTGTGACGAACGATGGAGTTAAACTTTGTGCCCTGATCATGCGATCATGGATCATGAAAATGTGTCAATTCTAGGGAGGGTGGAATCATAAGCTGCACGATCATGATTATGACATTGACGTTGCTTCAACATGTTCATCATGTGTCTATTGTAGGTGTCCTTAATATGTGCATCTTGCTTAGTAGCATGTTTACAGCAATAGAGGACCTTTTGCATGTAATGGTAGCACATGCATTCAATTGCTCAGCAAGGGGACAATTGCCTTTCTGCTGTGTCACACTAATACCATAGCGGTGCACACTATAAAAAGGGGAGTCCGCTACCATTTGATCTCGAGACACAATACACAACAACAATGCTGGAACCAAGATACTACTTTGGTAATGGAGGAGTAGCCTTACAAGATGTAGATGGCTATGCACCGCTTGCAGGCGAAGCGATCGCAATTATAGCAGTATCCGGGATTATTTTAATAGCATGCATCCTCATTGCCATCAAACGACAAAGTCCAAATGCCTTGCGGATATACTCAGGGCCGGTGATTTCAGTTGGACTACAGATTGCATGTGGCGTCTTATACCTTGTTACACACAATAACACCTATTTCAATACCATCAATGGAGCGACTCAAGTAGTGCGAGCACTTGCAGCCATTGCGCTTTGGCTTCCTTTTTATGACGTATTTGTATGGCAAGCCAAACGACAAGAAAAGCTGACTTTACCAGCACATGGATTTCTTGTATTACTACTCGGTGCCTTTGTAATGGATTTTATTATTGTCTTTAATGGTCTGGATCAAGTATTTGCTATCCGAGTCGTTGGTACACTTCTTTATTGGTTATCAGCAGTGGCATTTTCCTTGCTTGTTTGGTGGTATCCTCATGGTATCCCGCATCCTTATGCAATTTCAACATGCGGGTGCTTACTTGTTGCTCTTCCAGTGGGTAGAGCAATTCAGCTGTCGTTGGATTTCTCTTATAATCCACAACATGTGGGGTCTCATATTACTTTGGTTTTTGAACATCTTGTACCTATGTTAGCACTCTTGATTTGTAGCTTTTATACACACATCTGGTTAGAAGATATCGAGGATGAACAAAGACGTAGAAGATGGCAATGTATTCCTTAAATAATATACCTCTTTATTTAATGCATGGGACTCTCTATTGAATAAGCAGCTGTTGTCATTGGGTGGGGTGGGCGATGTGGGTATCTAGGATGCCGTTGCTATGCAAAATGAGGTCAAGTCCATGCGGACCTGAAATCCCATTTAAAGCTGTAGTGGGCTGGTGAACAGCCGGTACCAGTTGGAAAAAACTTATTCAGCCCATGGCAAATAAACGCATTGGTAAATGTTGTCTCTCACCTTGCCATGCCTGCCGCATGCATGCTCACACTCCTTAGTATTCGAGCTTCAACCGGGACAGCCACTTGCACCCACACATGACTTTGAACTCGATGGTTTCTACTTGAATATGGTAACGTGTTGTTTTGTTGGCATTTGTGACGAGTGCTGATTTTGTCGATCAGGCTTCTTTGACAGCCAATGCCAAACCAGGACGAACCATGTTGACTGTGAGCATAAAGGATCACACATTCACCCTCTGCACTTTGACACAAGACAAGGTAAGCACGAAATAATAGGAAAGACGTACGTGTGTACTGATGGTATTGATATTGTAGTGTGAGCAACAAGCATTCAATCTCTATTTTGATGAATCTGATGAGGCAACCTTTAAGTTGGAAGGCACAAAGTAAGTAAGAGATGAGGGGGATACGGCAATGATCGATTAACGCGGGAGCATAGTTCTATTACTTTGACAGGCTTAACGCAAGACGACGACGATCAGGAATTTATCCCCGAAGACGACGACGAATTCATGCTGGAGGACAGTGATGACGGCCGGTTCCGTTTCTGTGATACATCTGATAAGCGTTTTATGGGAGGAATGGAATTGCGTCACTTTGGATTGGTGCCTCATTCTGGTTTTGAACAAGATCAAATCGATTTACGTGCAGATGAGGATACAAACGAAGAGAAGATGTTAAAGTAAGTTACAATGTCTTTGTTTTAACACAATGATCGCTAATACAATGAATGTATAACTTTAGTGACAACATTTGCGAAGGCTTGATCAATGCCATGATGAACAGCGGAGACGATGAGCAGATGCGGATTGCAAAAACCCTACAAAGTAAGATCTGGGATTGGGGAGCGAGCATGGTTGCATGTATTGACTCTATCTTTTTTCATCATTATAGAGAAACTCGATGTGATCAAATCAAAGTTAAAACGCGTCAATGAAAATGGCGGCAATGCTTCAAAGCAAAGTGGAAAGGTCACCAAACAGAAGAGAAGCAAACGAAAAACGCGTCAATGATGTCAGCGACAATGACGTCCCTCACACAATCATCCTTTATCTTTCGTCCCATCCATTACCCTGTATCGCATATAATCATCAGCTATCATCATTAGAATCCCACATTCTTTTGTATTAAGCATGTACACACTTTAATCAAGAAAATGAACAATAACACGTTTCTTTTGGTACAACGACATAATACAAACGCATGTAAATGGTAGAGTTTTGCTGATCAAAGAAGGCAATGATAGGGACGTGTTGTCATAATTATGGTATCCAAGATGGTTGCTGTGTGATGCCATGGAAACTGTTTCATCAGGTAATACGCCCAATGACGGCATGATAAGAGATAAAGATTCAGTAGGAGAGGAGGGGGTGTTGGTAACAGTCTCAAACTCTTCTCGACCGCTGTATGTGCTGATCTTGTGCCTATTTCTTCCGCGTGTCTCTTTTTCGTCTTTTACTGCTATGCCGAATCCAAAGCCAAACCTAAAGGGAAAGGATACAGAGGCCACTAAATCCCTAAACCGTATATTGCAACCCGACACGATCCGTACCGTGAACGCAACGAGCCATGTCATTCCAAATAAACCACCCAAAGTGCAGACGACCTATGGATCGAAGAGAGGCAAAGGACTATCAAGATATTCCCGACGCAACGACAAACGAGATGGTTCTTCTAGTAGACGATCTACCCCGAATGAGGATTCCAGTGATGAATTCCAAGAGGGCCCACCAACAGTAAAGCGTGCACGAAGAAGTAACAGTGACCGACGACAGCCATCCAATCCACCAGACGCGATACCAACCTTGTTTGTTGGCGAGACGTTGTCTATCAATGATCTATCATCAGCAAAAGCCAACAGAGCAAAGAGCAAAGCCGATGTTGAAGAGAAGCACAAGCTATTTGATGATTTGAGCAGGCAATCAAGTCAACTGGAAAGCACCGATGATGCCAATTCAAATCAACATGGCTCACCGAAATATGGTATGTGGCTCTGGGAGGGTGGGGTTTTACATGCCAATCAAGCTTACATGAATGATGTAGTGTGTCCCTACTGCAATGAGGTGTTCCCTACAGGCGAAATGACTGATCGACTTAAGCGGGCACTCAAGATGATTAAGCAAAAAGATGAGGCCTATGCACAGCAGGAGATTGAGCATCGAATGAAGCGTGTCACCGGCAAGCATAAGGAATTGCTTAAGAAGCAAATGAAAGTGAAGCGTCCTGTGGATGGTTTAGAGCAACACTTTTTTTGTCGTCTTCATCGTGCCGAGCTTGTTGTCAGGAAAGAGGGTCGAGCCAAGAATTATCCTGAGGAGATCAGATTTAACGACATCCATTCTCGACTTGAACGGCTTCGTGGTGAATTGGAAAAGGTTATTCGACAAGAGAGGAAGAGCCAGTTTCGTGATATTGCTCTCAAAGCGTATGAGGAGATGGGAAAGAACAAGGCACGCAGTACATTGGGCGTCATGGCGCGTGTAGATAACATCATGGTAAATGGGATGATCAGCTTCTTGAAAGTGGACATGATGCATTAACGATGGGTTTTATAAGACTGGATATTATGGATCCAAGGGTAGTGCCGTCATACAAGATGCTCTCAGCACCATGTTCTTACACACTGGCATGTTGACCAATGCAATGACGACACCACAACTTCCATTGGAATATTTGCAACAAGTTCTGGTTCCTGAGGCTGCTTTAGTGTTGATTCGGCAAGATTTATATAACGCAGATGCCAAGAAGAGACCTCGAGCTCGTTTCCCAACGTCTGAAGAATTGGCTCAATACAACGAGAAGGCTGAACAAGTGCTCAAAGATAGTACCGAGTTTGGAAAATTGGTGCACATGGCAGAGAATGAAATCATTGCCGACTTTTCAGATCAAAGTTTGAAAAAGATATCCCTTAGTGACGATGAATCGTCATCATCATCATCATCCAGCGAAGAAGATAGCGACGATAGTGATTTTCAAGGCAAATAATTAATAGGAATTGTATCTGTAACGAATAAAAAGTGAACACACAAAAAAAAAAGTTGTATGTATTATTTATAATGGCAGGAGGAGGAGGAGGAGGAGGAGGGGATAAGGTAAATAAGCGATGATGGAGTGCTAGCATGAGCCATCCTTGTAAAAGTGGGGAGCGGGGTTGTTGGTGAATTCAACAATGGGGAGCTGATACACTTCTACCTCCAAGAGCACACTTGACCGCGTACATTGTAGTGGGAGCTTCATTCTTCCTTTTCCACCCAACCTCCTATGAGTAACAATAGCTCATCCACTTTCCAACAACACGCACTTCATACCTCTAATGCAAATGATACCAACGGCATGGTCCACCACACGCACCGCAACCCTCCGATCGTGATCAGCAATCTGAACGGGAGCAGATCGTCCAGTGGTAGTCCACATGCTTCCCCTCGGCCGATCAATAGACCAGCACCATCGCCATCGACCACACCGACGATATCAATTCCAAACGTTGGGCAATATATACCACTAAACACGTCGTTACCAGCAGGCATGCAACAGGTGATTCCACTTCAACCACCCATGTGGAACAATCTCTATACTCTTTTTGCTTTGCAAGGATCCTTTGTGCCTACCTCATCTCAACCAACAGCACCAACCACATCAGTAGCACCCTCTGTTCCAGCAGCAGCAGCACCAGCACCCATTACTACTTCAAAACCACAAGCACATGCATCACCACCACAACCACAACCACAACCACAACCACAGTCACCTACCACCACGTCAAGTGCCTCTCATCAAAGTGCTATGCATAATGAGGCATCAGTTACACAAGCGAACGAGACCAATGACAATGGCAACATTCGCATCCCCCCTGAGCAACAGCCTGCTGCAAACCATGCATCCACCACCGCCACCAACACGACACCCGATGATCATAGAACAATCAACAACCAATCCACTCCTGAAACCCAAGAATCCAACGCATCTACAGAGAACTCGTCATTAACGCCATCATTACCCAAGAATATGGTTCCAGTAAGGGTGAAAGGTATGTATACATCCGCTACAAGGAATAATGAACCAACATAATTATGCTTATCTATATAGCTCATTTATTTTTACAAGCATCGCCTCGGGACTTGGATGTTGCCAAACGAATAGCGATTTGGGGAAAAGTATTGAAGAATCATAAGGGAGTGCGAGCACTGAAAGCGGAATACGGCGTATCGACAATCGAGAACGTGGAAGATCAGCATGACACTGCTGCTCAAACGAATATAGACACCGAGGATATCGACACTGATGTGATAATGGAGAACGCTGTGAATGAGGAAGTTGGCACCATCACCAACTCAGCTACCGACAATGTCGTGGATGAAGAACCCTATGTTGATATCGATCACAGTATGGAAGAGAATGATGATCAACAACAACCCGCAAGTAGCGTGGATGAGGAACAACCAAAAAGTGGGATGGATGAGCAACAACCAACAAATAGCGTGGATGAGCAACAACCAACAAGTGACGTGCATGAGCAACAACCAACAAGTGGCGTGCATGAGCAAGAATCAGAAAGTAGCATTGATGAGCAGCAACAACCAACAAGTAGCGTGGATGAGCAACAACCAACAAGTAATGTGGATGAGCAAGAACCAGAAAGTAGCATGAAGCAGCAGGATATGGATATGAGACCTCTGCCAGCATGGAGACTCCCTGACAATGATATGGATGTCGATGCGATGGATATTGAAGCTTGGACCAATCATTGGGTAAGTCAATGTGGGTATGGGATGCAAGCAAACAAATGTATTCATGGACTCTTTTATAGAAAGAATATGATCCAGAATACTGCTGTATATGTATCAAGAACGATCCCAGTCCAGAAAACAAGCTGGTGTATTGTAGTAATCCACTTTGTGAGGTCGTGGTGCACCAAGGTAATTATGACATAACGAAATGTATTCCACTTTACTCACTTTTGTATTATCGAAGATTGCTATGGGATAGTCGAGATACCTTCAGCAGATGAGCCATGGTATTGCGATCGATGTGAAGGAAGCCCACACGACTTGAGGGTGGTTGTAAGTGATCATATTCTGGATATGCAATTCCTCCTGGTTGCTGATGGTATGTGTTTAGGGTTGTGCTGTATGTCCTAGTACAAGAGGTGCATTCAGGCGATTGAAAGTGCCAGTTGGTGGTATGGAATGGATTCACGTTGGATGTGCTGTTCGATTGCCCGAAGCAAGTTTTGGAAACCACAAGATGAAAACGGAGATTGAGTTGCCAGGATACCACGGTGACATGTGGCAAGGGGTAAGTTTTTTCGTATATTATCCCATGATTGTCTATTCAATTGCTTACATGACAAATAGCATTGTGAGCTTTGTCCAAATGAATTATTTGCTCGTTATGGTGGCTATACCGTTTGTAAGCAGAAGGGTTGTAATGCCCGGGCCCATCCATCTTGTGGTATGCAATTTTACCATAGCAGCAAAATACACGTTCCATCTTTTCGGTGTGCCCACCATCGTTCATTCCATATGGTTAAAAATATGGACCTCAATCCATGGGAGCTTTGGGTGAATATGCGTGATGACTGGTTACAGCGACAAGAATCATTGGGTTTTGTTCAACTTACATGGTCAAATGTTATGGAGCCTATTTATCTACATGATCATCCGAGCCCGGACATGATTGCAGAGAGCTCAAAGCAATTTGTGAACGTGATCAGCCAGCATCTCGTGGGTCTTATGAAGAAGGAACTTCGAAACGTGGATCGGGCAAGAAGTAGTACACACCGTCTCAAGCGAACGCTTTGTTCAGCCAATGTCAAAGCGGGCAAAGTGTGCAAACATGTCGACAAGGTCCAACAGCGTGTGAAACGGGTTTCTTTTCTACGAGACAAGATCCGGCAATATTCAATTGATATTCGTGGGTTTATGGAGATGGTTTTACTTCAGCTTGATGCAACTCGATCGAAGGAAAAGGCTCTTGCAAGCGCAGCAGCCACGAAGCGTGCTTCATCATCATCATCATCCACCCAACCCTCTCGTCGACGAAAGAGATCATTGAGTGCAGAATCGTATACCACTGCTAATGACCAACCTGTAAGCTCGCCTATTACGCCACCAACCACCGAAATGGAGAAGGATTCTATGGGAAAGAAAAAGGGCAAGGGAAAAGCCGTTGCTGTCAACATTCCAAAGACGTCTCAAACGAGTGCTGGTGTATCGATACCCAATGCTCAGTTGTCCAATTCACAAAGACCTTTGAAGAAGCGATCCAAGATTGATGCAACACAACAATCGACCCAGAAACCAGCAGCTACTACTTTGGACGAACCCAACAAAGCAGAGACAACTGCTATGGAAATTGAAACATCACCACAACCACAACCACAACCACAACCAGCTGTTACTGCTGATGCCACTACTATTGACAAGCCGATAACTCCAGAGATGGCTTATGTAGAGGTTGAAACATCACCATCATCAACATCATCATCCGCAGCGACCAATGAAGCAGCAAAGGCAACCTCGAAAGAATTAGATGCAAAGAAAGCGGATGAATCAACAAAGGTTTCTGTACAGCAGAAAGAGGCAGTTATCGAGGAAGATATCGATACGAGTATGCAAGAGACACAAGCATCAATGGCCACGACAACAACAACAACAACAACCAGTGAAGAAGAAAACCAACAATCACAATCCACTATTGAGCGAACCATCCAACCTGGTACTGAGGCATCGATGCCCATTATTATTGATGAACCAGAGTCTGACGTTGAAATGTCACCTGCACCCACGGTTGAAAAACCACCATCACCATCAGCAACAACATCGATGATCACCACCACTATTGAAAATCCATCAACACCACCTGCAACCACCGCCACCACCACTGTTGAAGAATCATCGCCACCACCTGCAACAACAACAACGGCCACTACCAATGTTGAAGAATCATCATCACCACCTGCATCAACAACAACCACCGTTGAAGAATCATCATTACCACCTGCAACAATAACAACAGCAACCAATGTTGTAGAATCATCACCACAACCTGCAACAACAACCGTTGAAGAAGCATCACTACCACCTGCAACAACGACAACAACAACCGTTGAAGAAGCATCACTACCACCTGCAACAACAGCTGTTGAGGAACCGGCTAAAGCAGCTGCAGAGCAACCCAAGGAGGATGCTTCGTCAAAGGATGATACACAAAGAAAGGCACCACGCAAACGAGGAATGAAGACTAGAGGTGCAAAGAAACAAAGAGAAGTAAAGGAAACAAGAGAATCGCCTTATAAGCCAGGCTCCAAATGGTGGATTTGGGTTGAAGAGTATACCCAAGGGTTACGCCAGAGAGAAAAGACCAAAGGACCTTTGGTGTGCAAAGAATGTGGACAACACAATATACCCGAATCAACGCTTGCTGATCTCAAATACAACCCTGATGAATTGGCGAATCCTTCAAAGAAGCCATATGGCTATACTGGTACTGGTGACCATTGGAATCCCTCTGTTTTCATCGAATGTATCGGCTGCAAAGACGTTTACCATTGTGGATGTAGCGCCATCCCCGTCAAGAAATACCCGTCAAAGTAAGTGATCATGGTCTTTTTGCTCTTGCCTAAAAGAAAACACTCACAGCGAATTACCATAGGAACGAGTCTTTCTTTTGTGAAGATTGTTTGGAAGCATTCGAAGCCAACAAAACGTACAAACGTGTAGGGTATGGTCTGGACGATAGAGCACCCCAAGGTCCAAGAAGACGACAACGTATCAATTACAAAGAGTAGATACCTACCGTACTCACCCTCACCCCTTGCGTACCTATGACACTATCAATCTATATTTTCTCATTTCATCTATTGCGAAACCATTTTTTTGTGAATACATATCCAAAGTAAAGTAAAATTGTGTGGCTGAATCGTATCGTCTACTTATTATTATGTACACGCTTGGAGTTTGCTAGCTTGTGGATTACATGCTATTGCTTCGAAGATGGAATAATAAAGGTGGTCCGGTTATCGGTCATGCAAGAAGTATATGGCTTTTGTGACACAATAAGGAGGAGTGGGAAGTGGGATGAGCTTGAGAAGAGAAAAAGTGAAGAGATCCCTCCATTGAGTTTCAGGATGAGTGACCCATTCAATATGTATATGTATCTTTTTACATATACAAATTGGTTTATGCAGCTCGACTTTCTTCTACATGCAAATGTGTTGCATACCTTGACACACCTTCATTATTGGATGCTGTTTACTTACGTACCTTCACAAAAGGCAATCATCATCATCATCCATTTGTGTAGCAACCTGTCAAGGACGTATTTGTGTAACCACTACGTGCGGTTTCACTCAGCTCTTCATCTTTCCGTTAATGCAGCCGACACCATCCACTAGGAGAAAGCAAATCGCATCACGCTTACAGCATAGGTGGAGAACGCCTGTGGCCTCCGGGTCCTGTTGCAATGAAACGTGGGGTTTTGAATAGAAAGCAATGCTCGGCTTGGCCAACAGCACCTTGTGTGAAAGTTTTACGTCTAATGTTTCCAACAGCCCAAAAATATTTTAGTCGTCGTTGTCGAAAAGGTCGACCCCCAGATCCAGTTTATTGGTATGACATTGCGAAATCGTGATTGGGTGTTTGATCGTGAAACTGGCACCTAAGTAAAGGCCAAGCCGAGCACATTGCTCTAATAAAAGCCCCACGTTTCATTGTAAAGTTTGGAGATACAGGCACCTTTATGTTTAAAGTGATGCTATATGAGAAGTGGTCTTTGTTCATTGCCAAGTATTTATATGGAAGCGGCCTCGTTTTATTGGAGTGCACTGAAGAGTGGAAATTTCAAAATCGGAACGATATTGAAAAAACGTACAAGAACTACGCGTATTGAAGGAATGACTACGTCGGGCTATAGTCCCTCGGTGGCGAGTACTCCCGAGAAATGAGAGGAAGGGGTAGAGGATGCAAAAGGTTGACCGTTCTGTTTAAGAGATCTTGAAAAATAATATCCGAGCTGAAGGTGTCAAGAAAGCGGTGATTTGCTTGGCTTGGTCAGATAGGGTAGGTATCGTGAATATGGCGAAGGAGCCCGGAGGTGTGAATTGTGGCGTCGGCAAAGGCATGCCGTCATCGAAATTATCAGGTGTGTACTCGTTAATGAGATATTGTCGTTATGGCTTTCAATAGACGATAGATCAGTTTCAACATGGAGATATCGACGTTTGGCTGTTGGCAGATTGCGACGAAGGTGAATGAGGCATAGGTGGTGTCGTAGGACTGGATGAATCGCTTGGGTTTACGGTTGAGACACTTAAGCGGCGCGATGGCTCGTTTGGCCACATGACCAACAACACGAGAACGAGTAGCACGATTAGGGCATGCAGATGTAGCGTGACCAGCTTGATGGCAATGAAGGCAATGGAGCGGCATTTGCCCACGTAACATGAAACAGGTCGTCTGAATGGGGCTGTTGAACTGTGTGGCGTAACGGAGTTGTACCAGATTTGGCATTATTAATTTCCGCGAGGAAGGGCTTTGCCCATGAAGAGGTGAGAATCATAATCGCGAAGGATACCAAGGCGAACGAGGGACGTTGCCATAGCCGGAAAGTGCTCGAATACCATTTGATAACGTGTCCCTTGTGGTAAAGGGTAGATCACTAAGCTGAAGGTGTACAAGGCGAGCATCAGGAGAAAGAGGTATCGAAGGTAAAATACATTGGTTGTCAGGTCGGATACCCAGAACTTGATTGCTATGGGTCTTTTTTGTCGGCGATAAAGAGTTCGACAATGCGACGTGTGCGATCATCAGAGGAGGCGTACCTGCTGGTGCCGTTAGGAACTTGTTGATATGACGAAGTATTTCAGCACGGTGTTCGAAATGAGAGGTGAAATCAAAAACAAGCTGGGACAAAGGAAGCGGTGAGCCGCCTACTTCTCACGCTGGTTGTGTGGCCGATTTGACGACCTTGTAGGTGTCTTCAAAGAATCATTTAATGAGCGAAGGACGACGTGTAGCTTTAGCATACGAGAGACGTTGCGGACGATTTTGTGTGCCTGTTTCCTTTATCAGGCAATTTGGTTAAATTCTGGGAAGACATTGTTTGTTCATTGCCAAGTAGCTGGGATCTTCGAGAGCCAAAGCAGATGCAGAAGGACTTCTTTGGGTAACTCAGCTAAAAAGTCAGGACTTCAGGGACAATCCATGACAGGTACGCAACCCTCATTTTCAGGTCATACATTGGCAGCTAATAGCCACTTTTGTGCATTCAACTTTTATCTTCTATTATAGGTGGACGATTCTCCTGTTTCAGACATTCATTTCCATGATTAAAGTAGGCTGATCCGAGCTGATTTGGTTGAGTTACGCTCACACAAGATTACATCGGTTGAGCTACATCGAGCGTGTGCCGGATGTCCAGAGTGATGTAATCTCTTTGACCGCAGCTCAGTCAAATCAGCTCTCGGATCAACCTACTTTAATCAAAAAAGTTGTCGCGTTCAGAGCAGGGGCATCGTTCCCATGGCAGTGGATCTCGCAACAATGATGATGGATAAAAGCGGCTGATGGAAATAGCAATACATGTCTGTTCCTGGTTTATCCATAAAAGTAATTATACGTTGACCCTTTCATTCATGCAAACGTAGCTGTGTTACACAACACGAGCCTCCATCTTTTGCTCTGCCAGGGTCTAGCTACTTTTACATTAAACAAAGACCACTTTCCTCATAGCACCACGCGCTTTTTGCTCATAAAGGTGCCTGTATCTCCAAACTTTACAATGAAACGTGGGGTTTTGATGAGTAACGTGCTCGGCTTGGCCAACAGCACCTTGTGTGAAAGTTTTACGTTCAATGTTTCCAACCAGCCCAAAAATATTTTTGGTCGTCGTCGTCGAAAAGGTCGACCCCCCAGATCCAGTTTGGCTGGTAGCGAATATTTATGAACTGGGATTTGGCAAAGCTTGATCGTGAAACTGGCACCTAAGGTGCAGTTGGCCAAGCCGAGCACATTGTTCTATCAAAGACCCCACGTTTCATTGTAAAGTTTGGAGATACAGGCAACTTTTTATACGTTTGTAAGCGTGATGCTGTTGAGAAGTGGTCTTTGTTTAATGTAAAGTAGTATGACTATAATAGAGCAAAAGACGGTAGGCGTGTCGTGTAACTTTTATCATTCAGCACAGGCGATGCACGATTCTTGTACACTATTTAGAAAGAGTTCAAAAATGCCAGCTAATAACCTGAATATCCTCCCATTCTCCATTAATGGGGTTCAATCCAATGCATACGAACGATTGTCCTGCTCCAGCCCAGCATGCCCATCATTCAACTTCTTTGATCCGATGAGACGACTGGAAAACGCTCAAACACAGTAAACACCATCCACATCGAAGAATCAAACGGTAAGTTATTTGTAAACTGCCGGCTTATAGCCCATTCCTCCCGTTCACCTTTGTTGGTCCAACCCAATGCATGTGAATCATCGTTCGTTCCTTCCAGCCCATCATGCCCATCATTCAACTTTCTTTGATCCGAGTGGATAAGACTGAAAAAAACGCCCGCACCACGCAGAAGTAATCCAATGCATCAGCAAAATCTATTTAATTTCAGCTCTTCCACTCCCACCATATTCTTTCCTTCCTCCCATTCTCTACTGTTGCCCCATTCAACTGCCAACTTATCTGCGCGAACGATTGTCCCTGCTTCAACCCATCATGTCAATCCCGTAAATTGCCTTGATCCGATTGTTCTTCCTAATCGAATGGCAAGTCCATGGCGTGTACGCACCCACTACAACAGCTAACCCTGCACCTGATTCAAGCCACACTCGGCTACCACGACCAATCGCAACAGCATTCATTCCAGCAGTTGCTAATAGTAGTATCTTTTACCCATTACTGTCTCAAACGGTGTCATTTATATGCGGCGCATCCTATCCTGCAGCCTTTGTTACGTGAACAGCAGATAACAGCTTTCATTGTACAGAAGCATCTTTATTTACGCGTGCGGCAACCGGCTGCAATACATACGGCTTCTTATGGATAAGGGAAGGGATCCTGAATATTGGTTTGGTACATTGATGAAGGAATTGGATATACAGCGTGTCGAAAAAGAGGGTATGTATCCATTATCAACGTGCTCATTATGTTTGATGCTTTCATCCTGAACGATTGGTGCATCCCATTATCGTACTCTACACGCTATTCCATGGCAACTATCACAGCATCATCCTTGAGTAACCTGTGAGCGATGTACAACCATCAGCATCTCTCTCCATGATTTGACACGCCA